GAGCCTGCGAACAATGGTGCATGGATATGCTTAGCTTTCTTACTCGCTTTGAGAAGCTTACTCGAACGAATGTTGAGCCCCTTCAAGCTGTTGAGTATATTACACAATACTTTGAAGGTGCAGCGTTGACATGGTGGACGAATTTTCAATTCCAAATCGAACGAAGGCTTACAAGCCGACAAGCTCCTATAAATGCACAGCAGCTTTGCAATGAGCTACAGCAAGCCTTTGGTGATATCCATTCGATTGAAAGGCGTCGAGAGAAGTACGAAGCTATGAAGCAGACGAAGTCCGTACGAGACTTCGCGAATTCCTTGAAGCACCAGGTCCTCTTCCTTGATCCGACTCCTACAGAATATGAGATTCTCCGGAGGTTCCAGACAGGCCTTCGAACGGATATACGTGCGAAGATGGAAGAGAACCATGGGGATATCCGAGACCTAGACTCCTACATCAATAAAGCTGACGACGTCGATCGAGCTCTATTTAGAGTAAAACAGCTACAGAAGTCTTCGAACGAATCCCAAGGGCAGAACTACGGAATGGGATCTAATATGCCAAGTGCAAAGAATGACCCTGCTGGATTTAAGACATGGTGTCGAGAGAACAAGGCTTGCTTTAATTGCGGCAATAAAGAGCATATCTCACGGAACTGTACCCGAACGAAGGATTCAGGACGAAAAGGGGGTTCGAACGGACAACGACGACAGGATCCGGAAAACTAGTGGCATCCCTAGACCTTCAAGGCCAGCTAGGTGATGCGCTACAGGAGGCCTCAAGCCCGTACGAATATCCAACGACGGAGAACGATGAGCAACAGGATAATAGCAAAGCTGCTTCGAGCGAATGCCTTGGTTCCTTAAATTCGATCGGAAGTAGCATGATGGTTGTGAGTGGAGAGACCCTACAGGGCCAGCCTCAGACCTTGAAAATGCTTCTCGATTGCGGAGCAGACTGAGTGTATGTTGCACGAAGGGTTGCGATAAAGATAGGGGGAATAAAACAAGGGCAGACCACAAGAGTCGACCTACCAGACAGAGGTGCTGTTACCTCGAACGAATATATACGATTGTTCGTACGAATCGGCGCCTATACAATATCGATAACTGCAACAGTTATGGATATACCGAGTTATGATGTTATCTTAGGATTAACATGGTTTCGATCAGCTAACCCAACTATAAATTGGGCCCGTTCGGAAGTTACACTGAAAGACCGTAAGGGAACACATAGGTTACAGTTGGAGCGCCCAGCTCGAACGATAGAAGACGCTGGCCTCAATCTAATTACCTCCCGACATGTCAAGAAGGCACTCCGAACGAAGGGCTCCCAGGGGTTAATGTATTTCGTTCGAAAAGCTTCGGACGAATTACCAAAGGATATTCCAACCCAGTTTCGAACGGTGATAGAAGAGTACCAAGACTGCTTCCGTTCGGAACTCCCAGAATCGTTACCACCTAAGAGACAATGGGAACACTCGATCGATGTTGAGGATGCAAGGGCTGTTAATCAGGCTGCATATCCTGTTTCATATACGCAAGCTGAAGAGCAAGCTACGCAGATTAAGGACCTTTTGGATAAAGGCCTAATTCGTACGAGCTCAAGTGAACGGGGCTTCCCTGTTCTATTTGTGAAGAAGCCAGAAGGGAAATGGCGTATGTGCATTGATTACAGGGGTTTAAATGCTGTTACGAAGAAGAACACCTATCCTTTACCACGCATCCAAGACTGCCTCGATCGAATAGGGGCTGCAAAAAGGATAAGCAAATTCGATCTACTCTCTGGATTCTATCAGCTTCGGATGGCACAAGATAGTGTCGATAAGACAGCCTTCAACACTCGCCAAGGCAAGTTCGAATTCCTAGTGATGCCTATGGGACTTACGAATGCCCCCGCTACATTACAAACGATGATGAATACTATACTACAGCCCTACTTGGATAAATTTGCTATGGTATACCTTGACGACATTATCATCTTCTCAAATTTGGACGAGGAGCATAAAGAGCATCTAGCCTTGGTTCTCAAGAGTCTTCGTACGAACAGGCTATATGCAAAACCAAGCAAGTGTATAGTAGGGGTAGAGACAGTTGAATTCTGTGGACACATTGTAGGGCAAGGACAGCTCCGAACAGCTGTCTCAAAGACAAAGTTAGTAAAAGAGTGACCTACACCTTCGAACGTACATGAAGTCCGACAGTTCCTTGGTCTCGCCTCCTATTATAGGCGTTTCGTACGGAACTTTGCTACCATAGCAGCGCCCTTAAGCGACCTGCTGAAGGAGGAAGATCCAGAGAAACGGAAGCGGAAGAACCGCCCTATTATATGGACAGCAAAGTGTCAGCTTTCGTTCGAACTCCTGAAGAAGGCGCTTTCGAACGAACCTATCCTTACGCAACCTGATTTCCACCGTCCATTTGTGATTGAAACAGACGCTTCGGAATGGGCAATAGGGTGCTGTTTGCTACAATTAGGAACAGACGGCTTGTTACACCCAGTTGCGTACGATGGTCGGAAGCTACAAGGAGCTGAGCTTAACTATGCAGTTCAAGAGAAAGAGCTGTTAGCTATAAAGCACGCCCTCTGAACGTGGAGTTATTATATCGATAATCATACTCGAACGAAGATCATTACGGATCATGAGAGTTTGAAGTATCTCAAGGATACCAAGGTTCCATCAAAACGTCTAGCCCACTGGATTGCTGAGTTCGGAACGTATGATCTTGACATACAGTATAGGCCTGGAAAAGAGGCTATAGTTCCAGACGCAATTAGTCGCCGCCCTGACTTTATTGGCACTGGTGAAGCATACCAGTCGCAGTTCAATTCTATCCGCTCAGTGGATGAGGATGAATGGGAGGAAGCTCTCATAAAATATCTTCGTACGAAGGAAGAACCTTCGAACGAAAAACTACGAAAGGCGGTTCTAGATGATAAGAATCACCCGCCATCTAGTTTTGTATTAGAGAAAGATACTCTCTTATACAAGAAAACAGAGACAGGACAAGCGGCATACCTTGCTCCGATATTTCAGAAGGTATACCTCGAACGAGCACATCGGGGTTACGGACACCTGGGTTGGCCAGGCCTAAATGGAGCTCTACAGAATAGAGTTTGGAGGCCTACAATAGAGCGTGATGTCCAAAATCAGATACAGATGTGTCCGGCTTGTCAAGTGTCAAAGGGCGCTCGTACCAATGTCGTACGAGGGCCCCGAAATACCCTCGAACGAGAGAGTATTCGCTTGTTTGATCAATGGTCAATAGACTTGATAGGAATATTACCTCAAACGTATAATGGTAACTGTTGGATTATAACAGCTATCGAACGATCTACAGGATGGCCTGTAGTAAAGGCATTAAAGGATGCAACTACACAATCAGTTATGGACTTCATACATCATGATATATTCACTGTCTATGGAATTCCGAACGAGATCTTAACGGATAATGGGACTAACCTTGTCTCAGAGGCTATGGAAACGTTCCTACAGCCTACTAAGGTTAAACACCGAACAACTACCCCTTACCACCCCCAAACGAATGGAAAGATCGAACGATTCAATGGAATTATTGGGGCAATGTTAACGAAATATCTATATGGAAAGCCCGTATGGATGTGGGACGAATACCTTACACAAGCAGTCTTTGCTACTCGACTCTGTATTCATGCTGTAAGCAAGTACAGCCCGTTTTACCTCCTCTACGGAGTCAATCCAAAGTTACCAGGAGATTCGTACGAAGCCTATAATGGCTCAGAGGAAGACAGAGTACAGAAGATAATCAAACGACATGCATGTTAGAACGAAGCTCGAGTGGACGCAAATAAGAAGCTTGTTGAGGCAGCAATCAAAGCATCCCTTGTACGAGACGAGCAGTTCGCTCCAAAGCCAGACATAAAGGTTGGCACCTATGTTCTCGTACGGGATGAGAAGCCTCGAAAATTCCGTTCGAAATGGTATGGACCATACAAGGTTATCATGGCAGCTCCGATCGGAACTTATGCCTTGGAGGATTGCCACAAGAAGATCGTGAAAAGCCTTATACATGGGAACCGGCTATTACCTTTGAACGACCTAGCAGTTAATAAGGAAACTGGACAGTGGAGTTCTAGTTTTAATCTAGACACTATCCGTTCGAAGTTTGAACTCATATCACCTTCGGACAAAGTTAGAGAACTCCTAGAGCAAGAAGGCGTTCTAGGATATTCTTATAAGGAACTGGCTATAATCACTAAGCGTGAATGGCTGAATCTACAATCTAGAGGACTAGATTCAAGCAAGTTAGGGGAGGGAAAAATAGGTGATATCTCGTACGAAGAGGCTATTTTCAAGAAGCTTAAGGCTAGAGTCCTCGCTCTCAAACGGAGAGAAGAAAAAGAGGCACAAGCAGAAGAAGGAGATGATACTATTACCCCCCAACAAATACCTTCGGAAACGATCGTTCGAAGTGTAGATACTCAGTTACAGGGTCCTACGGTGATCCCTCAGTCAAATACGCAAATACAGGTAGACGTACCTTCGAACGAAAGGCAGCCTAGAGCCCCCTCGAACGAACCTGCTATTGTGACGAGCGAAAGGACTGTACAGAAGAGTCAGGAAATGCGTACACCCGCACAGGAGCTGCCAGTTGCAGTCACAACTGCCTCCTATATTGATCTTGAGAGTAGGGACTTGCAACCCCTATCTCAAGAGAGTCCGAACGAAGAGTCTGGAATTGCAGTCCAGTATTCAGATGGAAGCCCATCTGGTGTTGGTAACACAGAGGAAAGCTCAAACGAAGAGCAACAGAGGGTAGGCCTTGCCCCTCTTAAAAACAGGAATGAGAAGTCCCGTACGAAGTTCGCTCGGGATACTCGTACGAACTACTCTTTATGGAAAGCCCCAAAGAAGAAGGTGCTCAAATAGGCACCGTCCATTCTCTATACATATTTCATTTGTCACAAGAAAGCAGAGAAAAAGCAGAGGGAAATCATCGTATTGTTGTCTCGTACGAAGCTATCTACTCGAATCCCTCCCAAGTCGACCCCTCACCCTCACCCTCACTCTCCACGTCGTCCTCGGACGAAACATCCTCCACCGTCGCACCCCCCTCCAAAGCCCTGCCACGCGCAGAGAGGGCACGCTCCATCCCACGAAGCTCCGCCAGAGCATCCCGCACACCGTCAGTGGTGTTCAGGTCGAAACCTGACCCGAGATGGGTGTTCGTACGGGCCTTGTCTTGATACAAGGATCCCGAACGAACACGGGTGCGGGCTCCCACAGGTCAGTACGGGACAGGAAAATAGGGAGTGAATAAAGGAGGTCAGGTGACCTGTTTTTCTCAAAGTCGGGGGAGATGTGATTCTGGCCCTAGGAATCAGGCAGAATCAGGCAACTACATTTAGTGAAACGTAGTCATATTAGTGTAGTTTCGTACGGTAGAGTAGCTTAGGGGCGACGGCATAAGTAAAGGCCGTGGCCCCATTGAATTCTACAAGTTTGGTTCACGCTCGGAAAATCACAAGATTTTGTTGTAATAGTCACGTAATCTCATATAGAATACTTGTTTTAGTTTTCAGGGTACAAATAGACAGTTAGAAATACACACATATTTACTTAACAGTTATGAGCCTAGAGCACCTCTAATATGCAATTTAAACATCTACGAACATCATATAGACCTCAAACCCCTCCTAGTAGTCGATTACCATCATAATGGCAACCCTACAGAAGGTAGGGGTGGTCCTTACTAACCTAAAAGAGTAGGATGAGTGGCTAGAGACGATTAAGACCGCTTTAATGAAGACAGGAGTATGGGGTTATATTAATCCAGAATTAGATGACCCCCCTATCCTCATACCACTGGTTAGGCTAGTTCCTAACTTCGTATGGACTTTAGCATAGGCTAGAAGTGGCATGGTCCTTTAGACCACTGTAACGCTACTTCCTATCTAATAGGATACATAGAGGTTTCTTACATAAGGTTGACTTAACAGAGGAGGCAGGGGATTAAACACAAAGGCTTTCTAAGTAACATGTTACAGTATTGTAAAGAATACTATATTAAGTTAAGCACGAAGCTCCTATCTAAGGGAATACTATCTACTTATATAGTGGCTTTGTGCCTTATAAATAGTTTAGATAGTTAGGGATAGTTGGATAGTTGGGATAGTTTTGATTTTCCCAACTATCCAACTATCTACTAGTTTCCCAACTATCTACTTCCTAGGTCACACTACAGCCTAGCCCTGCTAGCCTCATGACTTATGAGTCACGTTACTAGAGCCTAGACCTACTAGCCTTATGACTTATGAGTCACATTACTAGAGCCTAGCCATGCTGGCCCTGTAACTATAACATCATGTTATTGCCCTAACAACCACTCTATAGGTGTGAACGAGAGAAATATTGAGCTAGACAGCCTAACCATTAATCGAAGCCTTGTAGCCAAGCATACTAATTACATACGGATCTCTTACAGATGACTAGAAGGAGGATCTTCGAAACCTACAAGCAGACTTCTAATATGATTGAAAAATATAGGAGAAACAGGAGGAAGCAATTTAGGGGCTATGGTCTAAGATCCAAGAAACAATCAGACTGTAACGCTGACTTCTAAACGATAGAAGACACAGAGGTTTCTTGCATAAGGTTGACTTGACAGAGGAGGCAGGGGATTAGACACAAAGGCTTTCCAAGTAACACGTTACAGTATTGTAAAGAATACTATATTGAGTTGAGCATGAAGCTCCTATCTAAGGAAATACTATCTATTTATATAGTGGCGTCGTGCCTCATGGGTAATCTGGATAGTTGGCGGATAGCTAGATATTCAGGATAGTTCGTGGATAGCTCAACTATCCAATATCCACTAGTTTCTGCAACTATCCATTAGCCCCGTCACATGGCAGCCTACCCCGCTTCCCACTGTGACTCACACGTCACGTTACTAGGCCCTGGCCCTGTAACCATGACATCATGTTACTATAGCCGTAACAGTAGGGTGTGTTAAAGGCCTCTCTAGGCCTAATGGCTTTAGCATTAAAGATGTAGGAGAGGGGGTTAACAGCCCTATGCCCTATGGCGATTCAGCACTGGTTCTAGTAGATGGCGTACCTATAGCCTACGTTCCTGTTTCTAGTGTGGTGTTGTTCTGATCTGTTAGAGAAGATGGTGACATCGGTGGATGGCAGGGTCGCCCACTACTGTTTGAAGTTGGTTGAGGCTGTAGTCTTATCGAGACTGCTAGTAGGGTCTGTCTAGCACCCTAGTGTGAAGTGGGGTGGTTGAGTAAGGGCCGTAGGATGTTTGGTAGGACGGTGCCTAGTCGCTAGACTTTTGTTTTAGGGTGTTGTTGGGATCCCATGTCTCTTCCCCATGTGATCTAGGGGGGCAGTATACACTGGACTAGTGGGTGACTTGAGTCTATTGTCTAGAGTCGAAGGGTGAAGCAGAGTTTAGCTTCTTCTAAGGCTGCCATTATAGAGGGGAAGCCTACATCTCTAAAGAGGCTGATGGTTAGTGTCGTGTGCTAGACTAGCAGCACTCCTCATGCTGCAAGTGATAGTGTTTTGTCTACAATATCAACTTGCTAGCTGTTACATGCACTAACTTTAGTATCTCTGTCACTACTTTAGAGTCGGGGCGGTTTGTGTCTTCTAGCGTACCATGCCTCTGTGCTATAGAGGATAGAGGGGAGAATGTAGGTGATGGCTGCTTTCTAGAGGGCAGATGTAGGGGGCTGTTAGTGGTTTTAGCTAGCTCATATTCATCATCGTCGACTTAGACGACATATTAGTCTACTTTAAAGCCCAAATGGAGCATGTAAACCACGTTAAGAAGGTATTACAAAGGTTGAAGGAATACAACCTACTACTGAAGCAAGAGAAATGTGAATTCCATAAGAATCAAGTTGAATTCTTAGGTTACATCATCAGAACGCATGGCATAAAAATGTACCAAGCAAAGGTCATGGCAATGTTGGAATGGCAAACACCAACCACAGTTAAAGAAGTACAAGCCTTTTTAGGTTTCGCCAACTTCTACCACGTAAATGGTTGAGCTACCTTAGAATTATAGGATATTCTAAGGTAGCTCAACCATTTACGGAAGTTACAAGAAAAGACCTAAGGTTCGAATGGACAGACAAGGCAGAAGCTGCTTTCTAAGAACTCAAGACGAAGTTCACAGAAGCACTATCTTAGCCACATTTGACCCTGCAAAGAAGGTAGTCCTTAAGACAGACTCTTCTGATTTTGCGATTAGAGCATGTCTAAGTCAACTAGACAGAGACAGAAAGCTCAAACCAGTCGCATATTACTCTAGAAAACTATCACCTATAGAGCTCAACTATGACATCTACAACAAGGAGCTAATAGCTATTGTCGTTGCTTTTGAGCAGTGGCGAGTATATCTTAAGGGATTGACCTACACTGTACAAGTATGGACGGATCATAAGAATCTCATATACTTCACTACGACTAAGGTTTTAAACTGTAGACAAGTCCGATGGGCAGAGACACTCGCAGCCTACAACTTCACGATTACATATCACAAGGGCTCTGAGAATGCAAGAGCCAATGCTCTTAGCAGATGGACTGACTACATCAGTCCAAAAGAAGAAAGACCTAGAGCTATATTAAAGAAAACAGATGTAGGAATGCAATATAACGAGCTGCTAGCCACAATTGCTACTGTGGAGAACTCGGTGGAAGAAAGACTTAAGAAAGCTTATGTAACAGACGAATGTGCAAAGCGAGTCTTACTAAAAACTAAAGGCGACTTTGCCATCGACGAACAAGGATTTATCCAATTCAAAGGATTAGTGTATGTCCTAAACAAGATGAGACGCCCGCTAGTGCAAGAACAACACTCGCTACTAGCACACGGCTATTAGGGAGTAACATGCACCTCCGAACAAATCGCCTAACATTACTACTTCCTAGGTATAAGGAAGCAGGTAAAAATGGTAGTAAGAGAGTGCGACATTTGCAGCAAATCGAAATCTAATAGGCACTTTCCATATGGACAGCTTAAATTGACACTAGTACTAACAGGAGCATGGAAATCCATAGCTTTGGACTTCATCGCCAAGCTACCACACTCTCGGGACCCGTTAACAGGAGTAGTATTTGATGCTATCCTCGTTATTATGGAAAGACTCGCGAAATATAGAACATTTGTGCCATATATAGAAGCTAGCAATGCTAAAGCACTCGCATACACCTTCCTTTGAGTCATATTAGCCAATCACGGATTACTAGAAGAAATCATCTTAGACAGAGACAAGCTGTTCACTTCGAAATTTTAGAAATCTTTAATGGCACTTTTAGGAACAAATCATAAGCTACTGACAGCTTTCTGTTATAGCTACAGTAATGTGACATCAGTATGGGGCTAGTAGGGCTAGGCTCTAGTAATGTGACCTAGAAGTCATGAGGCTAGCGGGGCTTGCCTCATGACTTCTAGGTCTAGTATAGCATGACTAGGCTAGTGGATAGTTGCAGAAACTAGTGGATATTATATAGTTGAGCTATCTATCAACTATCTAGACTATCTATAAGGCACAATGCCACTATATAAGTAGATAGTATTCCCTTAGATAGGAGCTTCGTGCTCAACTTAAGATAGTATTCTTTACAATACTATAACGTGTTACTTAGAAAGCCTTTGTGTTTAATCCCCTGCCTCCTCTGTTAAGTCAACCTTATGTAAGAAACCTCTGTGTCTTCTATCGTTTTAGTAGTTAGCGTTACACTTTCCATCCCTAAACAGATGGCTAAACAGAAAGATTAAATCAAACCCTTAAACAATACCTATGGAGTTATGTCAACTACTAACAGGACAATTAGGTTCAGATATTACCCATCGCACAGTTCGCATATAACAGCGCAATGACTGAAGCAACAAAATTTTCACCGTTCTTTGCTAATTACAGCTACTAGCTAGAGGCATATAGGCAACTATGGAACAACTGAAATCGTTCCACAAACAACTTGCGACAGACATCTAATTCATAAATGAACGATCTACTGTGTACGCTAACAAGAAGCGTAGTATAAAACCTGCCTTTAAGGAGGGGGATCAAGTATGCCTACTCTAGAAACACATCAAAACGTAATGACTATGAAGTTGGACTTTCAGAAATTAGGACCATTCAAAATATTAAACAAAGTCAGCTTAGTTAATTATAGACTAAAGCTACCTAAGAAATAGTCGTATGTGACAGTGATCCATCTGCCGGGGACTAAATACGAATAGTTATATCCCACATCACAAGTCACCAAGCAAAACACATCCGTCCGAAGAGTAAACATGTAGTTGATAGATATCTACTCTATTTAAACCATTCCCCCATCTCATTTTTATTTATCTAACACCCAGCAGCACCGGTGTAAGCATCAAAGCCACGCTGGATGTTCGCCGAGATCTTGCCCGCAAGCTGCGCAGCAATCGGCTTCAGGAGAGTCGACACCTTAGCAGTAACAACCGTTGCCAGCGCCTTCGCACCCGCCAGCTGGGCCTGGAAATCCGCGAGGACAGCCGGGCCAAGGCAGTTCACCACAAAGGCGTCCTTCTCTTTGGGCTTGTTGTTGCCGCTCTGGGGGAAGGAGATGGAGTCATGATCGAAATGCGCTGAGGTGGGTGATGCGATTCGGGAGGTTGACTGGATATGAGACCGTGATGAGGTAGTTGAGCTGCGGTTCACAGTTTGTACTGGGCCCTGCTGTATCTGTAGTTGGGCTTTCATTAGTTAGTTGGGGTTGCATTGTGTCTCCCGGCTTGCATTCGGCGAGCTTGCCCCAGAGTCTCGGCCGTAGTCGCTAGTTAGAGAGAATGTGCTTCCCTTCCTGCCGTGCTTCAATAATGCGTTTCCTTGTTGAAACTGATCACGTTGTTCCGCGGGGCTAAAGCTTGATTGCTACTGCCATGGGGTCATCTGCCCCGAAGGACTTGAACCCACTTGACTTTGTTGCCATGGTTGTAGCTGCCCCGAAGGACTCGAACCCGCCTGACCTTGCTGTCATGGCGCCAGCTGCCCTGAAGGACTACAGCCCATCTGGTTCTGCTGCCACTGCCCTAAATGCCCCGTACGGCTCCCACCACTATGATCATCCCCTGGGCTCGCCATCGACGGGCTCCCTCCCCCACTGGCAAGTAGCGACGACTGGCTTCCCCCCCATTGCCCGCGCCGGAGCTTGAGCAGCGCGCTCAACGTCATATTCTCGTCCTCCTGATCACTCAAGAGCCCCGCAAGCTGCGCAAGACCCGGGCTAGTCAGCGATGCAGAGCCGTGGCTCATGTTGCTCGCCAGCTGCGGCAAGCTCATCATAGAGTTGCGATTCGAGTACTCGCTGCGCTCGGTAATAGGCGTGAGATTCGGCTCGCGCACACGTCCGCTCTGGCTCCTGATAATCCCTTCAGCTCCACGGGGTCCGAAGAAGCTGCCATTGGCGTAGAGGGCTTCGGTGCTGGCGGGTGCAGAGTAGAAGCCAAATTCTTGACTGTAGAAGCCGTCATCGTCGAAGGCTAGGGCTTCGGCGTTGGCCTCAGCAATGATGGGGTCGTCTTCGAAGGCGTCGTCGTAGTCAAAGTCATCTTCTATGCTAGGTGAGTAGGGGTTGGCTTCGTTGGGGTCGCCCTCATACTCGTCACCAATATTGCCTCTTGGTGTGCTATCCCGACGAAATCTGCCGCTTGCAGCTGCGGCATATGCTGCGGCAGCCAATGCCGATTGATATGCGCTGAGAGTATCTTGTGTCAAACTCATCGGAGCTGGCTGCAACTGTTTCGGGCTGTCAGCCTGAGGTTGGGTATCGGAAAGCACTGTTAACGGCTCCACTGGAAATTGGTCTTGCTGTGCTGTCTGGTTTTGAGAGTCTGCACTTTCTCTCTTACTGAGATTCAGTGAGTCCGTTATCGTGTGGATGAGAGGCGGCGAGTATAAAGTGGGAAGAGAAGATAATGGGGCCAGGGGCCGGCCATATTGATCAGTATCATCATTATCGAAAATAGATTCATCTAATTCCGGGCCCTCTGGGTCATAATCGTTGTGGTCAATCATGCCGTCATCGAAGTACATATCGTCTTCGTCCAGGACTTTCCTCGGAGCGATAATCTGAGATTGACGATAAGGAACGAGAGGCTCGGTGACGGGCACAGGATCTTGGTCGAGCCCGAGGCCTTCGAGCCCCAGGCCACTAAGTTCCCGACTCTGCGCTATATTTGGGGAGATGCCGGCGTCCTCATAAGAAATCCCATTTGCTTCTTGTAGAGTTCCATGTGCTTCGGCTTCGGGCTCTCTCGACATCCCACGGCCGATTCGGTTTTCATCCAAGTCTCCCGGTGTGTAATCTTTATTAGGGTCCAGTGATCCAATTAGGCCTGTCGACGGTAAAGTAAACCCACCAATACCACACCGCTGCCCGAACATATCGTCATCGTCATCATAATCGTCGTCCATATCAGCATTGACGCCGGGAATCCGTTCTTCCAATCCATCATCGTCCATCATATTTTCATAATCGTAATCCTCTTCCTCGCCAAACACTCCAATATCTGGTTCTGGAGTCTCGCTCTGCTTCCTCAATGCCTTTTCTCTATGCCTGTCCTCTAGCAGCTTTTCCTGGCTAGCCGCTCCTATCATATCGAAGCTGAATCTAGACGAGTTGCTCTTCATATGCTTCATGGTCGATGAGCTGTCTCGGTTCGAAATGAGAGATGCATTTCGTAGCTGGCGTTGTGAAGACAAAGATGACGATGAATATTTGGAATGTTTGCGGCGGCTGCTGATCGAGGCCTGCCTGACGGTTTGGGTGTCTTCGTCCTCAAGTAGCCCTGTGTCGCAACTGCCAGATGGGCCAACTGTCGGGAGGTTTTCCTTGGGTTTATTTTGTGCTATTTCGGTTTCTGGGGTAGCAGGTTTGGCGGCGCTCGTATCTGGGGTGTTTGCTTTGGACGACTGTGCTTCTCTAGCATAAGCCGGCCGGGGCGGCATCGCCAGGTCAGAAAAATCATTTGCCTTTCGAACATGGGGTCCAGCAGCCGGATGCTGTTCTTCCTCAAAATCCTCTTGGAAGGCGGGCGTATGAGGGCTCCACTCTCCATCTTCAGGCGTCTTATCCTTTTTGACATCAACCTGAAGCTGTCCAGTCTTCGCTTCAGCAGGCTTTCCATGCGACACGGTGGGCCTCGGCCTCGGTGCGCTGAAATCGTGAACCTTCGTCCCGCGGATTCGGGGATCATAGTCTGATGGACTGAGTTGGGTTGGAAAGTTCCCCGTCGGGACCGCTAGGAGCTGTGGCACAGGCTGCGCCGTCCTGCGGCGAGCCAGTAGTGACATGGGGTTCAGGAGGTTTCGCCTTGTCTTGCTGGGGCTCTTCTGCGATGCATCGAAATTGGATATAGGGTTCGCAGGCAGTGTTGGTGGTGGCGACGGCATCCTGGCTCCCATTGGTCTCCGGGCAACGTGGGCGTGGGTCGATTGAAGGTATGCGGATGTGACAAATGGCAATCGCCCGCCACCTTGACCCTGCCCTGACGGCTGCCGCAGGCTGGTGCCTGACTGCCCATAGTTGTTCTGAGGGGGGTATTGAGGCCGTTCTGATGAATATAGACCTGCATTCGACAGGCGCGACATGGGCACCTGCTCGAAGCTCTTCGGCTCAGTCGGTCTGGCTGCGCCATTCGGTCTAATGGGCTCCGACTGCTTCTTCTCGGGCGAAGAAACGCGGGCAATTGGAGGCAGAAACGGAGGGTTGTCTGACGGTGTGCGAGGCCCGTCTGGTGTGCTGTTATCCTCCAGTTTTCGAGATATGTAAGGATGCGAGTGTTGTTCCGGGGTCAGCTGTGAAGTGCGCTCAAAGGAGTGCGGCCGGTCCGAAATGGGGGAGACTGGGTTCGAAGAGGGATTGCGCCTGTGCGGCTTCAAGTATGAGAACATGCCGGTCGAAATGCGACAATCGCGTTGCAAACGTCTACAATTATGTTAAAGGCTAAAGGGGTCGTTGGGTCAGCTTTGGTCCACCTGTAGGGCTGGTTCGATGCTACTTACATCGCGCATATTGGGTTCCCCAGCTTCATAGATCTCCCTCTATTGATCGTGTGTCGCAGTACCAAACCCAAACAGGGCAATTGCTCCCAGGAGAAGAAGTTGCGAGGCTCTATCGCCAGATGACAACCTTCAGAATATTGTTTTGAGGCAGATATGGCATTTTGTTCGATGGGCGCAGTAATTATATTACGGGGCGATCTCAGGTCGTATACATCGAAGGATCGTAATCGTCCCGTAAGCAGTCGCGCGCTGTCGATTGCTCACTTCCTGGTCTTTGCTGGGTATATGTATTAATCCAGAATATACAAATTGATGCGCTGCTGTGATTATACAGCTTCACTCGTCATCAAGTAACTGTGAAGTCGGCAGTATCGGATATTTGGTAGCATTTCGAGATTGCCATCAGCCGCATCAAGCCCCAACTGTCCCGCTGCCACGGCGCAACAGTGCCACCGAACTTCGTCAGCAGCTAGCGTCGCAATCCGCTGAAACGTCTCATTTCCAGCACACATTAAAATATATGAGTATTTTTTTTCTCTTGCTTATCTTTTAACTTTTTCAGCTTTCGCCAAGTTGAGGCTGAAGGTTTCTTGCACATGGTACCAAAACATGTCTTATAATATTTATGGTACCTCGGAAAAAGGACGGTTCTTTGAACCTTACCCATATTCCAAGTAAGTCTTACTCAGTCCCGTCTAGAGACCTGTGGTGCTATCAGTGTCTATAGTAACATAACCATAAGCAAATTAACGTTATAATTAATCGTCGCGACCAACTTTTCGCTTCGCTCAAGGTTGGAGTAAGCTGTTCACCGCCACTTCTTGATAAAACTTCTACCATAGCTACACATACTATTTTATATAGTAAATCTATGCAATTCATTTAATGGAAGGGACTCTTCTATCAAATGCCTGTAAATGGCTAGCAGAGAACCCCTCTGAAACAGCAACTACTGCTAGTCGGGTTTTTAAGGTTCCTACATCAACTATACGCTCAAGCAGCCGCCGCCAACTAGCCCAACCACTACCCCGAGGGGGTAAGAATAAGATGCTCACAGAAGCTATTAAGAAGTGGATTCTAGAGCAATATTACCTAGGGCTCGGAGCTACGAGAGCCATGATATTTACTGCTGTCTGTAAGCTCCGGAGCCCGAAGCCACCACCATCACCAAGCTGGCTTACAAAATATATACGGAATGAGCTTCAAGACTTCCACTTTATTACTACGAAGCCAATTGCACAGCTACGTATGAAAGCTCAAGATGGGTCTAGTATTATAAATTGGTTTCGAGACTACCTTGAGTTTATACTACGGTGTAGTATAAAGCCAGAGTCAATCTGCCATGGATGAAACTGGCTTTAGAATTGGAATTCCAGGAGGTGAGAAGGTTATTGTGCCACGAACAGCAAAGGAGCTCTATACTCCAAGCCCTGAAAACCATACGTCTATTACTATTCTTGAGGCTGTGTCTGCAGTAGGAAAAGTCATACCACCAGTACTTATCATTCTGGGCAAAATATATATGGAACTTAGTACCATGCCAACCTTGAAGGCACAGAGCTAGTACTACTCTCCGACTCTGGGTTTTCACATAGCAAGCTTGCTCTTCGGTGGCTAGAGCATTTTGCTAAGCATACACCCTTGGAGGATACAAGGGTTCTATTACTCGACTCTCATGTAAGCCATACTGTAATGGTGGGTGCACCAGATGTGAGAATTTAGCCACCCAAGGAAAAAGGGATGATTTTACTAAGACAACACACTGTCTTAGGAAACAGAGCCAAAGGGTTGTAGCTTAGACTATTCCACAACGCAGCAATCAAGTGTATGATGTAGTGGAGTGGTTTAGACCCGGTAAGCCAGTTCCTATAGCTCTCTTTTGAGGGGCTACTAGAGCCCCCCAGAACCCAGATTTTCCAGTGCTGTAGCCCCTCTTCTACCTCCTGAAAAGGTGAGGGTTTTGGGGTAGAAACCCAGATTGGTAGGGTAGTAGGGTAGGCGTAGGTGTAGGCTGTGAGTGGTCTGTAGTTTCGTGAGGGCTGTATTACAGCTTATAGGCCAAATACCAGATTTCTGAAAAGCTGATATTATAGTAGACTCCTTAAAAGTCTGCTCCCAAATGCATGTGAGATCTCTCATGAAGGATTGTAGGTCGTAGGTAATGTCCATATCCCGTCTGGCAGTAAGCACAGCTACTTGATGCCAGTGCTTATAAGGCTGGAACACTCCCACGTCTAATGGCTGTAAAACATGTGTAAGATGTGAGGGAAAGGTATATATAATAATGTTGTGTTCTTCTGCTGCAATGACGAAGTCATGGCTCGTATGTGTCATACTGACATTCGTTGCACTCAGTTTGCTATCAAACTCAAGAGCAAACTTAGAAATCTCCTCCTCAAACCTACAAGTCACTATACATATTTTGGCTTGTCACACCAACAACAAGAGCAATACTACTCAACGATTGCTACAACCCTCTATGATTCATTACACATCATTGCTCCTTAGTTACTGGGCCGATATGACCACATAGCATATCTCTACAACCCTCTATGATTCATTACATGACATCACTCCTTAGTTACTGGGCTAATACTACACATGACATATCTCTATCAACTAGAGGCCTAGGAACATGAACGATAGCTCCAAAAGCTTCTACAACCCTCTGTGATTCATTACACGTCATCACTCTTTAGTTACCCACAAGATTGGTTAAGTTATGACATAATTTGTCTGTGACATAATTTGTCTATGACATAATTTGTCTATAGGGGTACTCTGACCTTGGACCTCCTTTTACTTCCTATAGGCTACGAACCTAAGAGATGGTTCTATGGGATTCTCTTACATCGACTACAGTTACCAAGCCTGGTAAGTCATGGAAAGTCTTGGAAAATGAAAAAACTACACTCCTTTAGCATAATCGGGTGTGGAAGCAAGTTGCGCGCTCTCGCTTAAAAGTGGAAGCAAGTTGCGCGCTCTCAAATTGCGACCGTAAGTACCACGCCATAGTAATTTGTATGTAGAAGTACTTAAAAATTCAAATCTACGAAATTATCACTTTTCATTCTCACGCTCACTCTCACTTTCATGCCCGCTCCCACTCCCACCCTCACTCGCACTCTCATATTCGGACCCAGAATCAGCTTCTGGGTCAGTAATTGGGTCTTCTAACTCCGGAGGAATTGGGAGGCCCGATTTGGTAAGCTGAGCCACGGTCTTCTTCCGGAGGCGCTCCTGTTTCCGGGCTTCAATTCCTGCCTGGTGGAGCTGCTTCTGGGCTTGCTTTGTGGCCTGGCTTTGCTTCCGGGCTTCGGCAGCAGCGAGCTTCTGGGCCTGAAGCTCGGCTTTCTGGGCTAGAAGCTTGTGGGCTTCAGAAGCCCGGAGCTCACCTCCAACCTGGAGCCGGCCGCGGCCCCCCCGCTTCCTCTTTGAGTTCTGGACCTGATGCCGAATAGCCTGTAGGTCGAGTTCCTGGAGCTGGCCGGTAGCCAGAACCCGGGCGGCCCCAGTGGACCAGTTACTGTAGCTCTGGCGTGAGGGGCTACTAAAGGCCTCCGGAAGCCGGTCTTTCCATCGCTGTAGGCCCCGTTCTACACCCTGGAACGTAGTGGGTATAGGCGTTATAGGCCGTGGTAAGGTAGGCGTAGTAGGCCCTATAGGCCCTGTAGGCGTAGGCTGCGAGTACGTACGCAGCTTCTCTAGGGCAATATCACAGCTTATAGGCCAGATGCCAGCTTTCTGGAACGCTGACTGTATAGTGGACTCCTTGAAGGTAAGCTCCCGCATGCGTGGGAGATCTCCTATAAATAGGGCTAAGTTGTAGGAAGGGTCTATTTCCCGTATAGCACAGAGCACAGCCTGCCTATGCCAGTGCTTATAAGGCTGGAATATTCCCACGTCTAATGGCTGTAGAATGTGTGTAAGGTGGCTGGGAAACGGGAATATGATGATGTGATAATCTGCAGCTAGAATAACGAACTCAGGGCTCGTATGGCTCACATGAGAATCGAGTAGTAGAAGCTTAGGATTTCCCGGGCTATGTGGAGCAGTATGCTCTATAAAGTGCCGTAACCACCGTAGAGCAAGCTGGCTATTAGAATAGCCAGTTTCTGAGAGTAGTATTAGCTCGTCGCCACTAAGGTTCTCTGGGTACCACGCCTCCATATGTATTTTACCTGGTACAACAAGTACAGGTGGAATCTTCTGTCCACCTGCAGATACTGCCTCTATAATCGTAATAGATATACGATTCTCAGGGCTCGTAGTATAGAGCTGCTTTACAGCTCGGGGGACTAAGACCCTCTCACCCCCTGGAATTCCGACCCTAAATCCAGTTTCATCCATATTCCAGATTGACTCTGGCTTTATACCACGCTGTACTACTAATTCCGTGTACTCTTTAAACCACTTAATAACAGTAGGCTCCTGTTGAGCTTTCGTACGCTGTTGTGCAATAGGCTTTGTAGTAATAAAGTGGAAATCAGCTTTAAGCTCATTCTTCATATATTTAGCAAGCCAGCTCTGTGACGGTGGAGGTAGTGGGCTCCGGAGGTGGCATACAGCCCCGTAGACCATATGCCTATTAGCTCCAAGCCCTAGGTGGTATTGCTCTGTAATCCAGGTCTTTAGGGCCTCGGTCTGGCCTGTAGAAAGCACCCTATTATGACCTCCATGGGGCGGCTTCCGGGCTGCTTGAGCTGCTCGGGTGATTTTCGACCGTATAGTCGACTGTGGGACCTTAAAAATCCGACTTGCAGTACTGACAGCTTCAGAGGGGTTTGCTGCTAGCCATTCACAGGCATTTGATAGAGGTGTCCCTTCCATTAAATGAATTACATTTGATTACTATATAAATTACTATATGGGGGAATGTTCGAGGTTTTAGTAAAGAGTAGCGGTGAACATATGCAGGTGTTGAGAGCGCGCAACTTGCTTCCACTTTTAAGCGAGAGCGCGCAACTTGCTTCCACACCCGATTAAATAGGATTGCCCTTTCCTTAAGAAATGTAATGGTGGGTGCACCAGATATGAGAATCTAGCCACCCAAGGAAGGGATGAATTTACTAAGACAACACACTGTCTTAGGAAACAGAGCCAAAGGGTTGTAGCTTAGACTATTCCACAATGCAGCAATCAGGTGTATGATGTGGTGAAGTGGTTTAGACAAGTTGCAACAAATGTTGAGTCTGAGAACTCAGGGGTAAGTCAGAGGTTAGCACCTCACTGACTTTTCAAAAACAGAGAATAACAAGATCAATGCTTGGAAGCTTGGAAAAGACGTAGAAGTATGTGCTAGTCGATTTACTGTATTGCCTGCTTGCCCTTTCTTAAGGAAAGGGCAATCCTATTTATGCCAAAGGAGTGTAGTTCTCTCATTTTCCATGACTTTCCATGACTAACCAGGCTTGGTAAATGTATTAGAAATCAAGTGCGACCCACAACTAGCTTGCTAATCATGTAGTGAACGTAAGAGAATCCCATAGAACCATCTCTTGGGTTCCTAGCCTATAGGAAGTGAAAAGGAGGTCCAAGGTCAGAGTACCTATAGACAAATTATGTCATAACTTAACCAATCTTGTGGGTAACTAAGGAGCGATGACGTGTAATGAATCATAGAGGGTTGTAGAAGCTTCTAGAGCTATCGTTCATGTTCCTAGGCCTCTAGTTGGTAGAGATATGCCATGTGGTAGTATTGGCCCACCCCCTTAAGGAGGAGATTTTCTTAATAACTTGTTCAATGAGTGTCCAAATGATATGCCGTGATGTATGTAGCATAAACAGATGTAGTAGAAGAGTTTGCAGCAATCGTTGAGTAGTATTGCTTCTGTTGTTGGTGTGATAAGCCAAGATATGTATGGTGACTTGTAGGTTTGAGGAGGAGATTTCTAAGTTTGCTCTTGAGTTTGATAGCAAACTGAGTGCAACGAATGTCAGTATGACAAAGAGCGTCTTGAGGTAGAAGAGGAAGTGGTGGCATCTCAGGAGCGAGAGGCTCACCTCTGCGCTCAAGAAGCATATGCCCGTCGCATGCGTCTTCGCAAACACCAGAAGGCTCTCAAAACCCGTGGTGTTGAGATGCTGCATCATGGTCTGAAATCTTTGGACGAATTGGATGAAGCAGAGGAGAAGGAGTGTAGGGAGGCAGAGGTCAAAGGGACTCTCTTGCACAGCCCTTCTACTGCCGTTTCTGAGGGTGCTGCCTCTGACCAGGACCTTTTCGTGGCCCTGTCTCCTGGCTTCTTTGATCGCTTGGGTGTTGACGGCGAAACGCCTCCAGTAGCTCTGGACAGCTAATGTTTCTGACCGTTTTCCATGAATTATCCGTAGGTTCATAACCTTTCCATTTTATCACAAACTCTTCTTTGCGTCCTACTAACCTTCTGTCTAGGATCGCTTCGACTTCGTATTCAACAATGTCATTCTCTGGTTGAAGTTCTGTATCAGTCGCAATTGGGGTTCTTCCTCTTGCTGGTTCCAATAGTGAGACATGAAATACTGGGTGTAGTCTAGACTTCTTGGGTAGCTGCAGTCTGTAATTAACTGAGCTGACTTTGTTCAATATTTTGAATGGTCCTAATTTCTTGAAGTCCAACTTTGTACTTGGTCATTTCGTTTTGATATGTTTCCGGAATAGGTATACTTTATCCCCCTCCTTGAAGGCAGGTTCCATACTGCGCTTCTTGTTTGCATACGCGGCAGATCGTTCATTTAAGAATTGGATGTCTGTCACGAGTTATTCATGGAACGATTTGAGTTGTTCCACGGCGATCATAGCTTGTTCTGCTCTTGATTCATCCGGTCGTGGTTGTCTATATGCCTCTGGCTGATAGCTGTAATTGGCAAAGAATGGTGAGACTTTTGTTGCTTCAGTCATCACGTTATTATATGCGAACTGTGCGATGGGTAATATCTGAACCCAGTTGTCTTGTTGGTGGTTGACATAACTCCGTAGGTATTGTTCAAGGGTTTGATTTAGTCTTTCTGTTTGACCGTCTGTTTGGGGATGGAAAGCTGTTGATAGCTTATGATTTGTTCCCAAAAGCGTCATTAAAGATTTCCAAAATTTCGAAGTAAAAAGCTTGTCTCTGTCTGAGATGATTTCTTCCGGTAATCCGTGATCGGCTAATATGACTCGAAGGAAGGTGTATGCGAGTGCTTCAGCATCACTAGCTTCTAAATATGGCACAAATATTCCATATTTCGTGAGTCTTTCCGTAATAATCAGGATAGCATCAAATACTACTCCTGTTAACGGGTCCTGAGAGGGTGGTAGCTTGGCGATGAAGTCCAAAGCTATGGATTTCCATGCTCCTGTTAGTACTAGTGTCAATTTAAGCTGTTCATATGGAAAGTGCCTATTAGATTTCGATTTGCTGCAAATGTCGCACTCTCTTACTACCGTTTTTACCTGCTTCCTTATACCTAGGAAGTAGTAATGTTAGGCGATTTGTTCGGAGGTGCATGTTACTCCCTAATAGCCATGTGCTAGTAGCGAGTGTTGTTCTTGCACTAGCGGGCGTCTCATTTTGTTTGGGACATACACTAATCCTTTGAATCGGATCAATATGCAACAGATGAATGTGCAAAGCGAGTCTTAATAAAAACTGAAGGCGACTTCGCCATCGACCTTTCTTGAGTCTTTCTTCCAACTCCGAGTTCTCCACAGTGGCAATAGTGGCTAGCAACTCATTGTATTGCATTCCTGCATCTGTCTTCTTCAATATGGCTCTAGGTCTTTCCTCTTTAGGGCCGATGTAGTCGGTCCTTCTGCTAAGAGTGTCAGCTCTTGCATTCTCAGAGCCCTTGCGATATGTAATCATGAAGTTGTAGGCTGCGAGTGTCTCTGCCCATCGGACTTGTCTGCAGTTTAAAACCTTGGTTGTGGTGAAGTATATGAGATTCTTATGATCCGTCCATACCTTTACTGGGTAGGTCGATCCTTCAAGATATACTCGCCATTGCTCAAAAGCAACGACAATAGCTATCAGGTCCTTGTCATGGATGTCATAGTTGAGCTCCGCAGGTGACAGTTTTCTAGAGTAATATGCAACTGGCTTAGGCTTCTCGTCCTTGCCTGGCTGACTTAGACAGGCTCCAATTGCGAAGTCAGAGGAGTCCGTTTCGAGGACAATCCTCTTTGCAGGGTCGAATGTGACTAGGATAGGTGCTTCTGTGAACTTCGTCTTAAGTTCCTGAAAAGCAGCCTCTGCCTTGCTTGTCCATTCGAATGTAAGGTCTTTCCTTGTAAGCTCCGTAAGTGGTTGAGCTACCTTGGAATATCCCATAATAAACCTCCGGTAGAAGTTGGCAAAGCCTAAGAAGGCTTGTACTTCTTTGACCGTGGTTGGTGTTGGCCATTCCAACACTGCTGTGACCTTTGCTTGGTCCATTTTGATGCCATGCGTTCCGACAATGTAGCCTAAGAATTCTACTTGATCCTTGTGGAATTCGCATTTTTCTGGCTTGAGGAGTAACCGATGCTCCTTTAACTTCTGTAATACCTTCCGAACATGACCAATGTGTTCTGTTGGGTCTCCTGAGTAGACTAAGATATCATCTAGGTAGACGATAACAAACACATCCAAATATTCATGGAGAGCTGCATTCATGAGCCTCTGCATGGATGCTGGTGCGTTTGTTAGACCAAAGGGCATAACCAAGTATTCGAACAAGCCATAGCGGGTGCGGAATGCTGTTTTCCACTCATCTCCTTTCTTGATTCGAATCAGATTATAGGCGCCTCTGAGGTCCAGCTTGGTAAATATCTTGGCTCCCTGGAACTAGTCGTCTAGTTCGTTTATCAAAGGTAAAGCATATCTATCTTTGATAGTGACATTATTCGTTCCTCGATAGTCCACGCAGAGTCTTAGCTTCTTGTCCTTCTTTGGCACAAATAGTATTGGACTTCCTGCTGGTGATGTCTATGGTCGAATGAACCATTTTGCGAGGTTCTCATCAATGTATTCCTTCAGTACGTCTAGCTCTGCTGCTGACATCTGATATATTGGTCCGAACGGTGGACTCTTTCCTTTCATGATAGGTATCTCATGATCCCATGGTTGGTGCTTAGGAAGTGCCTCTTCGTTAGGGCCTTCCCGGAATAACTGCTCGTATTCCTTATACTACACTGGTATTTGCTTCAGTGAGGATGCCTGGGCTAGGTCATCAGACTCGGTGGTCACACATAACTCCTTCCGGTCTTTGGAGGTTTTCTCCTTTTGCGGCATGTCCGTTCGTTGTTCACATGCGCATTGGCTCATCACAACTTTCTCATTCCGCCAGTCGATCTGGGGGTTGTGTTTCTTGAGCCACGGTACACCAAGTATGCATGCATGATTGTCCATGTGCACGATATCAAACTGTATCGTTTCCTTGTGTCCGCGTAGCATGACCATTCCTAATGGGACCGTCTTGGGTCACCATTCCATTGTTAGTTGAGATGGGCTCTCCATCTACAACCATTAATGGGTATGGGTCGGTCTTCAGTTGCATCCTGAAACTGTATGTGTCTGCTACTTTCTCTGTCATAAAGTTGCCCGTTGCTCCTGAGTCTATCATAGCTCAGAGGTGTTGCTGTTGTATCTTAGCAACCACATATAGCTGCATGCCGCCCATTGTGGCACATAGCTGGTTTCTACTAGGCCTCTTTGTGTCGCTCGCCAGTGCCCTACTGCTGAGGACTCCTAGTTTTTTGAATTGTCTGAGGAATAACCGTCTGAGGAAAATCCATCATGTTCACCATATTCTAATGGTCGTAGAACTGGTACCCTTTCTCTTCTTCGTTCTGCTTCACGGCGTAGGCGTTCGTGTGCTTCTAACACTCGTGTTCCCCTTTCTTCTCTTGGGATGCTTTCCTGCTGGTGAGGGTATTCTGGTTGGCACCTCACTGTGCGAACTGCAACCTCCCAGTCTTGTGTAGTGTCCTGCCAGCTCATTGGTGGCTTGGGCACAGGAATTCTTTGATCAACCATCTCCTGAAGCATGGCTTCCTTAAAGGTTCTTACTGCTCCTGGCAGTTGTTCCTTGAAGAGAGTCTTACTTGCTGTCTTCTCAAATGCTTGTAACCAGTGCTTTTGAGAGCTAGTGAGCTCCTTGTCGTCGTTCTTGTCTTCTCTGTTTGACAAGTGGAATTCCTCGAGATCCTGAGTAGTAATACTCCAGTTCTCTTTTCCTTTTAACGTGGCACATAGCTGTCCTCGCGGGGCGTTGCACCCGCCTTGACCTTGCCAAGTAGCATTAAGCTGTTTGCCATACTTTCGTCCTCCATTCCCTTTCTTTGACTGTCTGCAGTTTCGCGCTATGTGCCCAGGCTTATTGCAGTTGAAGCAGAGCCGTTCTTGGAACTGTCACTCCTTGTTGGAATTGTGGGGTTTGCCATTAGGCTTGAAAGTAGCGTCGAGTTCCATAGGTTGGGGCCAATGACTCTTTGTTTGTCTTCTCTTCTGAATCCAGTGTTGACTAGGTGGTCCCCCTTTCTTCTCGAGTTGCTGTTCGTAGTGATGATTGTCAATCTTCTGAGCCAATTCAATCATCTCTCTAAGGTCATCTGGTTTGTCAGACCTTGAGATTTCGTCCTTCACATGGTCTTTCAGACCTGCGTAGAATTGGTCACAGATAGCCTCATCTCCCCAGTTGGTGAGAGTTGCATGCTGTTGAAACTCAGCGGTGTATGCAACTGCTGACCCTCTCTGCTTGAGAGCCTGGAGTGCCCTGACTGCATTTCGTCGTTCATCGAAGTTTGCCTTCAGCGTTTTGAGGAATCTGTTCCAGGATACAAAAATTTCCTTCGTTCCTTGGCTAGCTAAGGTGTTGCATTTTCCATCGGGTGTTTGATGGTTCATGTAGTCAGCGAGGTAGTTAGAGATCCATTCTGAGGCTGGTCCTCAAAAGAGTGCCACAGCCCATAGGACCTGTTCCACTTCTTTGTTGAAGTGTTTGCGTTAAACACCATCCATAGCTCCGTCTGGATGATGAAGCTCTTAAGCTTCTTGCGATCCCCATAAAAGGTGTCTGGGAATGCAATCTTCAACTTGTCCGAAGGGTGAGCCTGTGGGGCTTCGATGGTAGGTTCAGTAGCAACCTTCCCCTTCAATCCAACGTTTGATCCAGTATCGTCTCCAGCCATGTTGCTTTGTGTGTAAGCCGGTACCTCATAGAAGTGGTGCTCAAAGTGTAATGCTGACTTCTAAATGATAGAAGACACAGAGGTTTCTTGCGTAAGGTTGACTTGACAGAGGAGGCAGGGGATTAGACACAAAGGCTTTCCAAGTAACACGTTACAGTATTGTAAAGAATACTATATTGAGTTGAGCACGAAGCTCCTATCTAAGGAACTACTATCTACTTATATAGTGGCGTCGTGCCTTATGGGTAATCTGAATAGTTGGCGGATAGCTAGATATTTAGGATAGTTTGTGGATAGCTCAACTATCCAATATCCACTAGTTTCTGCAACTATCCATTAGCCCCGTCACATGGCAGCCTACTCTGCTTGCCCCCTGTGACTCACACGTCACGTTACTAGGCCCTGGTCCTGTAACCATGACATCACGTTACTATGCCGTAACATTTTTGGCTTAGTGGGATGTAGCATAGCATAACCATACATCGTTATAGATACAGAGCTAAAAACCTATTCAGCTTTCCTTTGCTAATGCTCAACCCCTTCTACTGTCTGCCTACTCATTTTAGATGTCATTGTAATATTGTATGTAATAGGATCTTCGACAGCTTGTAGTAGCATACTCCGATTTGCAGGAATACTACGCTCGAGTTAGTCATGTATAAATTGGTAAATTGCAGCATCTTGTGCAGGTGTCAATACTCAGTTTTGTCCTCTATATGGCTTGCACATTATAGATGTCAGCTTCGATATGTGTCATCGTAGAGTTTCGTACTTAATGTCAAATTTTGTAGTGACCTAGGAGATTGTATGGGCTTGTAGAGGCTTTAGCATACCCAACTCGCTTCCGCCACCTACTCGCTTCACTCATAGGTGGATAAACCACCAAGTAGTGTATTTGTATTTGCCAAATAGTGCAGACAATGCCAATAGATATCATTGCCTACTTTAAGAACTGTGTTAGCACCTCCATCCATATGCTGTTAAATCCATGATGTTCAAGAGCGCTGCTTGACTAATACACAAGTTGCTTCGGAACCAGCTTGTGTGAAAGCTTCAGAGCTGTTTCTCATCGATTAGGCATAGTCAGACATTTTTCTGATGTTGTTTAGGTTGAAATAGGCTTGAAGTAGGCGCATCTAATGACACCTTAAAAACCCTTCATTTTTTTCCTGGTGGCCCGAGGCTCTTATGATCCGATAGGACTTGCACTGGCATTGCTATGCCTTCAATCTCATCTCCATGCTTCAAAACACCTAATAAGCGCAAGAAGCTCCTTGTCGTAGATCTCGTAGGTGCATTCTGCAGGTGCCATTTTCTTGGAGAAGAAGGCAACAGGGTATAGTATTCCTTGGGTGTCCTTCTGTGACAGAACTCCGGATGGACTGATAGTCTAGGTGGACTATCAGTCTGGACTATTTAGACTAGACTACTGACATGCCTGAGTGCTCCCCATGAAGCTCTTTCATAGCTAGAACCGATTTCTAGAGAGCTCCCTGCTCATTGGTATAGTAACTGACGATTCCGAGAAGTGAATGTGCATTTGGTGAAGTCCATAAGTCGGGAGTAAAATGGATAGAAGAGATTGCTGACTAGAGGGCTAATTTGACGTGTTCCTTCTCTTGCTAAAAGGCCCGGAGTATCCAGCCTTGAATGTTTGCATGTGCAGATGGTAGCCAAGTGTTAATATCAGGGTTTATGTACTCCAAAATCGTACAGAATTCCTCTCTTTCTACCATGCGGAAAAAGACATTACAAGAAGTAATCCAACGAACAACAAGTTGCTCTAGCGTTCTAGGGTCTAATGTAGCTCCGTTGGTATCAGAATCGAGGTGCCAGCGTGAGTAGGAAGTTTCCTGACATCGTTCGAAAGCATGGCGGATTGTAGCTTGCCTAGCTAGAGACTGACATTTTTATACTGTGCGTCTTAAGGTGCTGCGTGATATTCCGTGTGCCTGCAGACTCTTTGTAAGCTTTAGGGCATAGCTTACAACTCATATTGATTCTCCAGTATTGTTGGTCCAAATTGTATCTCGTCCACCTTCAGAATCAGGTAAATGATCCCATACCCAAGACCTGCGAGAAGTATTGCGTTTGCGTTTGTGAGAAGCTGGTGCTGATGAGGTGGAAGCTGTTGAAAATTAAGTGTATCTTCATTTAGATTCTCACTCGCAAGATCAGATAACACATTAGAAGACACTTGAGAAGACATTATAAACGAATTGATCTGTAAAACGAAGTTCAATTCCTAGAGAACACTTTAATATTTAAGGGCAACTGTGTCCTTTACGCAAAGTGAGACATGTCTTAAACTATAGTTTAAACTATAGAACTACAGTTCTCGTAAGCTAAAACGGAACTGAACGGAATAAGGAAATCTATTAACTGAACTGTAAACTTTAGAACTGAACTGAAAACTGCAGTTTAAACTGCAGTTTTGGAAAACTATTGACTACCCTGCGTAGTCAAACCCAAGAGTCATTTTAATCCCTCCATTGGAACCGGCTCGTCTTGAACATAGTAACCATCCCCATAGGCAACAACCCTGGCTGAACAACATTTAGGCCGCCAAACCTTCTAACCATTTCTGCAGCATACAACTGCATGATCCAGTAACGATAAGGGTCTGCATTGTCCTGGAGAAATCGGCATGGGTTTTCATCAAAGTCCTCGAGATGAAGTTGCTGTGGCTCCTCCATTAACAAGTCAAAAGCCTGAGCAAGCTCCGAAGATTTAAATTCGCGGTAGCGAGTGTATTCTTCAAAGGTGAGGAAGTCAACACTGTCCTTCAATTCGTGACCAGACTTTGGCGTAGATTCGAAAGTTTCTTTTGCATGTTGGTAAGCGTCTACCTCGTTTCGGAAAAACTCATCCATATAGATATGTGGCGAAGACGGCAGGGATTCGCGAACCAGATTTGGTCCGATGAAAGGGTTTTGCACTTCCAAGCCACCAAGAGAACTTGGAAAGTAAATATAGCCTTCAGGAATATCCTGAATGCCGAAGCGATCAGAAAGCATCTTCTTGATAACAGAGGTAACGCTGTTGCCTTCGTCGGTAAAGAGCTGTTTCTGGATCTTCTTGAAGGTTTCCAATATCTCATCGACATGTGCGCGGCCAAAGCAATTTGCAGGGCGCCCAAAGTTGGTAGTGAAGAACCGAGTCGCGTAGATATTCCAAGCCTGAATCCAGTCGAAGACGCACTTGCAGGATCTCAGCTGAAGACTGAGTTCCTTGATATGTTTATCAACTTGGTTTTGGTTGATTACAAATCGTCCGGATTCGGCGTCAAGTTTGAGGAATCCCCACACAACATCCCCAGCAGGGAGCACGGAGCTCGTTGATGTCAACTGGCTACCATGAGCAGCGATTTGAACACTGCCAGTCTTATCTTCGGCGAAATCCAAACCCATTAGCTCCGAGAACTCAGTCATAACATTCCAGCCCGTCTCGCAAGTGCTCTTATCACCCCAGAACCAGATATCGTCATGTAAGCGCCAGAGAAAGGCGCCATTTGTGCGCTGATTAAAATCGAAATCCAAGCAGAACAGAACGCTCTCGCCAAGCACATCACTTAAGGGGCCGGATATTGGTGTCCCTCTCTTACGAATCTGAATTGGAGCGTCAGGGCCATCATTGATAAGCTGCATTGGGGCCTCTAGGGCCCTTTTGAAGAATCCAATCCATCGATCACTGACGCCATAGTACCGAAGTACGGTGAACATGGACGAGTGTGCAAGAGATGGCCCAAACCACTTGAAATCCGAGCGGACAACAGTAACATCTTCGCCGAGCCGAGTTTTCATGATAATATCCGTTTCAAGCAGCCTCAATACCGTTTGCATAGTTTTTTGAGGGCTTTTTGTTTCCACATCTGAACAATCGTCGCTGTTATCATCGTTGTAAGCGTGAGGAGTTTCGTCAGCACGTGACTGAAGTTGCTCAAGAAAGACGTCGTCTCTCCAGATCGTTGCGCGTTTACTCTGAACGGATTGTCCGATGCCAGCTGTGCGTAGTGAATGACCGCAATCACTCCACTGTGATATCTCAGCCTTGGTCATGGCGGGCTGTGGATGTATCCATGTTTTTGAGGATTTGGTAAACGTTGTCAATGCCGCCTTCAAATGGGCCGACCAGGAACAACCTATGTATCTCAGGAATATGGCTTGCAAAAGATCCTCGTCGTGATAAAACCGGTATCGTCCATTGAGTTGCCGTCGTTGCTCGACGGGAGTACCTTCCACACCCCAACTCCATGTGTCCAAGTTGCGCATCCTCATATTCAACACATCGGCTAGCTCTTTGAGAACTGTTTTGTTGTTGGCGAAATCCGTGAGCGCGGTGCGTTTGGCGTCGGTGATACCGTCGCTGCCTAATATGCCGCCGATGATCCACTTCAAAGTCTCCTCGTCAAATTGTGTTCCTGACGATAGAGATTTCTCAAAAGTCCGAGTCGATTCCCGCAGGACCTTGAGAGGCTCTTCCATATACTTCGATGACGTGAAGAGCTGGTCGAGATAGGAATTTATTGCGACAATATCAGTTTCGAGTGGCGTAAAGACGTAGGATTCCCATGTAGAACGTTGCTCGTGCATCTCAGCGCGGCCCATTGCCTGGTACGAGGCACTCTCCGTATCGTTCTTATTGACTAGAGGGTTCTCAAGCCATTCTGTGACGAGATTCCCATACATTGCAGCGTACTCAAAACGAAGAGAGTTGACATCAAGGCGTCGGCGCAAATCCACCTCCCATTCCTTTTGCAGCCCCAAGGAGACCGACGGATCATGTTGGGCTTGCTTGATGAAGCATCGGATACTCTCGACACTAAAGGCTACATCCCCTCCGAGATCTTCTAGAGTGCACAGCTTCTCCCCCTTGTCAAGGAGTAATAATACTCTCTTAGATTGTTGCTCCTCAGCATCCACCAACTCCAGAAGCTCAGCTTTGCCAAGTTCAAAGTTGACCCGCAACTTTGACAGCTCTTGCAACTTTGTAGAAGTTATAGAGTCAAGCACCTGAGATATGACGTCTGTGGATGCCATGACTGTAGTGGAACGAATTGATTTGAGAAGTGGTTGCTAGCTGTACGGAGTACGGAGGTTATTTTGAACATTACCTTCGTAAGAATGAGAGGAGCGTAACAGGAAATTACGCTTGTATTTATAACCTGAATATGGACGACAAGGTATTTGCCATATGACTCACTCTACCCACATAATCCAGGAGTTTCTGGTAACTTAAAAGATCGATTTAGTTCCATGTTGTTGGTTCTCAAACAACATAGCCAAAGGCGGACGGCCGCCTTGGCGGGATATTAACGCTAACGTCTTATGGACACCGTGGCGTGGGCTCGGCGAACGCTATTTGGTATTGCTAAATATGATAATCACTACTCGGCGTACGGCTGACTGGTGCCAGGGAAAACTGAGTGTAGGATCGGCATCAGTCTCGTATAAACTACGCGTAGGATTAGCACCAGCTTCATAGAAGCTGGGCGTAAGGATCAGCGCCAGCTCGGTGTTTGAGACGGGCGGATCGCCCAGCTCAACCAGGCCTCAGGCCTGAGCTAAGCTTTTAGGGGCCAGTACGGAGGTGTTGTTCATAAGTTTTGTGAGTGGGTCGGGCTAGGGCCCCCTGCGTAGGCTGGTTTGGCAATTCTGGCCAAAGTACCGATTCTCACGCGTCACGAACACTTGAGTGTGAGAGCAATCAATTCTGTAGAATAATGAGTAGAGTAGATACCTAAACCCCTATATAAAACTATACTATAAGCCTAGTACTCTGTGTGCATACCATTTACAGCAATTACTGCTGCCATACGTGTAGGCATACTATTAAGGAGAGCATTAAGCTCAGCTTCTCCAACTTGCTCCCATGCTTCCTTAACAGCTACACGGAGCTGGTCGTAGGACATATGTTCTGGATGATTATCTTGTAGATAATTCTTCATAATATGCCACACCCGTTCAATTGGGTTGAGATCTGGTGAATACGGGGGCCATTCTATAGGGCAAATACCACGGGATCTCAACTCTTCATATGTTGCACCTGCTCTATGACCTGGAGCTCCATCTTGCATCAATGTAAGGCCTGGGTATAGGCGTAGCCAGCCGTGGATTAGAGGGACAGTATGAGCCATATAGGACTCAGCTCCTATTTTCCCATATTCCTTCTCCCAAAATAGTATAGGACCCTTTCCAAGACCACCTGAGAAGCAGCCCCAGAACATCCAACCTCTAGGGATTGTTAGTAAATCCTATAGTAAATAGGAGTCTCTTACCTTCTCCGTTGTACTCTATCTACAACACATGTATCATCCCACATTTCCCCTGCTTTTCGAGTAACCCATGTACGAGTATGGCGGCCTCCCGTTACCCACGTCTCGTCAGTCCAAAGTATCCTATTCCAATCATTCCGTACCCAATCCTTATGTTCAATAGCCCATGAAAGTCGCTTTTGTCGATTTGTCTCTGAGATAATAGGCTTCCGCATAGCAATCCCTTAATAATTATTAGTCTATATAGTAGTAAAGTAGAGAGGGATACTTACGTCGATTATAGCCTCTCACAGACAGAGCGCGGGTTAGGACAAGCCGTGAGCATGGAATATTAAGAATGCGTATTATATTTGTATATGGCATACGCCTATTCGTGCGAGATGAGGCTATAAACTCAATAACCTCTTGAACTTGCTCATCGGATAGGATAAGTGGCCTACCCGAACGCTTCTTCGGAGTTGGAGGGCCCTGGCAAGCATACCAAGCCTGCCGTTCCGTGCAGCCAATATAGGCTGCAATTTTTTGGAACTCCCAATCTAGGGAGCGTAGTAGTGCGCAACGAAGCCGCTCATCGCGAGTAAGATGAGGCATTGTAGTTATTGAAAGAGTATGAATTTCCTACATATAAAATACAATAGTAGGAATTTTGACGCGTTAAAAAGGTACAAACAAGCCTACGCATACCCATGCTCCAACCCATGCCCAACCCCCGGTCATCTCATGACCCACTCACAAAACTTATGAACAACACCTCCATATATAGGACAATTGAATTAAGGGCAAAAGTTTTATATACCCTGCATTTGACGTGATAAGTTTTATATACCCTACATAATATGAAACCCCCTGCGACCAGTAAAAACCCCCCAATTCCCCCCCCCCCCCGTAGCCCTCCGTACCCTCGCCGTCGCCCCCTCGCTGTCGCTCCTTTCGACAGCCTCATTCGGCCCAGTCGTCAAGGGCTCTCAACCAGGCGTCTAGGTCGAGGTAGAGCTGACCGTTCATAGGTCAGCTCGCCAAGAGAAGCCATCCTCGTGGGCCTGAGCCGAGCTCAGGACTTCCGATGCCTCGTGACGAGGGCTTCCGAAGAGTCGTCGAGTGCCTCAGTGAGGGCAGCGGCTAGCGAGTCAGCTGGGACAGCGAGGATGGCGACGGCGAGGGGGAGCAATGGCGAGGGAGGCAACGCGAGGGAGGGAGGCAACGCGCCGAGCGCGTTGAGTGGTTTCCTGCTTAGTAAGAATCACCATGGTATATAAAACTTATTTATGAACTTACAGGGTATATAAAACTCTTATTTATGAACTTACCGGGTATATAAAACTTTTGCCCTTAATTCAATTGTCCTATATATGGAGGTGTTGTTCATAAGTTTTGTGAGTGGGTCATGAGATGACCGGGGGTTGGGCATGGGTTGGAGCATGGGTATGCGTAGGCTTGTTTGTACCTTTTTAACGCGTCAAAATTCCTACTATTGTATTTTATATGTAGGAAATTCATACTCTTTCAATAACTACAATGCCTCATCTTACTCGCGATGAGCGGCTTCGTTGCGCACTACTACGCTCCCTAGATTGGGAGTTCCAAAAAATTGCAGCCTATATTGGCTGCACGGAACGGCAGGCTTGGTATGCTTGCCAGGGCCCTCCAACTCCGAAGAAGCGTTCGGGTAGGCCACTTATCCTATCCGATGAGCAAGTTCAAGAGGTTATTGAGTTTATAGCCTCATCTCGCACGAATAGGCGTATGCCATATACAAATATAATACGCATTCTTAATATTCCATGCTCACGGCTTGTCCTAACCCGCGCTCTGTCTGTGAGAGGCTATAATCGACGTAAGTATCCCTCTCTACTTTACTACTATATAGACTAATAATTATTAAGGGATTGCTATGCGGAAGCCTATTATCTCAGAGACAAATCGACAAAAGCGACTTTCATGGGCTATTGAACATAAGGATTGGGTACGGAATGATTGGAATAGGATACTTTGGACTGACGAGACGTGGGTAACGGGAGGCCGCCATACTCGTACATGGGTTACTCGAAAAGCAGGGGAAATGTGGGATGATACATGTGTTGTAGATAGAGTACAACGGAGAAGGTAAGAGACTCCTATTTACTATAGGATTTACTAACAATCCCTAGAGGTTGGATGTTCTGGGGCTGCTTCTCAGGTGGTCTTGGAAAGGGTCCTATACTATTTTGGGAGAAGGAATATGGGAAAATAGGAGCTGAGTCCTATATGGCTCATACTGTCCCTCTAATCCACGGCTGGCTACGCCTATACCCAGGCCTTACATTGATGCAAGATGGAGCTCCAGGTCATAGAGCAGGTGCAACATATGAAGAGTTGAGATCCCGTGGTATTTGCCCTATAGAATGGCCCCCGTATTCACCAGATCTCAACCCAATTGAACGGGTGTGGCATATTATGAAGAATTATCTACAAGATAATCATCCAGAACATATGTCCTACGACCAGCTCCGTGTAGCTGTTAAGGAAGCATGGGAGCAAGTTGGAGAAGCTGAGCTTAATGCTCTCCTTAATAGTATGCCTACACGTATGGCAGCAGTAATTGCTGCAAATGGTATGCACACAGAGTACTAGGCTTATAGTATAGTTTTATATAGGGGTTTAGGTATCTACTCTACTCATTATTCTACAGAATTGATTGCTCTCACACTCAAGTGTTCGTGACGCGTGAGAATCGGTACTTTGGCCAGAATTGCCAAACCAGCCTACGCAGGGGGCCCTAGCCCGACCCACTCACAAAACTTATGAACAACACCTCCGTACTCTACGATCACGACTGTGTTACCTGTGGAAGCCCCTAATTCCGACTGTCTACTCTCTGCATTCCAAAGCGATGCTTCTGCTTAGTTGGGGAAACCCACCCAAATTGGCTGGGTATCCCCACGCACAGATAATTATACAACAGAAATGCGTTAGTCCAATTAACCCCATAACCTCAGCCCATGTTGCTAGATCCAGGAAAATTTGTCGCCTTTTTCGCATCGATTAATGTGCAACGATTCGGTCCTGGTAGGACCACCATACAAAGTTGACGATTGGCCCAGAATAGCCGCAATCTTCCCGAAGGACGAGGCAACGGATTCTAGCCAACGCACATGGTATCCTGTCGGCGGTTTTCTTAGCATACAGAAGCCAATTAGAAAGACGTAGGGATAGTGCTTCTCAACCACGGTGCAAATGAGAGGTTCGCGCTATCAAAAACCGCTAGTCTATGTTGCTTCAATTGCTCACTTCTATAAATGATCTATGGTTTTGGTATTATATAAAGTCCTTTAATGCGGTAAAGTAACATCTAGATCAGGTATGTTATACTTGGCATATCTCATGTTAAATATATACTCCTATCTATCCATCATTCATCACTTTGCAGGAGCATAACCCGCGTCCCCCAAAGACCACACAGTCCAGCTGTGCGATCAATAATAAACTGCCTTCGAGGAGAAGTGAACCTACCCAGAATATATTAGCCGCGCCAGACCAGATCAAGCATCCTCGGTTGCGTATAAGATGATTATCTCCCGCGACAAGAATGCCACCAAATCCCCAGTCATACTCATTGGGACCAGAAAAGTCGCCAACGGCCCAGCTCGGATCTTCCATGGCCTTCCTGAGACCCGCCCTCGCCTCATCCGTCGGCAGCTGTGGCTGGAACATCAAGGCAGCCGTCTCGCTCCTGAGCAGTACCCCGTCATCGAGCAGGATCGATTGGCATAGTCCGGCAGGTTCGCGTACGCTCCCTCTCCACCGAGGCAGTCCTTCAAATCCCCAAAGAAGGGAAGACCCGGGGGCGCAGCACTCACTGTTCCTATTGAGTCGTCTGGCACGCGCTCATGCCACACACCTGGCCCTCCAGCGCGGCGTTGGCCTTGGGGAAAAAGGTGATGCGGGAAATACCTAGGGGTTGAAAATGTTCTCCTGCATGTACTCCTCGAGAGACTTGCCCGTCAATTTCTCGAGCACCTTCCCAACCCAGGTAATTCCGGCGCCGTACGTCCAGCCCTCGCCTGGCTGGTAGAGCAGAGGCCAGTCAAAGATGTCATCGATGGTGCTGCTTTCCGTGACTGACTTGCCGGTGTACTGAGCGTATTGCTGCAGCTTGGGGTCCATAAAGCTGTAGCTGGCGCTGGAGCTGTGGGTGAGCAGCAGGCGCAGCGTGATGTCTTTCTCGCGCTTGACGAGGATCGGCGTCCCGTCCTTGCTAAAGCCGGTGAGAATGGACTGTTTGGTGAGGACATATTCCGAGACGTCTTGGTCGAGCCCGACGGTTCCATGCTCGTGCAGCTGCAGGAGAGCGATTGATGTCAACAGCTTCGTCATGGAAGCAATAGTAAAGACCGAGTCCAGTCGCAGCGGGTCGTCGCAGCCAGCCTGGAGTGATTTTTTGCCAATAACTTTTTTGAAGTTGAAATCGCCTGTCAATCCAAGTGTTATTTTTTTTGTTTTTCCACTTGCACTGCGTACGGGTCGCCAGGCCTTACCGGATGTATTTGTGGCGAGCATCACGGCTCCAGGAATGGTGCCATCTTGAGCGGCCTTTTCTAAGACTTCGTCGATGGACATGGTGTTTGTATGATGCTGTCACGAGATCAAGTGGGAATAAAATGGTCTCGGGAATGAAGCTATTGGTACGAGACTTGCTGTGATTGTTCTGAGCATTCATTCATTTGCAGCAGCGGCCAATGACCTTTTTGTATCAGACCTTAGTATTAATAATCCTACCAACTCCCACGATAACCGCTCGACTCCGCGTGGCCTTTTTGTATCAGAGCTTGGCATTAATAATCCGACTGAATCCCACAGTAACGGCTTGACTCCGTAGGGCTCCGCAATCGTGCGTAACATTATAATCCACAACTGTTTTGAGTATACTTGTATAAATAGTAACATTTTAAACTAAAGCGTATAGCATAGCTCACACGACTATAGAAATAGAGATTGCTTGATAATAGAACTGTTACAATGATATACAGTTCAAGACGAACGGACAAGAGGCACCATCGTCCAGTTACCAGAAATACCGGTTTTGCAGCAACTTACCATTATTTTACCTCTTCTCCTTGTTTTCCTTCTCAGTCTGCTCGCTCTTATCTTCGGCCTTGCTCTCATAATTCTTCTCTTCCTCAGCAGCCTCAGCAGCCTTCCTCTGGCTCTTAACCTCCTCCTCCTCCCTCCTCGCCTCCGGCTGCATCTCACTCAGCTCCCTCAACTTCTCAGCACGAGTCGGCTGCCCCGATCCCACGAACTGCACCTGCCCGCGCCCAATCAAGCTAACAACGATGCTGATGCCCACAATGAATGTAAGCACGAAGCGGTACGTTGGGTACCATGACGGGGCGAAACCGCGGACGCCTTGCTGGGAATCGACGAAGTAGAGCCCGGTGAAGGCGAGGAATTGCGTTATTAGAGCTGGCTCGAGTGGCATCAGCATGGTTGGCCAGGCTATGGCGGGCATGGCGCAGCCGATGGCGAAGCGGCGGTAGCCTCCTTGGTGTCCACCGTACTGGGCGTACTCGAGGCCCCAGTGGATTGCACCGAGGAAGGAGAGGATCTGGGGAATATTAGCTGGGATGTAACTTGGACTACAGACATCTTCTTTATAATACTTACCACAGCACCATAGCCTATCTGGATTGGCTCCAAAACCGACAAGTAGTATTGGGCCGTTTCGAGTGGGAAAAACAAGCTCGACCCAGTCTTGGGCGCATGGTTGATGCCATAGCTCAGATATAATGTAGCCAGAGACGTAGCCATATATGGCAGTGTTCCAGCAGCCCCTAGGTAGTAAGATTCTCGAGGCACCTCACGGAGAGCGAAGGAGTCCTTAATCGTATTCTATGGAAGTTAGGCAATGTTCAAAAGCAAGAGTTTACGTTCGGAAATCAATTATGCTAGCCGAGGGCAAAAGGATGAAACTTACAAGATCCTGTTTAACCCCCCTGAGCACTTCATTGTCCTCTTCGTCAATCGGAGCTTGGCTGGATTCAAAGACCTGGCGGACGCTTGAATCGCTCGTTACAGCCTCTGGATGACTTTCAAGCTGCTTCGATCCTAATTTCCTCTCGGCCGCCACGTCAATTTTATCATGTTTCGGAACTCCCGTCTTCGTTGCATATCGCAACTGGGGGATAAGGACGGGCCGAAATTGCGGCACGGCGACCTGCGGCCTTTTCGCTGCCAGAGAGTGGAGCTGTGATGTGACACTGGCTTTGCGAATAGCTGGGCCATAGCCAGCCCCCGCAGAAATTACATTTGCGAGTCCTCGAGAAAATGGTCGAGCTGCTGTTGTGGTACGGATCATATTGAGGGGCGGAAGCTTGCGATGATGCTCTCTCTTACCGTAAGTTACCCCGCCCACTGTATGCTACGTTATCGAGAGTATTGTGGAAAAGTGTACAAGCTTCAAACTGTACACACTCAAAGTGGATTGGTATCTTTGGGAGGTTTTAAATTATATATATAACAAAGATTTGAGATGTTTACTTTGCAAAAGACTAAGCTATATATTTTGTGGAGGATGGATGGGAAAAGTAATGATGTTCTCATCGTTCCCTACGACATTATGTTGTTGGCCCAAGCTTCCAGTGCCTACGTCATAGATTTTGATTGATACCAGCCAAACAAGATAAGTTAGATGTCAACTTTTAGTTAGGAGTACCACAAATGCAGAAAGAAATTAATTTCGTAAACGAGAGTAAATAGGTTTTGATGTGGGAGAGTTTAGGAAGAAATATAACCATAGGCCTCCCTGTTTGTTACCTCAACCAACCATTTGGATAGTACTTTGCAGGATGTAGCCACCAGCCACCGAGAAGCGGCGAGTGACTTCTTGAGGTGTCATGTCCCCCAAGGTCAAGGTCACGAGCCAGGGGTCCTATGTTCCCATCACGTGACTTCTGACAGGGGTCTGCCCAAAATTATTGCGACTCGACGCGACCGCCGACAGCAGTGGGATCTTCTGTGGTTGGAGCTCAGAGTATTTCGTGATGCGCTCCTCGAGAGCCATACAGTTACTGCGGAATGGCTCACGGCAGCCATGTGCCAACGCAAGGAGGGTGCAGCAGCCTAACATTTACAAGGCCTATTGCTCCTCCTGCGACGCAAAGCCGGCAAAGAATTCGAAGTCGAAGGTGAAAGCCGTCTCCGATCCACCAATACCCCCAGCCGATCATCGACAACTGGCTATTGACCAGGAGCTATTTATAACCTCGATATATAGCCCTGGATCACCGCTCTTTCTGCCCAATGGCACGCGGATATTCAACCGATTGACTTCGTTCCTGAAAGCGCAGTATGCACAGTTTGGGTTCCAGGAAGTTATATCACCGACCATATATAAGAAGTCCCTATGGGAGAAATCGGGGCACTGGGAGAATTATGCAGAGGACATGTTCTCGGTGACCAGCCGTGGGGCCTCAGGGGAGGTCGAGGGCAAGCAGGTTGGCCAGGACGAGGAGTTCGGCCTCAAACCGATGAACTGCCCCGGGCATTGCATACTCTTCGCCTCGAAACAACGAAGCTTCCGCGACTTACCGATAAGATTCTCGGATTTCAGCCCTCTCCACCGAAACGAAATATCGGGCGCCTTGAGTGGATTAACGAGAGTTCGCCGCTTCCACCAAGATGACGGGCATATTTTCTGCAGGGCGTCTCAGGTTGCTGAGGAGATCTCTAAGACGCTGGACTTTGTTCAGATGGCTTACGAAACATTCAAACTGGGCCCGTATAGGCTGGCATTATCTACACGACCTAAGGATCATTATATTGGGACCGCGGAGGAGTGGGATGGTGCGGAATCAGCGCTGCGAGAAGCGCTTGATGCAAGTGGGCAAGTTTGGGGCGTCAATGAGGGAGACGGCGCTTTCTATGGCCCGAAGATTGATATTATCCTGAAGGATTCAGACGGAAAGGAGCATCAAACAGCCACAATCCAACTGGATTTCCAGCTGCCGAAGAGATTCGAATTGCAGTATACGGCACCCGCGCCTGAACTCGAGCAGAAGGGGTTAACTACAACAGACCCAGAGCTGCTCGCTGTTTCTGGGCCAGTGAGGCCTGTCATGATTCACCGCGCCGTCCTGGGATCAGTGGAACGCTTCATGGCTCTTCTTATTGAACACTACAACGGACGATGGCCGTTCTGGCTCAACACTAAGCAGGTCATGGTCATCACAGTCAACGACGACCCATCCGTGGTAGCGTTTGCCTCGGATGCGATCAATGAAATCCAGGGGATGCCGAAATCTGGAACCAAAGCTCAAGCACGCGGCATGCATAGCCCCGTGTTTGGAGTCGACCTCGACACAACGTCGCGCTCTGTGAAGAAGAAGATCTCCGAGGCCATGAGGAAGCACTACGGCATCATTGCTGTGGTAGGGAAGAGCAATGTCGATGACGGGCGCCATATCACAGTGGACTTCCGAGGTGTGTCCGGATCACAGAAGGTGATTAAGCAAGAGCTCCTGCGTGCCATTAAGGGCGAGAACTCTTCGGACCCATTGAGTTCCGCCGATGCCGATGCCGATTCACTGGAGTTTACGGAAGGTGAGCTTAAACAGGTGAATGTGACGCCTGCACAGCTACGGAGCATTCTTATTAAACTGGAGCAAGCCTACCAATAAGGCGTGTACTACAAATAAGCCTCGGCATGATAATACTGTACAATACTATATAAATATTACCCCTGCATAACGTGCATGTATAACGAAAGTGCCAAACAAGCGAAAGTGCCAAAATATCGCGACTACCCCATAAGAATTGCGATAAATCCACCACAACAATATAAAATTAATTAAAACTACTCGGAGTCCTCTTCCTCAGACCTGTCTATTACAATCTGACAAGTGCGCGCATTGTGTCCAGTCTCACCACACTTGCCACAGCGACGTGCATGGGTTTCTTCCCTTGGCTTCCGACCACTACTTGCCCTTATTTCTTGCTCTACTTGCTGCACAACGTCCCTCTCATCCTGTAGCTCCTGTGCTACCTGTTGACTAAGTGATCCTCCTTGCTGTAGTCGTGTTTTTTTAGCTCTCCGGCGCTTGCTTAGCACTTCATTTGCCTGTCACAGGTTTTGGGTGGACAACAAACGAGAGAGGTATGGATTGGATTCAACAAAGCCCCGGAGTGTTGGTGGTTATCGCTTGTTAGTCCTTGATGGTCATGAGAGCCACCACTCAGACAAGTTTGAGGAGTACTGCAAAGAACACAACATTATTACGCTTTGTATGCCTGCTCACTCTTCCCATATACTCCAACCACTTGATGTTGGCTGTTTTGGCCCATTAAAGAGAGCTTACGGTCGGCAAATTGAAGATATGATGCGGGCTCATATTATTCACATTACTAAGGATGACTTCTTTCCTGCCTTCCATGCTGCATTTAACATTGCAATGACAGAAAGCAATATTCAGGGAGGGTTCCGAGGTGCTGGGCTTCTTCCATTTAGCTCTAAGAGTGTAATATCTACACTTGACCTTAGGTTTAAGACGCCAACACCTCCAACCTCTCGCCCAAACACCGCTCAACCATGGGTTTCTCAGACACCAAATAACCCAACTGAAGCTGTATCACAGTCTACTTTCATTAAAAACTGAATTGCGCATCATCAAAATAGCTCTCCAACCTCAATCTATGCAGCTGTTGACCAGTTTACAAAGGGTGCATCGCAAATAATTCATCAATTAGCATTGTTTTGCAGTAACAGTGATTACCCAATCTGCTGGAAATCCGCTATTCTCATACCAAGATGCAAGGTGGTTTTTACCTGCCACAATGACAAATGGCGGCACTGCCCAACCTTGAGAACTAACGCCTTGGATTACTGTAACCCATTCCCGATTGCCAGGCTGCACCTTTTTTTCCTTTGCCCGCCCATCTGAGCTCGTTACTACCGTTGCGCTTGAGATGACGCCCATCATAAACCCAGTCTCATCAAAGTTGTAGATATCTGCATTGTTGATGCCATACTTTAGAATTGTGTTCCATACAAGCTCAAACCAGCCACGAATGACTTCTGGATCTTCGCACTTAGCCCTCTGGTAGTCGTATTTTCGCTGGAAGCGTGTCCGGAGCTCTACATGGCGCTTAACAAAGTTTGAAGCCCAACGTGACCCGACGCGTGGCGCGTCGCGTGTTGCAAGTAGTCGATTTGCCATATCTTCAACAATAGACAACTGAGGAGGGAACCCTTTAGCAGCTAAGTCAAGTATATACTGAACAAGAACTGATTCCTCTAGGTTACTTAATTTCCGTAAGTTGGCTTGGATATCGCGTCGTGAAGGTATGCCTTGTAAACGGTGACGTAGCTTGCGGTGGTCTACGGAATAGATCCTAGCTGCAACTCGAAGGCGCAAATTTGGGTCGCTTTGCATAGCTTGGATAGCTAGCACTAATTTGCTTTCATCATTTTTATGGCGCATGTTTTGTTGTGGAGGAATTTAACATTTAGTTGGGGGGGTTGGTTACCGCATGATGTAATGGTGGGTGCACCAGATGTGAGAATCTAGCCACCCAAGGAAGGGATGAATTTACTAAGACAACACACTGTCTTAGAAAACAGAGCCAAAGGGTTGTAGCTTAGACTATTCCACAACGCATTCAATCAGGTGTGTGATGTAGTGAAGTGGTTCAGACAAGTTGCAACAAATGTTGAGTCTGGGAACTCAGGGGTAAGTCAGAGGTTAACACCTCACTGACTTTTCAGAAACAAGGAGTAACAAGATCAATGCTTGGAAGCTTGGAAAAGACGTGGAAGTATGTGATAGTCGATTTACTGTATTGTCTGCTTGCCCTTTCTTAAGGAAAGGGCAATCCTATTTATGCTAAAGGAATGTAGTTCTCTCATTTTCCAAGACTTTCCATGACTTATCAGGCTTGGTAACTGTAGTCGATGTAAGAGAATCCCATAGAACCATCTCTTAGGTTCGTAGCCTATAGGAAGTAAAAGGAGGTCCAAGGTCAGAGTACCCCTATAGACAAATTATGTCATAGACAAATTATGTCACAGACAAATTATGTCATAACTTAACCAATCTTGTGGGTAACTAAAGAGCGATGACATGTAATGAATCATAGAGGTTTGTAGGAGCTTTTAGAGCTATCGTTCATGCTCCTAGGCCTCTAGTTGGTAGAGATATGTCATGTGGTAATATGAGTGATGTCATGTAATGAATCATAGAGGGTTGTAGAGATATGCTATGTGGTAATATTGGCCCAGTAACTAAGGAGCGATGACGTGTAATGAATCATAGATGGTTGTAGCAATCGTTGAGTAGTATTGCTCTTGTTGTTGGTGTGATAAGCCAAAATATGTATAGTGACTTGTAGGTTTGAGGAGGAGATTTCCAAGTTTGCTCTTGAGTTTGATAGCAAACTGAGTGCAACGAATGTCAGTATGACACATGATTTTGGCACTTTCGCTTGTTTGGCACTTTCGTTATACATGCACGTTATTCAAAGCCAAAATGTACTAAATAAGTGGCACTTCTCTACAAATTCAAAAGGATAGACAAGCAATTTACATGGACTTTAGTGGCTTAAGCGTGTATTAGAGTTCTATAAATATCTTGATGTGTTCTTGAAGCAAGCTGTAGATGAACTCCCCCCTTACTAAGATGCAGACTACTACATTGTCCTAGAACAAGATTCAATATTATGTTACGATAGTCATGGAGGTCATGATGCTAGTCTAGATAAAGTAAGCTATATTAAATCTAAAGAGAGAAGAAGAAGAAAGGAAGGAAGAAGGTGAGGCTATTCATTATTATATGCAGCTATATGCTTAGCGATCCCTTGTAATCTTAGTGGCCACTATAGCTGCCTGTTCCTATAGTTGCTAGCGGCTATAAGCTGTGATCATATGGATTCTTAGTAACGACGAACCTCAAAAGGCACAGAGCTAGTACTACTCTCAGACTCTGGATTTTTAAATAGCCAGCTTGCTCTTTAGTGGCTAGAGCATTTTGCAAAGCATACAGCTTTAGAGGATATGAAGGTTCTACTACTCAACTCTCATGTAAGCCATACAAGCCATGACTTCGTCATTGTAGTAGAAGAACATAACATCATTATATACACCTTTCCCTCACATCTCACACACATTTTTCAGCCATTAGACATAGGAGTGTTCTAGCCTTATAAGTACTAGCATTGTAAGGACACAGGGCACCTAACTCACAGTAATAGCATATGAGAGTGCGAGTCGGAGGCTAAACGGATGCTATCCTATAGGTCTACTACGAAGGATACAAAAAAGATGAAGAGAGGAACCCCCATTGGGTCAATCTCCTTAAGTACCCGAAATGGGTCCGACTCGGCTAACCTGCCTTCACTCTTCACCACGTGACCGTAACTTGTCCGACTCAGATACCTTCTGTCACTGAGGGAGAGGGATCCTTACAAGCATAGATGTAAGGACAGTTCGAACTGAGGCTGACCTTCGAGTCTGCAGAAGTATCCGAAGTATAATGTGAAGACTTCGATACTCGAAGCAGTAGGACCAGGTATAGTAGTTCAGGCTCCAAAGCATATACTTTATACCACAGGGGTCAAGTGGTGAGACTAACAGGTCGAAGTGGTTCGACTCGAAGTAAGGGAATGCAAAGTAAGTTGAAGCAGGAGGAATTGCAAGAAGGCCAAGTAGTGTATAATTTGCTAGCTAAAGATCAATAAGAGACATGAGCAATAAGTGCTTATATAACAGTAAAAATCCCTAGTGCCAAATAAGCGAAGGCACTAATTAACTGAACCCTAGCTAAGTGAGCCCTAGTGAAGCGAGCCAATAACAAGAGAGCCTAAGCCAGTAGTCATTTTGGGCTGATCTAGGTCAGCAAGTGAAGCGAAGTGAGCGAAGTGAGCGAAGCAGGTGAAGTGAATGACATAATGAAATAAGTACTAGAGACTAAAGCGAATCGAAGGGTCATGACACAAATATCGAAGGAGTGTCATGACAATAGAGTAGCTGTGCTCATAGCTATACAAGACATAGACATTACCTACAACCTACAATCCTTCATGAGAGATCTCACCCAAATCCAGAAGTAGACTTTTAAGGAGTCTACAATAGACTTAGCTTTCTAGAAAGCTATAATCTAGCTAATAAGCTGTAATACAGCTATTATGAAGCTATGCACCTACTTACAGCCTACGCCTATGCCTACTATGCCTACCCTACTAATACGGGTTTCTACACCTAAACCCTCTACTTTTCAGGCTGTAGAAGAGGAGCTATAGTACTAGAAACATCAGGTTCTAGAGGGCTTTAGTAGCCCCTCAAAAGAGAGCTACTGCAATTGGCTTACCGGAACCGACGAGGTTGTGGTAGGCGGCTAGCTTTAAGAACACGACCTACGGGCTATTTGGCGCTAGGTTAAGAAGTCGAAGAAGCGGGCAAGCCGAAGCCAGGCCCGGCTTGGTGAGCTCCAAGCTGCTCACGCTCACGAGCTTCGGGCCTAGAAAGCCGAGCTTCAAGCCTACTGTAGAAGCTTGCAGCCAAAGAAGCCCGGGTAGCCCGCTAGGCTAGAAACCGGGCTAATAACCAGCTTAAAAGATCGGGACCCAATTCGGGCCCTAAAAGCTGCTGAGAGTGAGTGCGAGAGAGGGAGCGGGAGTCAGCGTGGGAGTGAGGGAGTGAGCGTGGGAGTGATGAAGTGATAATTTCTTACAATGATTGATTTATGTACCTTTACATACAAATTACTATGTAGTGGTACTTATAGCCTACATATTGCGAAACCGCGCGGATCGCTTCCTCCAACCTTGAGCGAAGCGAAAATTTGGTCACGACGATTAAGCATCAAGGAAATGAAATGATCAATATATGCAAACAATCAATTTAATACTATTGGTGCTTAAACTATATCCTCGGTACTGTAAATGTTCATGTTCAATTCAAAGCGAGCGCCCGAACTCTTGCCGGTCTGATGCCTACGCCAGTCACCCCGCTGGCTCTAAAGGGGTATGCACCAGCCTGCTTCCCGGGTTCAATTCCTTCAATAATGTAGAGAACGATCATTTGAATTATGCTGACGGTTCAGAAAGCAAAGTAGATATCTTCAAAACGCCGTGCCCACTGTGCCGCCACCGTATTCATACAACACGTATATAAGAAACAGCCCCCCCTTGCTGTTCGGTTCAGGCCAACCGTTTCAACTCCGTAGTCCCTTTCAATCATCAAATCTTGTTATTTTTTGAATCCATCTTTCACGCTTCCCCCCAGTTGCTCAATCCTCTCCACTAGTTGCTCGCGTTCTCGTAGTTGTTGTCGCATGTATGATACCGTCTTGTTAAGCACGATGCTTTCGCTCCTGCCTTGTCCTTCCAATCCCGGCACCAGCTCGGTAAGTCTGTCGAATCCTTCTCGAATAGCCTGACGTCGCTTTTGCTCTGTAGATCGCAAGTTAGCCGTTGCGCCGACGGAAATGCAGCGCCACCTGACCAGTCGTCGGCGCAGATGAGATTACGCCAGCCACGGCCTCAGCAAGCAAGAATAGACATCACTCACCAGACGCGATATGGTTCGCCTTCTTCTCATGCTCTGAAAGTCTCGGTTTGTCGTCCACATTGCTCGTTGCGCTTCCGTTGGCCGAAGCCTCTCGCCCAGTTTGTGATGTATTGGCCGGAGACGACATGGCATCAGCCCTCGCGCTCGTCTCAACAAGGTAGCACGGGCGTTACTCATGCGCTAAGGACATAACGGCGATGCCCTTGTATATGAGGAATAATGGTGTAGAGTATACGCGGAGACCAGTCGTAAGGCCAATTCGCACATCTAGCCACTTCTGCGCTCTGGGGTTCACTCTCGCGGTTATGGGGCATTGATCACATGCAACGAAAGTTCAACAAATCCCCACAAGGCTTTATTTACCCTGCCAGTCCCCTTACAGCCTAGCGCCATCTTGTTCCTGAGACCAACCAGCTCGCTCAGCCTTGTGCCACGACGACCGCCGAACCCGCCACAGGGAAAATCCTCAGCCTTTTCCATCGCCGAAACATCCCATTAAAAGAAACAGATCATGGCCGACACCAAGATACCCCTGGAGCCTCCTCCAAACTACGAAGACGCCGCCGCCCAGCACGGCACGCCGGCCGCTCCAATGGCCAAGCCGCTCCCCCGCGGCCCCTTCCCCTTGGACATCCCCGTCCTCATTCAACTGCGGGGAAAGCGCGTCGTCCTAGCTTCAGCGAGCCCGCGACGGAAACAACTTCTCGGTCAGGCATGTGTCTCCACCCCCTACCCCTCCTTCCAACACCAAGCCGCTCCTTCGCCGCGACCCCGCCCGCCGGGGCCACCACATGCTCAATCCAATAGATGAAGTGAGTTCCTAACGCGCCATGTAGATTGGGCTCACGAACATCGAAATCACGCCCTCGACTAAGCCGGAGAACCTCGACAAGGTCGGCCTCGGCGCCTTCGATTACGTGCTCCGCACCGCGCAGAAGAAGTGTCTGGATGTGTACCAGACGCTGCTTGCAAATTCGCTCAAGTCTATCCCGGACCCGACGATGGTCATCGCTGCTGACACCGTCGTTGTCACGACCTCGGGTCGCATCCTCGAGAAGCCGCGTTCTGAGGCCGAGCATCTCGCAATGCTGCGTATGCTGCGCGACCAGGTGGCCCATAAGGTGTACACGGCGGTGTGCGTCCTTGTGCCGCGCGACGACGCCCGCGCGCCGGGGTATAATATGGAGAGTTTGGTTGAAGAGACGAAGGTGGTGTTTGATGAGACGGCGAGCGATGAGTTTATCTCTGCGTATGTGAAGACGAGGGAGGCGGTGGGGATGGCGGGCGGGTATGGGATTCAGGGGATGGGGGGACTGTTGGTGGACAGGATTGAGGGGGCATATGATAATGTGGTTGGGTTGCCGTTGAGGGCGACGTTGGCGCTGATGGAGAAGACGCTGTTTATGCAGGGGAGTGATGATGAGGACGAGGATGAGGAGGAGTAGGGGGGTGATAGGTGTTTGGGGAGGCGTCTGGAAATGTGGGTAGATACTATAGAATGGGTTGGCTGCTGATAATATAAAATACGATTTCCGAGATCGAAGTATTTCTTATGAACTGCTGCATTTATATGATAGGTCTCTGTTGATGCACATGTACATGTTAATAGAAGCATCGTTATGATAGGTTTCACAAGTGTTTCTCACGTAGTCTTAAAATGCATATAAAATCAACTGACCTTCTTATTCTGACCTATTATGAAGGCGTTGGATGTAGTATTTCCTCATCAACAAAGTACCCATATGCTCATGTGTTCAGGCAGAACCAGACTGGTATCTACAGCGCCTAAACTCCCATTGAAAATGCATCATTACTCGTCATCAACCTCTTCATCCCAGTTCTCCCTCTCACGCTTCATGTACTCGGCCATGGCCTCATCAGTGAAGATGCTGCTGCCCTCATCGGCAGCGCGAGGAACCCTACCGGTGTCACCCTCGAAGACAGGACCGATGTTCTCGATCCACTTCTTGCGTCTCTCCATGAGCGTCTTGGTAGCATCCCCAATGCCCGGTCTGGCCATGCCCTGAGAAACCACGTGACTCCCACCTCCAGCACCGCCTGGTCGCTTTGCCTTTGTCTTCTTGCCCATGGTGCGGGTGCGCTTGGAGAAGGATGCTTGGACCTGGCTGTCGAGATCCTCGAGGATGGTGGAGTACTCCTGGTGAGCCATGCGTTCCTTGCCCTTGTCCATCAAGATCGCCTTGCGCGCGTTGTTCTCGATGACTTTCTCCTTGAGCATGGCGGTGAGAAGACGCAAGCGTGCGGACACCTCATCGTCCTCGCCGTTGTCGTACTGAGGATCGGCACTCTCAGGCATGAGGCCAATGTAGCGGAGCTCCTGCTTGACGCGCTCGTCGACTTGCACGTGGTCCAGCTTTGGGTGGTTCGCCTTCTTCCAGCCCTCAGAAGTTGATTCAGTCATGTAGGTTGCTGGGGGAAGTGGCGCAGCTGGTGGATCGAGTGGCATAGGGTCAAGGCCAAGGGAGCTGTCGAGGTCGGCGTTGGAGTCGACATTTCCGTTTGCGGCAGCGTTCTGCTCAGAAGGTGGGGCTCTGTTCTCTGGGCGGAGGAGTGACAAAAGGCGTCCAAGTACTGGGCCAACAGAGATCTCGTCTGTCTCAGCAGTGGCCTCATCGAGGTCTTCAATGGAACCGCGTGGCTCGTTGGCAGGAAGCTTGTCACGGTTTTGACGCGGGTCAGCCAGGCCGTCTTCTTCAGCCCAAATCTCAGTGTAGTGCTTCTTGCCACGAGGTGGGATGATGAAATCATTGACCCTATCACCACGGTCGCGGAGGAACGCAAGATCCTCTTCAGTGAAAGGACGTAAATACCCCTCAATGTGGGTTGCAAAGGTAGTGGCTTGAACCTGATTCACTGGCTTCGCGTTGCTGAAGTCCTTGTCGGGCGGGGTGCCAGGAATAAGATCGTGCAAGTCATCGTGTGGATATTCCGCAACGGAATAGATCTTCTTGATCTCTTCTTCAGACATGTCGGGAGTTACTTTGCGGATTTCGTATTCAGTTGGGTCAGGATAGGTCCAGGGGTCGTCACCAAAGGTCATGATGTGAGGAACTGCGGGAGCTGAAGGTGGTTGGTGCTCGTCTTCACTGCTTGAGTCTTCGCCAACCTGGATGGTAGGAACAGACGTTTTCTTCTTAGCAGCCGCGCCTGTGGGTGGTGGTGTCGTTTGCTCGACCGGGGACAAAGAAGAACTAGCGGAGGCTTCACGCGACACACCCCGCGACCGGCCCCGACCTGGCTTCTGAGAAGCCCTTCCTGACGATACAGATGGAGCACCCTCTGTAATACAATTAGTTCTTAATCGATAAAGCTGGTGAATATCCTTTGAAGATATTATGGGTGATACCCAGCAAGCTGCATGGGCAACCACAGAAAACTGGAATTCACATACCAATCTTTGAACCATCCTGAGGCGCAAGAACATGAGCTCCATGAGTCAATGGCCTATCCTCCTTCATCTTGCTCGAGTCCTTCTTCTTTCTCATCTTGCTGGCCTGCCGTCCGCGTTCGGCAGCTTCGTCTGCAGCTTCTCTGTCTATACGTTCTTGTTCTCTGCGTTCGGTTTCGACTTGATCTTTACGTTGAGCAGAGAGTAACCTCATGCCACGGTCACAAACTTTTCCTCTTGCTTCTGCAACATCAAGCAGACGATTGATTGAGTCTATTATTGTGTCGATGGCCTTGGAGTCGGGGATGGACGAGCCAATCTGGGGGTCAACGATGTCGTCGTATGAGGCTTGTGGGAATGGAATCATTGTGAGCTCAAGATATCTGCTTTCACTCTCGGTACCCGCAAGAATGCCTGGGGCACTCGCAGAGCTCGGCGTCGTGTTACGGCTGCGAGATCTTCGAGACTCTCGGTGTCCCCCTGAGCGTTTCCCAGTGCCCTTCTGGGCCGATGGATGTGGCGGCATTCTGGCGGCGGCGGGTTAGAGCTGCGGCGAGGAGGCGGCGGCGGCCCTGGACTATGTCCTTATATCCAAGATACGGCAATATGATGCAATTCAGCTTTACAAGTTATAGGACGTTGGTATAATGGCCATTGGATTTGAGGAGATTCAGAGAGTGGTGGGTTTGTGAGGCGCGTGTTGTCGCGATGCTCTTTGTCGCCTGTGGTGCATATCACGTGGATGACACGCCGGCGACCCTTAGTCATCATGCACCTGCCATGTCATCGGATTGAAGACAGCGATGCTTCCAGAGTACAAGTGTGGTACTCCCCTTCCCCGCAAAAAAAGCTACTGACAAGGGTACAGTGATGTCACACAAAGAATTTGGCCAGGAACACTTAGAGGACTCTCTATCAGAAGATTGCCTGCGAGTCCGAAATATGAGAATATTTGGTATTAGGACGTGATATGGCGGCGGATTGCCAGTAGAAATATAACTGCGTTGGGAGATGAGGGCAGTATATCAGCTTTGCCAAGAACTCCAAAAAGTCGCAGCCGGCTCCGACGTCTCAAGATCACGACGACCTTAAACTCCCCCCCCGCCTGCTCCACAATCCATCAGTGCCACGCTTCCACTGCAATAGTGAAGATCAGAACGATCGAGCATCGTCTGTATTTTTTACATATATACGGACGTTAATTGTGGGAGGAGAGGCCCAAAGGCTTACAGGTTCCACGGCGATTACACAACACAACAACACAACAACACAACCGGCACTCGACAACTGATGCACTCTTACACATCATCCTCCGCACCCTGCTGTGGTTTCAGCTCATAATGGGTAAGTAATCGCTGTTTAAGTTGTCTATTAAGCCTTATTCCAAGCGCATACTATGCGCCTGGTATAGAGTAGCAGTCGGGCGTTGAACAATGTCATCTCTTCGGAATGACGGAAGTAGCAGATGCTAACCATTTTGCAGCGGCCCAATCTATGAAGATCTCAGTGTATGTACTGGATTGCTTCCCGCCCCTTCGAATTCCGGTGGCGCCGCGATAGGATCCTTTGTTTGTGGCAATACTGGCTGGAACAATGGGAACCTCTGCGGTGCTATCAACAATGTCATACCCGCTGTGTTGGGATGGGCATACAGACATCTGGCCACCTTCTGTCTCTTCCTGAGTTGTATGCTAATCTAGGGGCTTTAGAATTGCCTTTACAGACCCTGCAACCCTGAGCACAGGTGTCAACATCGACGATGTTCTTGTGGATATTCCTGTGAGTCGAGGGCGGGTTGTTGATGCTATCCGAATCATCTAACCTCCACTAGGATAATTTAAACACCGTCGGTAATCTCGCCCTAGGTCAAAATATACAAACATTGTCGACAAATGGCAATGATGGAACTGGACGATCCCAGGGGCTGTTATATGTTCCAGACCTAGCTTCTACGGATCCATGCTTCAACCTGTCGAAACAACACATACCGGCGCTTGCCAGTCGGAGGAAAGACTTTCCGGGGGAAGACCTCAAATTAATTGCGCTGGCGCCATGGATCAACTCAACATGCAGCCTGTCCTTCCTGGACATGGCCTCACTAGTCTCTCTCCAAGCCTTCATTTTCTACACAACTGATAACACGGACGTCATGCCGCCACCAATCAGTTCGCCGATTTGGAATATGCATGATGGTGGTCAATGGAAAGCAGCACACGGCTTTCCTGTTTACGCTGTTCCTGGAAGCTATGGAAATACCTTGATGGATCAATTAAGTCGATATTCTGGAAATTCCTCGTCTGTGCCATTTGGAAAACAGGTCCTCGACTTAAAAGGTGTGGAAGCCAACAGTTTTGTTCGGGTTTACACACAGATAGCTACGGATAGTTCGTCAGGCTCCTTACCGGGGTTGTGGGTTTTTCTCCTTATAGCGATAGCATCACTCGGCGCTGCCCTGATGTTGACCTCATTCTTCGTGCACTTCGTCCAGCGCCGACGGAGACAAAATCTGCGCCGACGCATTGCCGCAGGCGAAGTCAACTTGGAGGCTCTTGGCATCAAGCGCCTTACCGTGCCCGTCGAAACCATACAGAAGATGCCGGTTTACATCTATATGTGCGAAGAAACTCCCGCACCACCAGAGTCGGGAGTAAAGGGGACCACAAGTAAGGAAGAACATGTCTTCAACATTCCTGTCATCAACGAACCAGTGACGGGGCTGAGAATCCAATTGCAAATGTACCAACCTCAGTCCCAGCCGACCTGCCCCATCTGCCTGGACGACTATGAGTCTTTAAAGACTGTAGTCCGAGAACTTCCTTGCGGGCACATCTTCCACCCGGAATGCATCGACCATTTCCTGAGCAAGAACAGCTCTCTCTGCCCAATGTGCAAGACGAGCGCGCTACCAATAGGGTTCTGCCCGCCCGTGATCACCAACTCGATGGTGCGGCGCGAACGCATAGGAAGGCTCATGGACGAGAATTCCGAGACACCGGATTCAGGCGACTGGCGAAGCAGAGCGAGACATTGGGTTAATCGCCAGCGTATTGGCGGGCCTCACCATGTCTCGAGTATAGAACTGCAGACTCGGCGAGACAGCACGCCTCCGGCTATAGTGAGTGCACCCAGCCCGGCGTATATCCCGGAAGGAACGAGTAGGCAGGCGATTGTGGAACCCAGGAGTCAGGCACTTATGAGTAATACTGTCGCGAATGAGGAGGCGGTCGAGGAACGGCCACGACCGAAGTGTATGTATTGTCCATTCCATGCGCTGTCAATTGCACCTACACATGCTAAGAGATTTGAATACAGCGGCTGACCGTGCGTTAACTACAGGGAGAAGGGCTATCCACAGGGTGTTCCCGACACTCTAATGAGGTTGCCGGTACATATAATTATTATAGTGATGTTTTACGGTTATGTCTTGATTGAAGCGGCGCATGATACCAGATGGAGGATTTACAGCGAGTTGTTCAATTTGCGATACCAGTCTTTACTGCAAGCTCGACCCACAGACAGGTCTGTGGGGTGTTTTGCACTTATCTTTGGAGCCCAGGGTTGGGTTGGTAGGTAGATTATTGGGAGCAGCGGCATTGACCGGTTTGGAGGGTTTGACACCTGGGGACATTCCCGAGGACAGGAACATACTGTATGAGAATTGAGGGGGGATGATAGGGATTCCAACGGGAGACGTTGTACTGTACGTACATGCAGTGTACGAAAAACCTGTCAAAAGTCTTCGGAAATTGAGGGCAAGAGATGGGATAATTCGGAATATGATAACTGTTTTTACCCTATAGGGATTACCATGGTTGCACAAGGAACGCGTGCTGGTTGTGTGTCTCCCGATTCCCGTTATCCCTATCCCTATCATTCCTTATCGCCCGCCCCCCTGCCAACTTTTAGGCGGAGCTATGACATAGAATAGTCATTTTCCGTCAGACGAATTGAACTACTTGGGACCCAAATCTGTGATAGCTTCATAGCCTCACACCTATCTTTGATCCAACTACCTCGAGTTTGCGGAGCTTGCTGTGCTGCTCAGTCGAGGATGCACTTAATTCCACGCGAAGTGAGTGATGCATCGCCAGGAACTAGCTCCATAACACGTCTACTAACTCAGCTGTCAGATCGACAAGCTCGTTATCTCGCAGCTGGGATTGCTGGCCCAGCGTCGACTTGCACGAGGAGTCAGGCTGAACCATTCTGAAGCGTGTGTAAGTAGAGCCATGAGACCAGGATTTGAGACTTTGCACTGACGTTGCACACCGCTCAGGCTCTTATTGCCAACAATCTCCAAGAAGTATGTATGTTTTCTTCCGCCGTAGTGTGGTGGATCTCGGATGTTAATTGGCTACACAGCTCATTCGCGATGGCAACCACAATGTCGCGGATCTCATGTCGATCGGCACGACGATGCTGGGGCGGCGACACGTGCTGCCTGCCGTTGTGTCGACCTTGAAGCAGATCCAGGTCGAAGGCACCTTTCCCCAGGGAACCTACCTCGTTACCGTCCAGGCCCCAATTAGCAGCGATGATGGAGATTTGAACAAGGCGCTATACGGGAGTTTCCTCCCAATCCCCGACGCGGACCTATTCAAAGTACCAGACGATGAGGAGTGCACGGCTGAGAAGATGCCTGGCGCAGTCATCGCTGTCAAAGGAAAGATCGCGATCAATAAAGGGCGGAAGAGAATCCAGCTCAAGGTCACAAACTATGGTGATCGACCAGTACAGGTAAGAAGAGTCAATGGCCCTTAACATAAAATGCTAACCGCGCCACAGGTCGGATCCCACTACCACTTTATCGAGACGAACCCCCATCTCGAATTCGATCGCATAAGATCCTATGGATATCGACTGGATATAGCCGCAGGAACATCTATCCGTTTCGAGGCAGGCGACGAGAAGACGGTAACTCTAGTGGAGATTGCCGGACGCAAAATCGTACGCGGCGGCAATAACATCGCTTCGGGGGTCTTCGACTTGTCTCGCACAGATGAGATTTTGAAGAATATTGAAGCGGGCAACTTTCGAAACATTCTCGAGCCCGCAGGCGACGCGGATCACATCAAGCCCTTCGAGCTTGATAGATCTGTATATGCATGCATGTTTGGTCCCACGGTGGGCGACAAGATCAGACTCGGCGACACCGACTTGTGGATAAAGGTAGAGAAAGACCTGACATCATATGGCGACGAATGCAAGTTCGGCGGCGGCAAAACTCTGCGAGATGGTATGGGCCAAGCCACTGGCGAGTCTGATGGGGATTCATTGGATCTTGTCATCATCAACGCCCTTATTGTTGATTGGAGTGGTATTTATAAAGCAGATATCGGCATCAAGAACGGATTCATCTCCGGCATTGGGAAGGCAGGCAGTCCCGATGTGATGAAAGGGCTCACGGAGGGAATGATTGTCGGTTCCTGCACGGATGTTATGGCCGGCGAAGGGATGATTGTCACAGCCGGAGGAATTGATACCCATATTCACTATATCTGCCCTCAGCAGGCTTCTGAGTGCATGGCAACTGGAGTCACCACGCTTCTCGGAGGCGGCACCGGGCCAACAGCTGCCACGACCGCGACGACTTGCACGCCGGGCAAGAACAACATGCGGGATATGTTGCAGGCTTTGGATGCGATGCCCCTGAACTACGGTATCACTGGTAAAGGTAATGACAGCGATCCAAAGGCTCTTCGTGAGCAAGTCGAAGCAGGAGCTTGTGGTCTTAAGCTCCACGAAGATTGGGGTTGCACCCCGGCTGCGATTGACTCTTGTCTTACCGTGTGCGACGAGTACGACGTCCAGTGTTTGATCCATACCGATACCCTTAACGAGTCTGGCTTTGTGGAGTCTACCATTGCTGCATTCAAAGATCGCGCTATTCACACTTACCACACCGAAGGAGCAGGTGGCGGACACGCCCCCGATATCATCAGTATAGTTGAGTATGACAACGTCCTTCCAAGTTCTACGAACCCAACGAGGCCATTCACGAGGAACACCTTGGATGAGCATCTGGACATGGTTATGGTTTGCCATCATCTTAGCAAGAATATTCCGGAAGATATTGCGTTTGCAGAGTCGCGAATTCGCGCTGAGACAATTGCAGCTGAGGATGTGTTACACGACATGGGAGCTATCAGTATGATGTCCTCAGACTCGCAGGCGATGGGCCGCTGCGGAGAGGTCGTTCTCCGAACCTGGAACACGGCTCATAAGAACAAGGTGCAGCGCGGATTTTTGAAGGAGGATGAGGGAACAGACGCGGATAACTTTAGAGTAAAGAGATATGTCAGCAAGTATACGATTAACCCAGCCCTTGCCCAAGGGATGAGCCACCTCCTTGGTAGCGTCGAGGTGGGCAAGTTAGCAGATCTTGTGATCTGGGACCCAGCGTGGTTTGGCACGAAGCCAACAATGGTCGTCAAGAGCGGTCTAATCAGTTATTCCATGATGGTAAGTGCAACCACGTCATATCCCCACCATCGCTCCTCCCTTATTAACCATCACCAGGGCGACCCCAACGCGTCCATCTCGACCGTGCAGCCCGTTATCGGGCGCCCCATGTTCGCGCCCCACGTTCCTTCCACATCTGTGCTCTTTGTTTCGCAGGCGTCGATTGACTGCGGTAACATTGAGTCGTATGGCTTGAAGAAGCGCGTGGAGGCTGTGAAGGGGTGCAGGACGGTCAGGAAGAAGGATATGAAGCATAATTCTGAGATGCCGAAGATTCATGTTGATCCGGAGAATTATAGGGTCGAGGCGGATGGCGTGCATTGCACGGCTGAGTCTTCGACAGAGTTGCCGCTGACGCAGGCGGTGTTCGTATTTTAAGAGGGGAGATGAAGCGATATATTGGTGGTAGCAGGTAAGTAAGGTATATAGCGTCGAGTATGTGTTGATGTTGGACGATATGATGCCAGATCAGTTACCATTTATTTCCATATATCAGCAATTTATAGCATATTTTTACAACGAACCTATATTAACTCCACCATCACATTGACTTGATGTCTTTCCCTACCGATTTTGGCAAGTGCGATGGCACCTTTCGCTCCTTCCTCTCAACAGACTGAGTATTGGAAGGTACGATCCTCGCTCGCTGTACTTAATCCAAGCCATTCCCGCGATCCTCTCTCTGTCTCTTTCTTTCACCATCATACTTTTACAAGCATCCATCCAAACACATAGCTACACTTCTGCTACATTTCTGCTTCCCATACTTACTGCTCTACGCCTTAATTCTTATCAAGAATCGCTATTCTACAGTACTTCAACATGAAGACTTGTGTTGCCTCCCTCACTGCTTTGGCACTTGCCAGCCAGGTACGTGTTGCCCCCGAGTCGACGTTGTTCGAAGAGTCAGCACTCCTCTAACATCATCTTCTATGTAGGTCGTCGGTGCTCCACAAGGGATCATCAGTCTTGCCAACGAGCGCAATTCCGACACCGCTACTCCCGCTCGTGCTGCCAATGCTCTTGAGTGGATTGGCCCAATCGGCCCTGCTGGGGAGGTGTACTCTTACTATGGCAACCTCAAGGTAAGTTTCTTCTTCGGACGTGTTTGAGTCGGTCACTGACTCCCGTTTGTGCAGGAGGTTAGCACGGAGATGGTCCAAGTAGCTCGCGATGCTCAGGTCCACCACGTTGGAGGCCTCGTTCGCCGCAAGAAGGTCAAGGCTTCCATGGCCCCACAGGTCAGTGGTCCCACCTGATGCCACGTCAATTCTGACGTTCGAGTGCAGGACAAGATTGTCTGTGATAGAGAGGACATGACGGTTGCCCAGTACGGAGAGACTTGGGCTGCTTATAAGCTCGCATCCGTTGTTGGCGCTCTTGCCGCCACAAACGAGAGCTCCGTTGTCGTCATTGGCGGTGGTCATGGCCATGTGAGCTCACTCTCTTGGGATTTGGACGTCATTCCACCTACTAATAGCACATACAGTGCGTTGACTTGACTGCCTGTGACGAGGCGGAGCGTGCTCGCATCCAGCTGTGCAATGATGTAAGACCTATATGTAGCCATTTTGAACGAGCCAGTGCTGATAGAAATTAAAGAATCCGCAGGCAAACCACGTCAAGGTCCAGACCATTGCTGAGTACGCATATAGAATCATCTACGAGTGCGCGAGACAGGATGGTTCGGGCTTGATCTGGGGACAAGAGTTCGATGACAACCAGTTCAACGTTATCATTTCAGGCTGCCCAGCGAACTATCCGCCCAAGAAGGAAGCACCAAAGACTCCACTCGCACCACCCAAGGTGAGGGGACCCAAGGAAAAGGATCCCAAGTAAAGGACGTCGTTTATCTCATAATTCCGTGGCTGGAGTTGACGCGATAAGCGAAGTAATAGCAAGGAAATTGGGCATTGGGCATGGTAAAAAGCCCGCGATTGTATGGGATTGACTTGGTCGAATAGCAGCTTCTTGTCTGGAATGGCGTTTGGAATGGCGTTTGGAATGGCGTTTGGGATTAGCAAAATGCTTTCTTTCTGCAGTAGAATGCTTAAACAATTCATGACTTTCTTGTCGCTTGATAAGGCCGTTGTGTTTTGCATGTGAAGCCTGTGAGATTTGAACAGTACGACCACTTACTATAAGTTACTTGTAACTTACAGTACTTGTAGTAAATACATTAATATAAGATGAGGTTGCAACAATAGAGCCACCAGCCGCCCCAAGGAGGGATTCCTTATCCCCCGCATTGTGGCTGTCTGCACAATCCAATAATCTGACCACTTTCCCATTCGGGCTGGCCCCCGAGCCAAAAAGTGAGGAGTAGTTAGTGCCGAGGGAACCCACGCGCCAAAGCTACGAGTACTATTGTGCGGGCTATTAAAGCAGTCAGTCTGACGAAACGACGACGGTGGAGTTCTTGACTGACGACACAAGTGTACTTACTGTTATTGTTTACGACCGATGTGAGACTGTGGAAGCAGACGACCGACCTGGTATTAGGTTTGAGTGTACCACGATAATCTTGTGACGGCTTGGCAGTGAGAACGGGAATCTTCACTAGAGAGTACTGTGGGACGCACGCATCAGCTTACTGTGGCTCGCGCGCGAGTGCGCCCATACGCGACGATATGGGAAGAGATGCTGCTGCTCCTGGGCTGAGTAAGAACGACGCCGTGGTGGCCAAGGACGACAACGGCAACGGCAACGGCAACGACGCAGCGGAACGGATTGAAACCTCGACGACTCAGGATGACAGCGCGACGCTCGGGACTGCGACGTCGGGCGCGACGAAGGCTGAGGGAGAGCTCGGGGCGAAGAAGGGGTGGAGACGCAAGGGGTGGTTTGGGAAGATGAACTCGAGTGCGAAGGGAGAGGCGCTGGAGAATATGGGGAGTAGGGTTGGGTTGTTGGAGAGGGGGGGGGGGGAGGTGGTGTGGAAGGTTTATAAGAGGAGGTGGTTTGGGTTGTTGCAGCTGGTGCTGTTGAATGTGGTTGTTAGTTGGGATGTGAGTTCACCTTTTACCCTGGGTATTGCAGAGAAGCAGAAACTGACTGCATGCGAAAACAGTGGCTCTCCTTTGCGCCCGTCTCGACAACGGCCTCGGAATACTTCGACACCTCCATGACAGCTATAAACTGGCTGAGCACCGGCTTCCTCTTCGCCTTCTGCGTCGCAACACCCTTCACCATCTACGTCCTGCACACCGGCGGCCCCAAGCCCGCCATCATAACCGCCTCCGTCCTCCTCCTCGCCGGGAACTGGATCCGCTACGGCGGCACCCGCGTCCAGAACTACGGCGTCGTCATGTTCGGCCAGGTCCTGACGGGGTTCGCGCAGCCTTTCGTCCTGTCGTCACCGACGCACTATAGCGATCAGTGGTTCACGAGTAATGGGCGTGTGGCGGCGACGGCGGTGATGACGCTGGCGAATCCGTTGGGAGGAGCGTTGGGGCAGTTGATTGACCCGTTTTTTGCGCCGAATAAGGGGGATATTCCTAATATGGTGTTGTATATTTCTATTATTGTGAGTATTGACCCTTTTCAGGGGCGGTGGGTCTTGGAATAGAGGGCTAATGAGTACAGGCTACTGTTGCTTCGATCCCATCTTTCTTCATACCCGCTGCTCCACCGACGCCGTCCTCACCATCATCAACAGAGCATAAATTGGACATCATCCCCTCCATAAAAACGCTCTTCAAATCCCCCGAGTTCATCATGATGCTCATCCCCTACACCGTCTACGTCGGCCTCTTCAACTCCATCTCCTCCCTCCTCAACCAAATGCTCTCCCCCTACGGCTTCACCGAAGAAGAAGCCGGCATCGCCGGCGCGATCCTCATCGTCGTCGGCCTCGTCGCCGCCGCAATCTCCTCCCCCATCCTCGACCGCTCAAAGAAATTCCTCCTCGCTATCAAAATACAGGTCCCCCTCATCGCCCTCGCATACCTGGCGTTCATCTGGGCCCCGCCTACTCGCAGCATCGCGGCCCCTTATACCATTCTCGCTATCCTTGGCGCGGCGTCGTTCACACTCCTCCCTGTGGCTCTTGAGTACGTGACTGAGCTCACGCATCCTGTTAGTCCGGAGGTGACGAGTACGATTTTATGGTCGGGCGGGCAGTTGCTCGGTGGGTTGTTTATTGTTATCAGCGATGCGTTGACGGATGGGGAGCAGGGAGGGCCGGGGTCGGATGTCCCGAGGAATATGCAGCGTACGCTGTGGTTCCAGGCGGTGATTGCGATGGTGGCTATGGTGCCGCCGTTGTGTTTGGGGTTGTTTGGGAGGAGGGAGCAGGTGAAGATGAGGAGGGCGGAAGCGGATAAGGTGTATAGGGAGGGGCGGAGGCTGAATGGGGCGGCGGTATCTTGAGGATATATTTTTCCTTTATCTGCTACATATTAATTAGTATTTATGAGTATATAGTTTCTATTTTATATATGAATATTACGAATTATTTCATCTCAAATTATTATCTACTCTTTTACTATATAGCACACGTGACTATCACCTTCAATTTTCGCTAGCAAATGGCACAGTGACGACACGTGAAAACGACACATTTTTTTATGATAATATGTATTCGGTTTTGGGCCTCAGGTTGATAGGGCTATGAGTGGGAACGACGCTGCAAAGGCTGGCGGGGTCGAACCCGCGGGTTCCAATCCCATCGATGACCTCGTCAGATGGGCCAAATCCCATGGCGCCTACCTCAACGACGACGTCGAAGTCTACCACTCCCCCGAATTCGGCATATCCCTCAGAGTCAAACCTCTTCAACAGAGTCGACTTTCAACCCCCGCCGCGGGAAGCGCGGAAGAAACACCCACTGCCCCTCCAATCACAACCTCATCCCCCACCACCTCCCTCCCCCCACGCTCCCGCATCGTCTCTTGCCCCTTTCCCATCTCCCTCTCCTACCTCAACGCCCTCTCCGCCTTCCCCGATCTCCCCTCCCACTCCCCCCCCCTCCCCGCCTCCTTCCTCACCACCCAACAGCCAAAAGTGATCGGCTGCTTCTTCCTCATACAGCAATACCTCCGTGGCAGCTCTTCACACTGGGCTCCGTATATCCGCTCGCTCCCGCAGCCCGATGAACCTCATAAACTCGCTACGCCGCTTTATTACCCCGAGGAGGCGAGGAGATGGTTGGGGGGGACGAATTTACCGGCGGCGATTGCGCAGAGGGAGGGGATGTGGAGGGGGGAGTTTGAAGGGGGAGTGGGGGTTTTGGAGGGGAGTAAGGGGATGGAGGGGTTGGGGGGGGAGTGGACGTGGGAGTTGTATAAGTGGGCGTCGACTATATTTAGTAGTCGCAGCTTTGTCTCGAAGTTGATCCCGGATGAGGTGTACGGCGATGTGTTGGACCAGCCGGTGGATGGGTATCCGAGCTGGCGCGAGAAGATCGCAGAGGAGGGCCCGTACCCGGTTCTCTTTCCGCTGCTGGATATTGCGAATCATGACGCCAAAGCGTGGGTGGAGTGGTTCGTGAATGCGCAGGGACCGGTCAAGGATTTCAGCATTATCACGGATGCGGCGATAGGGGAGGGGGAGCAGGTGTTTAATAATTATGCGCCGAAGGGGAATACGGAGTTGTTGCTGGGATATGGGTTTTGTATACCGGGGAATGATGATGTGGCTATTGAGCTCAAGTGTCCTAGTGAGGAGAAGAGGCGGATTTGGGGGGCTCAGAAGCATGGGTATAAGGTGCCAGGAGGCGCAAGTGAGAAATGGATATTCCATGTCAGAAGTCGACCATATCCCGCCAGGGAAGGCGATAACAGGGTGGAGGAGTTCCGGGTTTTTGAAGAGGGACTGATCGATACACTCGCCATCCTGGTGGCGAACGAGCGGGAGGAGAAGTTCCTACAAGAGAACCCTGAATACAGCGTTGAGTCGAATCTAGAGACATCTCTGTATAACTTTATGGGGAGGAACGCGCTCTGTGCGCTCTCTGTCCTTCTGGCGCAGCTGAGGAGTGCTAAGAGAAGAATTCTTGAGGCGGGGAACGATTTAGGGTAGAGTTTTTCCTGTGGCCCTGGAATCATGGTCTCTGACTGACATAAATAGGGATCCAGCTGCTCAGTTTGAAGTCGTTGCGCAACAGTACCGGTCAGGGCAGTTGGCGACCTTGGGCGGTGCTATCGAGGCGCTACATGCATACCTAGAGACTCTCAAGGTCAAGGATGACACCGAGGACTATACCATCGCAGAATGGCCCCAATCGCCCATCATCGACGTCCGCTCGGCATTCCCCTACCTAAAAGCCAACCACCCCACGGTCTGGAACACGGTAGCGCAGTCAATGGCGCCGGAGGACACTCTTAAACCCTATCTAGGCTTCTCTGCGAGTCCCGAAGCCGGTACCGGCGAGGATGTCAGCGTGAAGGACTTGTCGGCGAGAAATTGCAGTTTTGCCGAGATGCTGGATAACGGCCGAGGGGTGGCGATGCTATGTGTTTGGACGTGGTGCGTGTTGATGGTCCACCACTCCGAGAACAACGATCTGAGTGATGGGCTGGATGTATGGCTGGAGGATTTACTCCAGTAAGTGCCCTATCTCTGTCTGAAGAACGAGACGCCTTTGCTATTCACTCACTCCACCTCTAACTCATACTCCCCGCAGATTCCACAGCACAACCCCTACTTTCGACTCAGACCCCGAAACTACTGCCGCAATGTCACTCATGACAACTCGCACGCTCGCTGTCTGGCCGACGGACTACCCCTTACGGTCTGCTGCAAGGCGCCGCGTGAACCGTATGCACCCCGCCCTCATCCCTGGAGACGACAAGGACGCCGACTTTGCGAGGAAGATGGTGAGTCTCGCGATGCGTATTGTGAGAAGCAGCGTGTTTGAGACTGGTATTTCGACGAAGGGGCTAGGTCCGCAGGTTTTGCAGGAGGTTATTTTTGTGCCAAGAATGAAGGATGAGGAGGGTGCTTGAGGTGTAGATACCGGAGGAGCATTTTGTGAGTTGTCATGTGCTGGAGCCGCCTACAGTTTGAAGAGAAGGAGAACGACTGTACTGTACTGTACATATGAGGCATTTGCCTCACCCATCTCTAACCCACAGTCGTATGGATCTACGGCATCTCGATTCCATGAATCTGCCCCACAACCGAACCCTTCCCCCACATCTCCTATGGATACTGTATGTACTTTGAATCTATCAAACAACGGTGATGATACAGAAGCCAAGATAGCGAGGGCAGAGGAATTTTGGGTGCTGTAAGTCCGTATCATTCCTTATATATGCGCGTGTAGACCTCTTTGCTAACATGAGATGAGGAATTGAGGGCTAAAAACAAGACCAAGCCGGCCAAGCAAACCCTATTTTTAGCTTCCGTAAGAGCAACCTCGCATACCCATCCTTCCTATTCTTCCTATTCTTCCCATTCTTCCCATTCTTCCCATTAATCATTAATTGCAGTCGTATTTGTACACTAAATAACATCATATATCATATGTAACCGATCATCCAACATCCAACATCCAACATCCAACATCCAACATCCAACATCCAACATTCATCCCCAGCGAATCTTAAAACGAAGCAAGGGGGCGCGCGCATAGACCTGTCACGCCCAATGTGATTCAGAATTTCCCGAAATGGCAAGAAGCAATTTGCCTCATTCATGTTTGGTGGCGCCGGTTGCCGTCCTGAGCCGCTCAGTTGGGGAAAGAGGAAAGAGGGAAGGTAGGTTTTTGGATAAAGTCTAGCTGCGCCGCTTCTTCCCTCTTGTTTACTTAACATCGGGTTTTCGTTCTGCTTCATCACAATCGTTACTCAGTGTAGTTCCGGTCGTTACACTTCACACTCACTCACTCACCATCACAACATCCCCCCAACAAACAATCAAGATGTTCAACTCCCTCCTCCTCACCACCGCCACCCTCCTCCTCCTCACCACCCCCATCCACGCCGTCTGCGGCGTCCACACCTTCGGCCACTGCGGAGACATGATCACGCACTGGTACGACCCCCTCACCGGCGAGATCTGCGACCCCGTCGAATGCGGCGGCGGCCGGGCCCCCCCCAAGACCAACGTCCCCGGCTGCGGCACCATCCCACTCGGCCCTGCATCATACCTGTCGTGCTGGACCCCCGGGTTCACCGGCGCGCCCGGCCCAGCGACGGTGGTGGAGCAGTCGACTACCGAGGCCGCGGCGCCTGAGAAGACGACGGCGGCGGAGATGCAGTCGACGATTGTGACTTCGCAGGCGGCGGAGACGCTGGTGACAAAGGAGACGACGAAGGAGACTACGGCGGTGGAGAGTAAGGAGGAGAGCAGCACAGTGGTGTCGACGAAGGCTGAAAGCAGCCCGGAGACGACGGCGCCGGCTGTGCTGCCGAGTGGACAGACTGGTGCGCAGACTGGGGCGCAGACTGGTGCGGCGAATGGGACAGTTACTTCGAGCTCGACTTCGAGACCGAAGACGACGGATGGTACGGGTGCGGGTGCGGGTGCGGTTGTGAGGGGTTCGGTGATGGCTGTTGTGGGTGCTGTGGTTGGTGTTATTGTGCTTGTTTAGGAGGGATATGGGGCGATGTAGGATAGGATGGGGTTGTATGAGCGGGCGATACCTTGTAAGGGAGATAGCATGGGATGTAAGGGGTTGTATAGGCGTGTAGTAATAGTTCTAGGCTGCTACTATGCTCCTATGCAATCCCCTATTTAACATACAGAATCTACTTCCATTATGCACATCGCTGTCTTACTCGGTCTTGCGAGCATGCCGTGGTCTATATCACCACTGCCAGCATGGATCCCCATAAGTCTGCATGGCACATCGCGATATCTCCCCTCCCCTCCTCGCTCTACCAACGGCTCTCGCCCCCTACCTCGCCGACCTGTTCCCCTTCATCCGCGCATTCCAACACGTCCACATCACATCTCCGCGTCCTCACATCTTCGAACACGTAACACCGCATCACCTCCCCATCACCCCTCCCCCCCAAGACCCCCCAAGACCCCCCAAGAACCACCCCAACCACCAAAACGGCGTCACCTTCGAACCGAACGATCCCCCACCCTCCGCCAAGGCTTCCATGCATACTTCTCTGTATGACTAGTCCCTCTTCTAGCGGATTCCCCAATCAGACTCCCACCCTCGCCCACAACCACGCAGCCAACGACACAGCCATGTTCACTGCTGCGCCACCCCTTCTCTCGCCTCGATTACAGCGGTGTCGATAAGGGATAGGGGGCTGCCGAATCACGGGGATAGAGGGGTTGGTGGTGGCGAGCTGGCGGCGGTCATTTCCAATAGGCGACGAAGCGGGGAGCCGAACAGGGAATGGTGCGCCCGCGCGCGTGCGGGTAGGGGCGGGTGTTCCCTGTGGTTAGTGAGTTAGCCTTGCCCAACTTACGGGTGGCCCGCCCGCCGCGGGGTATGATGGATTGTAGTAGCACCAGAACGGTTCGATCCTGGATGGATATCGGGAAATGTGTACTGTAATTTTTATGTGTATGTCTATCCACATCGAAGCAACCGGCGCCTACTCTACTGCACTTTCATGTGCCGTCCCATCCGGCGCCCCTTCAAACCTGCCCTTCCATAGCCGTAGCCGTGTCTGCGCCTCATCCCCCCCTTTTAAACCCGCGTCGCCTTTAAACCAGCACCTCCTCCTCCTCTCCTACTACTCCGTCGCCTTATACTTCTTATTGAACTCCCCCACCGCAACCCCAATCTTCTGATACAAAAAGTTGCGACTACTCTCCTCCGCCACCGGCAGGAACGGCCCATTCGTGCCCCCCCTCAGCGTCAAGCTCAGCCCCGTCCGCTCCTTCGAGATCGTCTGCACATCACGCAGCGGCACATCCCACTCGCTCGTCAGCTTCTTCGCACGTACAAGCATGATTCGGCTGTACGTCAACATCGCCACGACATCCTCGCGCGGCAGCTCCAGGTGCGCAATGTACTTCTCGTCAAAGTACTTGCCGCTGTCCAGCTGCTTGAGCCAGAACTGACCGAGTGCCTCGCGCTGGTTGTACGGCCGCACGATTCCGTCCGCGGGGATGAAGCGCGTCAGGCGCACGCGCTCTAGGCCTTCGCCGTCAAACACTGTCGTTGTGTTGCGGATGCCCTCGGAGACGTTCGACGCAAGATCAAACACACCGATGGCTGGCTTCGTCGCGAGTCCGAGAACACCCTTACCCACGCCCTTAAAGAAGCCTGCGAATCCCTCCTGCTCGGCGCCCTCGAGCGGCTTGCGCGCGAGACCGCCAACTCCACTGGCGAGACTGCTAACGAATGAATTAGCCCCAGCCGTCACGCCATACAGAGCGTGCTTCGGCCTGTTACGCGACCGAGTCATGCGCCGGCGGTCCTGGAACTGCTTGTCCATCGTCGCGGCGACGAGACCCTTGGAAATACTACCAGTGACCTTCGAGAAACTGTCCGAGACACCAAAGACGGACTTCTTAACAAAGCTGGTGGCGCCCTTGGCGATGCCGATACCGAGCTGCTCAGGCTTATCAGACATGATGAAGCCCTGGTACGGCTCGTAGAAGATATCCGCCACTCCCGAACTCAGGTTATTGAACAGACCGACGGGGTTGCCCAGGAAATCTGCAGATCCTAGAATCTTGTGCACTTGGTACAGCGCTTCTTGAGAGTAATGCGCAGAAATATTCTGTGTCAAGACAGCCGCCGATACTCGTGCGTTCTCCAACATCAAGGCGTTGAATCGCACAGGCGCGTCGTTGATGTTCCCAATGGCCATGGTAAGCACATTGAGGAAGAACATCAGCGGGTTGCGCGACGATGTCTTGTCCTCGACATTGACTCGCTCCGTTCTAACAAATGACAAATCTAGCTGCATGGGCTGGATGTTGAGGAGCTCAAAGTAGATATCCTGGCCCTGCTGGAGCTGTTTCGGCTCCGGGATGTCAAGACTGTCATCACAAAGCGTCCCTTCATGCGTCTCTGACCAGCTAGCCCCCGGTACCTTTGAGAAGTCCAGCAGCGCGTAAACGAAATCCTCGTCGATTTCCAGCGTCATCTGTTGCAGGAGTAGCGTAGCGTATTTGAAGTAGAGCACACCGTACGAATCATCCTTGACGCGCGTAATCTGGGCATGGAGAGAAGGATGCGCCTCAGTCTCAGCGTGTTGTCTAGGGACAACACTGGGATAAATAATCATGGGGAAGATGCCTCCGTACAATTGATTATCGATCTGAATCCACTTAATGGATGCAGAGACAGTCTGATACAGAGGCGATTCGCTGTACCTCAACGTGAGATCTCTGAAGGTAATATATGCAAGTTCGCTGAGCTGGCTATTCACTAGTGAGATCCCGAATCCGGCGAGTTTGAGTTGTGCGCGGAACGTGACATCCGTATCTTGATCCTTGACCTCGAAGCCTTCCGTGGCGCTCGAAGCCGATTCCGTAGGCGACCTTTGCTTGTACATACTCTTCGACGGCTTATAATTCGACAAGATCAGTGTCTGGGTGGGTCCATCTGCTGCGACATTGAGATCGATAATCTTCTGTTCCCTAGAATGTTTCGCGGCGGGAACCTTCATTGGTATCAGATTTCCAATCTCTGCCAATTTAATATGCCTGTCCTTGGCATTCGCACTGATGATGAGCTCTTTAAGCTTGGCGGCAGGATAATCCCACGCGTATGGCATGATGCTTCTCGGCGGAAGTCGATAGCGGATTGGGCGCCAGCCTGATCTATCCTCCATGTCTTCCTCGTCAATGTTGGGATTTGCTTGCCAGAACATAAATTCCATGTCACTCTCATTGCGCATAGAATAAGGCCAGTTCTTAGTCTCGATGCTGAGATGCAGGAAGATGGTAGCATCCTCCATCAGAACCTCAAGACGGACGAGCTTTTGTCTCTGGCCGACCTTAGCAAGCTTCACATGCGTCGTTCCAAGATCTGAGATTGTGAACGGCGAGGACCATTGGTTGTTCAGGCCGGGGAAGCAAAGGCACAGTTGCTTAACCGCCGACTTTTGAAGGAAGTGAAGAGCCTTCAGTTCTCCCCGCTTCAAAGTCATAAGCTCCGACGATCCAGGTTCCCTGGCGCTGATTTCCTCGCTCATGCGATTCTTCAGCACAAATCTCGGCGCAAGCGTAACGACCTTGGTCATCTTGTATTTCCCGTCTCCATTCTCGATGCTGATTCCAACATGGATCTCAGTATTCTGAGTTGCTGACGGTAGAACCACATCGATTGTGCTGCCAATGGCGTCGAAACTCTGCGGTTTACTCCAGTTCGACTCGCCGACTTTGAGGATGACGCGGTTGCGCTGGTCGTCGCCACTGAACGCAAACATCAGAGGCAGCGCCTTCTGTTCGTCATCCCCAAGGAGATCGCGCACTACCTTCTGGCCAGCCGCCGTCCGTGCTTGCTGCAGTAACGACTTGGCCTTGATATTGATATCCAGGCCAGTTTTATTCAAAATGATGTAAGGACTGTAAATCGTGAGTCTAAACGCTCCACCACTATCTGGGATCCTGTAATAATGCAATTGGAGATTAAGCGGGAGGCCCTCGTTGTCCTTGCAAACAAGCGTTGTCTCTTTTCGGAAATCGTCAGAATCATTAGAGTTAATAATGGCAAACTCGCTGGCTTTGAAAGCAGTATCTTGCATATCGATGCTCAAAAGTAATAAATGGGATAATTCGACAACATGCACAGGGCTGAGGCCTCCCTTTCGAAGGAAGTTCGTCCAGTCCTTCTTCGTGTTTTTGTCGTAAATGCGATATTTGAAGTCGTAAGGAAGCAAATTCTCCAACTCGATTGGAGCAGAGAGGCGAATTCTCATGTAAGGATATATACTATGGAGTGTTAGTTGAGGCAGACAAGAGGGACTCGGATTGAGTACTTACTTGCAAAGAGGATTACTCTTATCGTACACTGCGTTCATTTGGAAATAGAACGGGGGAGTCTTGCTGTCGCTTTCTCCCTTACAAGTCATCGTCCTGGTCGGGTGCCTCAGAAGGTCGCGCCACCACAATGACTCCGTTGACCAGGAATACCCGAATCCTTGGTCTGGTCGTACAAGAAGCTGCTTCAAATATGCAGCTCCAACTGGTGCCGGTTTACTTTCTCCCGGTGGAATCTTCTCGATTTTAAGGAGATGGCCCTCCTGGGCATCAAACACGCCGAGTTCGACGGGGATTTGTGTGTTGTTCTCCACCAGCAACGGCGATCTAAAAGTGATATACTTGACATTGTCTTCTCCGAGCTTGACTTCCACAAGCAGGCGATGGAGAATATTATCCACTCGCGGTTTCAGGTTGTAGAGGAACTCCCCCTCGCGATTGACGGGAATCTTGTCAATGCTCTGAAAGCTGCTTCCTTCGAGGACAACCCCAACAATAGCAGGTTTGACATCAGTCGACAAATTCTCTCTCATCTTCTCCCAGTTCTCGAAGAGCCATGGGGCCTCCTCGCCGTCTTGGAGCTTTGCGGACATCGCATCTTCATCGATAGAGTCAGATTCGGCCCAGACGTTCATTTCGAATCCCGTGTAATTTTTAATGCGGTACGGAGTATCAACGCCGCGAGGCTTCGACAGAACATCGTCATCTGACCGGAGGAAGGTGGCGGAATGAGACGCCAGAGCAATCGTAGCCGAAGTGATAGTCAATTCCATCATTTTCTTCGAGCTCAGCTCAAACGCCATGCTGGGAGGATTTTGCTTCCTCGACATACGGAAACCAAGCTGCCATGGTTCAATAAGAGGCTCCCATGACGACTTGGAGAAGTTGTAAACATTGACAAACATGTCAATGGTCGTCCCGGCAGAAAGGTCGCTCGACCAGTCTTTGGCAGTAGCTGTGAAGTTGTTGACGCTTAGGTCAAGAATTGGCAGTTCGTGTACGTCGCCCAGAAGGACAACTCTAAATCCCTCGAGGGTGGCCGTTAGCTCCTCACGCTTGGGCGGGCCAGCTTTAGTCACGGCACTGGATGCATCGCCGTCAAGCTGGCCTTGGCTTGCGCTACCGATAGTTTTGGGCTGTTTCGCCAGTGTTGACGCCGCTCGGCCACTTGCCGTACCCTGCTTTAGACTACTATTGGGACGGCCCTTGAGCTGGTTTGCCTTCTTAGCGGAAGGTGACTCCTGAGGTTTCGCTTCGCCGCCAGACAATTCCGATGCCTTCCCGAAAATTTGCACGGCAAGTAGGATATCACGAAGCGACAATCGAAGAATCAATGGCTGGATGTCGATATGAATACTCGAAACCTGAGGTTGCGAGGTATCCATAGACATTGACAAGTTGAAGTCATCGAGAATGCGAAGGCGTGTGTCTTCGAAACGATCCATCCTACAAAGGAACATACCCATCTCCGACACCTGAAGGGTCAGAGCATGTTGCTTAGACATGAGGATTTGCTTCGTCCCCAGCACAATGGCTTCGGAGCTGGTGCTGATCGGGTTTGCAATCAAAATGATCTGGGCATCAACGATATTAACCCTGAATGAGACCGTCATTTCGTTGTTATCCTGTATCTGAGGCGTTTTCTTTCCAGAGCTAGCCTGTTTCTCTGACTTTGGACGCTGGCTTATATGCCGCGAAGAAACCTCAGTCTCGGCCTCTGAGTTCTCATTCGACTCCTCCATGGTGTCTTGCACGATATCAGAAATCGCAGGCTCATCAATTGCAAATCCATGGGTAAGCCACGACTGAATAGCAAATAGATGATCCAGCGCGAGGATGACTCGGGGGCTGTCAATCGCAGCCATGGCGATGACATTTCGTTCTTTCCCACCCGAGATTGTAACGCTCGCCATGAATTGCTGGACGTCCTTGTTCAAAGAGGTCATAACCTTCATGTATCTGTTGGTTTCGCCGCTTCTGCTATCTTGAATCGTGGACGATTGGATTGTGAGCTCGGATTCCAGAGATCCATCCGTGGCCATGGAAAGCTTCACCATGGTATCATCCAGAGAAAATTTGGACAAGCTAGCTGCCTGGCGATCCTCAATGGGCTCATTTTCTTCGGCGCGGATCATCTCCAAGCCAACACTGGGTACTTTGAAAGCGAAGTCTAATTTTACCCAGCTTTCGGAGTCAATGTTAAGCTCTGGACCAAGATCGACGGACTTCTTGCTATCATTGTCATTGCTAGCAAACCCATGATCCGCATCAGCATGCTGAGTGAGTCTATTGGGTAGCTCGTCAATCGTCTCCTGCTCAATGGCATCCTCGTCGGCAGCAAAAGCAGCAGGGATAGTTCTAGCCAGTTCTAACAGGAACCTAAATTGAACTTGTGTGATTCGCAAGTTGAGCTCGGTCATATGGCCAATAATTTCAAGGTCAGGTCTCTTGACTCCCTGCAAATGCTCGGCATATGTGATCGCGAAGCCAAGATCAACTTGATCAATCAGCTCCAGCTCCTCGGACCGATCTTCCCCGTAGTGAAAGTCGGAGGTCAATCTGATATTCCTGATACCCGCCGAAATCTTCATGCCGATGGGCGAGTAGGCAGAGTCGTCGAGTGGAACGAACTTGTTCTGGGCGTAGATCTCTCCAAGATACGCGGTTATAACGTCTCGGCGTGGTATGCCCGACTCCATAACGCGGGGGAAGACAATAATCGGCGTTTTAACCGTAATATTGAAATGTATCTTATTGGCATTCTGTTGAATCTGAGACGCTTGGTTCGCCGCAGCCTGGCGGGCAGCGTTGAAGATTGCCTGCATCTTTCCGAACTTGACGAGAAAGTTGAGGATCTTGCGGAATGGCTCAGAGATGAAGTTGACCTTCACCGATCCAGCTTGGAGGCCAAAGGACGAGTCGTAGCCTGGGTATGTTTCCTTATTATTCGGATCAAAAGTCTCATAACTGAAATCAGCCAAGTCTTGACTTTGGATAGACACCAATTCACGCATCTCGGGCGGCGCACCCTGGTCGATGTCGTCTAATAGCGACAGGTTGCCGAGTTTACCACCAATCCGCATTGTCTGGCCCATCAGGAACAATCCCAAGTCGCCAGCCATGAGACTTAGCGTTGCAAGCCTAATTCCATCATTGTTGAGGACCAGCGACACCTTCTTGAGGCTGATTTGTATCCTTATTTTCTCTGGCTCAGCTGGGTTTTGGGGTGTGGCAACAACTTCATCTTCCTCCGATTCATCTTCCGACTCTATGGCAGTTTTCTGATTCGAATCATTCCCTTCGGGGTTCGTGAAGGTTATGAGGATAAAGTCCAGCAATGTGAGAAGTGTTCTCCTTGTAACAATCAAGTTGATTGTCGATATTGCAATGTCAAGGTTCGTCTCAATCCCCGAATACTTGGTCATAAACTCGGGCGACTCCCTCCTGATCCTAGCATATTTCACCTGGACGAGGGCCTTCTCTTTATCGCCTCCCTCTGCGCCATCCCCTGATGATACTAAGCGCTTGAACTCAGGCAGAGGATCCTTTTCTACATGATCATCCAGCGAGAGAGATTGGAGGGCAACTTCCGCCGTTATATCAAACGGTCTGACTGTTACGTCGACACTGAAGTGGTCTGCAACAAGTTCGACGAGTAATTGGTCTGGCTTCTTGCCATTAGGGTCACTTCGATATAGGGAACCCTGGAGTCGGCCAATGCTGAACGATAACTCAAATGTCCGTTGTGCGAGTTTGAGGTCTTCGTCGGTTTGTCCGATGGAAGCGTCTTGGAACACAAAATCTTCGTCTTCATCGATATCAGATTCCTCGATGACAACAGCCTGCTGAGCCGCAAATGGGAAGGAGGTTGACTGTCGGTGAGATTTTCGGCGCTGTGATAGAGAACTCTGTGCGCGTGGACGCTCGACATCCTTCGTCGCCGCTGAGTTGCGAGCAGGTTCTATTGCCTTATCTAGTACTTCCTGCTCGTCTTCAAACTTGGGAATAGCCACGTTGACAAGACGCATGAAGCTCTTCCACTTAGCATCGGACGCCGAGGCATGGAGTACTGGTAAGTGCCCAGATATTCGTATTTTCGGGATGTTTGGAGTCTTTGGTACAATGGATAATTGTAGCGTAAATTCAACGTTGATGCGGTCAACAACGTGGAACGCCTTATCCCCAGTGTCTCCCAGGCGTGCCCTGGTCTCTTCCACGGACGGGCCAATGAGAACCTGGGTTGCTTTAAGCTTCAGCTGGAATTTATCGTACATCAGGCCTTCCAAGCGCTTCAGGTCATCCTCAGTATACGTCTGGTTGTGCTTAGACTGTATACCTCGCATTGTCTCTTTATCAACCAAATCGCTGTTGACGCTAATGTGACCCGCATCGACAATTAAGCACGTAGTCCTTTCGGACTCAATATTTTCAGGAACGATGATTAAAGGCGCTTGCAAGTCCAGCTTGGCATTTATCGTCTTGTGCTCCTCGAGAGCAAATTCCAAGCCGGCTCGTGTCTGTTGTCTAATGCTTTCTACCGTAGCACCTGCGGTATCCATAAGAGCGTAAATGGAGTCCATGTGTCTCTCCGGAGGCTTGAAGAATTTAACGATCTCCACGATAAAGTTAGGATTATAAATGATCTCCATAGACTTCAATTTTGCCGTAACTGCTAAATCGGCACTTTCGTCTAGAGGGTGTTGTTCGAATTGGAACTGGAAGAACGGTTCGACGACGGACTCGGGCTCAAACTTAGTTAAGCTGGTGTCGTCGTCGGTTGATGGCGAATCTTTCACTCTAATAATTTGTGGATAGAAGCTGTTCGCAGTGGTTCCATCGTTTAGACGAAGGCCTCCTAAGCTTACGTCGGCAAGGAAGGAATCCGGCCGTTGTAAGATTTTGGCACTAAAAGAATCAAAGAACAGACTGAGGACCTCCACCGCGGTATTATGGGAGTCCCGTTTTAATGTGAAACTACCCAACTTAAGATCGGCTTCGATTTGGAGCTTAACGGTCTCTCGAGGAAGATCAACACTTGCCGCGATTGCATTTTTCTCGTCCCAATCGATAGCCTTGTACAGTTCCTCACGTTGCTCTTCCGTCATCGTGGTCGTCTCATCCTCTTCAGTCTCTTCGGGCTTCGAGCCCCAGGCCCATGCCACCCATCCTTGTGGCTTTGGAGGCGTAGCTTTCTTGACGCCGATATTTTCCTTCTTCAGCTGATTTCTAGCAAGGGATCTCCAGAATCTCAGGTCTTCGTACGACAGCTTCCACTCGAGATTGTTGAGGTCCTTGGTTTCATCGGGGGTCATTGGTTGATCTCCCCTCTTCTTCTTGAATAACTCGATGTAACGGATTCTGTCATCCCGTCGCTCGCGGAAGTAATCCCATGACCAGCGACGGTTTCTCTCGTGGATCTTGCTCAACACTGCGTCTGCAGCAAATCGCAACCACGCACGAGGGTCTTCTTTGGGAGTTACTCCTTTAGGCTGCAGTTTCTTGTATTCCTGGTGCCGCAGGAAATAATGGAATAGATCGACCATCATGAGTGCATCTCTGTACTGGTCATCGTCCAGAACCAGTCCAATTTCATCGAAGAGCAGACCTGCTTTAATCTTTGGCCTGGTGATCTCGCCCGAGGTATCCATCTCGATCTTTGCGCGGCCACTAACAGGTTTCAATATGAACTGATGCTCGGTGTTGTCGCTCTGCTCGCCCTTGACGATCAATTTTGAGAATTGCTCCATCATCTCCTCATGGGACAAAACTTCGGCATCTTGAGGCACCTGTGCTTCTCTTCCGGTGCCCATAAGCTTTGTATCTGTATTGAAGTATACAGCAAGTGCCTCCAGCGTGGCGAGTTTATGCCCAACACCAACTGAGTTTTGTATGTATGTTGGGTTCCATTTTCCGTCGGTGCTTACAGCGCTGAATCCCTCGAGCGTTACACCGAGCGCAAATGGATGTCCAGGAGCGGATATCGAATCTTCATACCGGACGTGTATGTTCTTCACGGTGATTTGGAGGTTGTTCACGATAGCCGAAACCAAGCTCTCCGTGAAGCTCTGGCTCTTCTTCTGCTCCTCCTGGCTGAGGCCCTCATCATTCCTCTCTTTTAGGATGTCTGCACTGTCAAGTTTTTCCATTTTCACAGCTTGTCGCCTTCGCTCTTCTTCCTCTTCGTCGTATTCCGCGTCCTCCTTCGGCGCCGCTAACAGGTATACATCTTCAATAAAAACCTTGACAGGCTGTCCACGTAGATTCGACCATGGTATCGTTAACGTCAAGGCTCCAAGATGTCCCTCAACCACATTTATCGGCAATTTCAGCTGGTCCAGAGCTTCTCGCCTGAGCTCCAAGTTGTGAAGCTTGACATCTCCCGACCAGATCCCGACTTTCAGTTGTCCTGGGTCGAAGTTCCGAATGTACATGCCCAGAAACCGATTGAGGAGACCGGCCACCAAGCCTTCCAACATCCTGTACTATTGGTGCCGTAACCCGGGCAGGGACAATCGTAGGGTTGTTTTTTAGGGTCGCAGCTGATGTCGTCTATGTTCCTCGAGAACGGCAGTCGCGCGCATAGACCGGGGGTCTTCGTGAAGGAATATAGGCTTTCAATTGCCTCGCTTCTTGTAGATTCACCCTCGAGGGCTTTGTGGGACGATTCAGTTCATGGGATGATAAGCTGTTGGGAGTATCACGACCCCTCCCTTGGAACTAAACTCGGGACGATGATCTCGAGGCGCTTTCAGAGCAATGGGGACCGCTAATGAGCAAGAAAAGTACACAGTGATCTCTCCGCAACAAAGTCTAGAGTTTATTCGTTGGTTTTCAAGAGATCGGAGTCGCGTTGGTACAATAAATTCGTGATCATGATTGTTTGGTTTGCGTGGGACTCAAGACGTTGTTGGCAGTACCAAGGTACTCGTACTCTGGGGATTCTCATGTGGCTCCTTCCTGCCCCAGGCACTCATAAGCCTTCGTCGACGTCTACGAACGCACCTTCCACTCCCACCGAAGCAAAGCAATTTACCTACAAACGACGCCATAATAACCAAAGCCAAGATGGAAGCCTCCCAGAACACCAACCGTCCAAAAACATCTATTCCGAACTCCTCCACCAAGTTATAGCTACACAATAGCGAACCGCCAATACACTCGAGGACCTCGCACCACGCAACGCAATTGCTTCTCCAGTGAATGCTACCGCTACGCCAGAGAATGATAACAACGCTCACGACCAAGGAACTGGAAAGTTCAGCTCAGGAATCCCAAGCTGTTTAAGCTGCGCAGAATGTTTTAAAATTTGGAGTCGAGACACAACAAAGGGCTTCTATCCGTGTGGCTCTGGGTGGCTCTGGGTGGCTCTGGGTGGCTCTGGGTGGCTCTGGGTGGCTCTGGGTGGCTCTGGGTGGCTCTGGGTGGCTCTGGGGTGGCTCGGGGTGGCTCGGGGTGGTTCGGGGTGGCTCTGGGTGGCTCTGGGTGGCTCTGGGTGGCTCTGGGGTGGCTCGGGGTGGTTCGGGGTGGCTCTGGGTGGCTCTGGGTGGCTCTGGGTGGCTCTGGGTGGCTCTGGGTGGCTCTGGGTGGCTCTGGGTGGCCCTGGGAGTATCTGTGATTGGAATTCTTTGGTGGGCTGCGGCGCGTGAGATATTTTTGGTAAGATTCAACTTTATATCTTACATAAACACCTTTCATTTAACTAACACTTAAAGGGAGGGGATGTCAGAGGTTGGAAGATCACATGCTTTCGCTGGTACTGAAGCAGTAGACGTCAATGGCAATCCCTAAAGAGACGTTTTGACGATGTCTTGATCTACGACAGACATCTCCCCAGGTGTTTTTTCTTGTCCCGGATACGAACGCGAATGGTGATAAGGATGGGGAGGAGGGGGTGAAGTGAGAGTCTGTTATTTTGCTGGTAAGACCAAATGAGGCGGTCCTAGTGATCCTATCGTGGGGGGGTTGTCGGCCTTTGCGAGCAAGCCAGGAAAGTTTGGCAGCCAATCTTCAGTTTATATAGCCATCGAAGACAGAATATCACCTTTGATGTACTTGCCGCGTACAAATATGCATCGGTAAGCCAAACACGGATGGTCTTGCAGGGAGTTCGCCGTAGGGGGCGGTCACGGAAGGGCTGGTAAACGCTACCTGTCTAGGTAGACATTGAGCGGTGAGAATAAAGATCATCCCCACATCGTTATCGGATTTTCAATACATTATTTGTTCATAAAATTGTTAATTTCGCGGGCAAAGATTAGAGTCGCCAGAGATGTTGCGCGTTGTTGCCCAGGTATGCAGAAGATGTTTCTCGTAGCCAACCAAAGCTTGGAATGGGTGAATCGACACTCGCTCGGCACTCGACAATTGAGACTTTCCAACTTTGTCATCAATGCCGATCACTCTGAGAAATGCACAAAGGTGTACCTTTTCAATAAGTGCACGACGGCGCCTCACCTATGCTTATTGGAGGTGCTAAACAGCCTCGCCGTCCAACATGTCTATTTTATCCACACAGCTGTCTGAGCTGGTGGTCCACCTCGCCGGGGTCGACATTGACCGCCTCACTCTTTTCATTTCAACAAAGGCATCCCGGCTGGACCCCTGCAGTGGTCCCAACTATATTACAAGTCTACTCTTTCAACGATTGATTTCTTTTTGTCGTTCAGCGTGATGGATTTGAAAACAATTACAAGTAGGAAGCATGTATCGAAATGGCCGCTGGGCTGTTGATGCTGTGCCTCGAGATGGCTTCCAACCCCACCCACGACCGGTGGATTACCACGGTCGAGAACGCAGATACACTACACCGTACCACCGCCAGTGCACACGCTTTGATTCCGTAACCACTGATAATCGGTTAAAACGCAAAAACACCAAACGCCGCCCCCATGCTGCCTATTCCGTTGAGGGCTCGAACTCTAACGTTGCATGCCCTCGGCTTCAGAACCCCGCCTCATCGCTTGGCCCAGATGCCGGATGGTTGACGGATGAAGAGGCGAGTAGGGGGGTGGACGCGTGCTTCAAGAAGAGGCAGAATCATGTCCAGGGACGGATCTTGCGGAAGCTGCTGAATCGCGAGCTGGCTTTCGACCAGGAATCGCTAGACCGCATCCGCTTCGCTGCGGACTACGTTCTCTTTGACGGCATGCTCCGTGGAAAAGTCAAGTGGAGGTGGTCGAAGGAAGGTGAGGAGGGCTACGAGAATGAGCTCCTGGGCTCGACGACGCCGCAGTATTCACCAGAGACCGGTATCGAGGCCTGGGTTGTGCTGTCGCGGCCCCTCCTGCTGTCCGGTAGGTACAGCCAGGACCTGCTCCTCTCGACGTTCCTCCACGAGATGGTGCACTGCTACCTCTTCATATGCTGTGGCGACCGGGCTCAGAAGGACGGGGGGCACACGCCTGGATTCCAACAGATTGTGCAGCTCATCAACGGCTGGACCGGGAACTCACGCCTGCGCCTCTGCAGCATGAAGGCGGACCTGGACCACTTCACGGTCGGGTCGGAGGACTTGTCCTGCTGTCCTGTGGCGGAGGATATCGCCTACGAGCCGTCGTCTACCAGCCAGTATGTGGACTTCGGCGACTGCACCTTTGTGTGCGGTTCGGGCCAACATACGTTATCAGGAAATGGACATCCGCTGCCAGGGTTCGAGGAGATTCATAGGAATGTTTCTCTGCCCCCATTGGCATATGTTAGCATGCAAGAGCGGATGATGCAGGCGCTGGGTGGATCGGTTACCATGCCCATCTGTTGAATGAGTAGTGCTCTTGTCCGCGTTAAAAATCATTTTGTTCTCGTGGTCGTACTATTATTTTACTTTCAGTGTGTTGAGCGCGTTGGCGTTTTATATCTATAAAGGGTTTAGACTATGAGTTTTTTAGCATACAATACGAGAGGCCATGGTATTCTTGGCTTTGATCCATGTACCATTCAATGTGAACCAATCTATTTCGCGGGGCGGCAGTGTTGTGCAACCGTTTCATTTTTGTTGGACACTTCGGAAGCGGACCCCAGGGCTACCTCTGCTCTCATTGGAAATGCTGTCAACTATGGGTCAGGTATTGCAACGAGATTTTCATATCTGGAGCAACCTTGGAAGGAGTTGTGGCACATCGTTGTGCTGTGTACATTTTGATTCTGAGGTAACGCGTTAAAAATTGTAACTTGACTCCGACTCCAGGTGCTTGACATACCATTATTCAGCTGCTCTGTACGCCGACATGTCCCTATTACAGACACATCGGCTCTATAGTAACTTCTCCCCACATTGGAATGCCGTGAGACCCGGCTTAGGGCCCCACGATCAATTCCCAGCCACCAAACCAGGGCTCCAAGCCTCGCCAGTTGAGTTGAACTTCCATGCGCCGCTCAAGACCCTCATTCGGCCATCTCCTCCTCGCGATTCCTCTCCGGGCTCCTCGATCGTGACCTTGCCCTCCCTTTCGCAGCAGGCGCTCTCCCGCCCTTCTTCGGTGGTGGCCGCACGAAGACGAAATCGACCGTTACGGTTTGATCCAGGAGTTTCGTGCCGTTCGCGCCATTGACTGCTGCGCGCGCCTCGTCGAGTGTTGGGTATTCAATCAGTGCGTATCCCTATCCCTCGCATTAGCTCTCTCATCCCAACAGCCACCCCCCACGGAGGCTCATCCATCCCCCCACAACGCATTTTCTTGTCCCCCCACCTCCCCCCGCCCACAGCACCACGCGACGTACCTTGACATAACCCGTCCTCCGGTCCAAATTCAGGTGCAGATTCTTGATCTCTCCAAAATCGGCAAACTTATCCGTGATATCCTCCTCGTTGGCCTCCTCGTGCACATTCGACACGATGATGATCCAGCCCTCGATGGAGCGCACCGCCGTGGCGTTGGTGAGAGTCTGCATGGATGCGTTCTTCGGTTCCTCGGAGGAGGCAGCGGTGGTGTCGGCGACGGGCGCGTCTGCGACCTCGACGTCTACGTCCATTGCTGTGTCGGCCATTTTTGCTGGGGGTTGTGGAGTAATTGGCCTGTTGGCCTGTTGGTTTGTTGGTTGGTTTGTTGGTTGGTTTGTTGGTTGGTTTGGTTTGTGGAGTTGCAGGTGGGATGGATGCGGCGGAAGTTCAAGGTGGTCCAAGCTTGCCCCATGCGCTAAGAGACTGAGCGGGAGGCCAGGCGTTCGGGATGTACGACGGGTCACCACTCCTTGGGGATTCTCAAAAAAAATATTCGAGAGAAGACATTATTAGATTGTTTGGGATGTCTATAAATGGGTTCTTTTTATAATCTCAGTTGTAGTGTTTGCTCTGCTGGGTTTGGCGCCCTCCTAATCGGGCAACGTGCATGCACAGGGCTGCCGTTGCTTTCGAGGTCTGTATAGTGTCGGGCTCCCTCCTTATATCGTGTCTCTCCGCCATCTATCTTCTCTAAACATTCTTGCGGCGCGTAGCCTTCTCCCCCCTCTAAATGCATAATGCTACCTAACGAGCCTTATAGTATTGGGCAGGTGGTGGAAGAGGGGAGAATTAGGGATTTGAGGTTCTAGGGGAGGTTAGGTGGCAGCTTTTGGGTTTTATATTGGCGCCAAGGTCAATAAATCCTTTGGCTCTGTATCTATTTAGGAAAGACTTCACATGACCCTTTCTTAATGAGCTTTGCTACTGAAGTATATAACAGGTCGTGCCGTTGTTAAGCTGACATTTCCATTCCTGTATAACAATAGTGCAGATCCCTAAAAATGGTATCAAACTTCAACTACAGTTATGCCGATACCGTCCCTTTTGAGTGTAGACCTGTCCTGCTCCGCGTTTCTCTTCAACCGCAGGCAGGGCCACAATTCCACCTTCCAGGACTGCTGCAAAGGCATTGGTGGCAAAGTCTCGACCTTTTCCGTCTCCGATAGGGATGGCGTACGCCCTTGCTACCAGAACTGCCGGGCCAGCGACATTGATGCAGAGATCGCGTTGTTCAGATGCCTAAAGTTAGGCTTGATTACCATACATGCACTGGGAAGTATGATCGTTTCGGGATTTTGACCGCTGCGGCTCCAGCGAAGAGCTTGTCAATGGCTGGATTATTGGCTGTAGGGCTGGCGTTGGTAGGGATGCTGCATGTGTGGGTGTAGTAGAGCGATGATGACACGAATGTATGTGAGAAATGGTGGATTAACTAGTGATATGTGGTCAAGAGCAATCAAGGCGGCCGCATTATTATCAACATATTCGAGTGCCAATGTATGAGAACATGATCTAGCGGATTGTAGTTTCCAGCCACTCTCCCCTCAGCAAGGGTGGCATAAAGCAGGGCCCTGATACTGAAGATGTGTTAGCCAGCTGCGTGATCGTCCGGATACTGGATCTTCCGATTCTAAAGCTTCAATTCTGAAACTCCAGGGAACGGAACGGAACCAGGAGGGTTTCAGGATCCGAGCCACGAGCACAGAGATAGAGCCCGTAACAATATATATATAGTAGTTAGAATAGCTTCAATATAAGAATATGCATTACAAAATTATCACTTCGGGCCCTACTGCTTTATGACTGTATTTTCGGTTTATATTCTCTACCTACTGCCACGGATCCTACGGATATTGTTCAGCAAGCATCATGGCAGTTAACATCGTGAAGTGCCAGAAAACAGCACTTACTGGACCTGGCACGCGCATCCAGGCATGGTCATCGAAGTTCTCACCATAGGTCTCTGCTTCGCTATCCGCGCAGCTAGGCTCTAGCTTCGGTTGATGTAGCATTTATCAACAAGTCCCTAAGGGTTAACTCCCATCCAACCCAGCCCGGACATCTTGCGGAGAGTCCGCACGTGATGTTGCTTGTGACACTCTCGTAGCTCACATGAAGTAGGCCGAGGTTGAGCCTCGATCTGCGCCCGCCAGTGCCTCTCATCTCCAACTAATTTTTTACTCCCGTAGACTAAGACTCAACTACCGACACTCGGTGCAGGCAGGGCCAGATAAACTGGATGTTATAACACGAGGCTCGGTTGGTTCGCAGGATTAAAGTTAATCTTTTCGCAACTGGAGCCGGGGACAATGGACTATCTCTAAACCGCCGGGAGGTCATGGGCCAAGCCAAGGCAATGCCAACCATCTTTCTGTTTCGACTATCACAAGAGCAACTTTGCACATGTAGAACACAGACGCCGGGGACTCATTTTGAGAATTCTGGCTACTGGGAGAATAAATACTTTGCTTCCGGGATCACAAGCCCTTACGTTGTAACTCACGGCAGTTTGCCCCAACCCGTTGAGGGGTGCCGGGTACAACCAACGGGAACAGAAAAAAATAGTCAACAGAGGCAGACAGACAAACGAAGACGCAAGGCTCAAAAGTACGGTGTCTCAATATCTGCATTTCACCCCCGCCTGGAATACCTATCTAAACTCTCTACCTGACCCCTCTCTTCAACTCTCCATTCCATCACCTAGCGGCGCACTCCGCTCAAACTACACCTCGTCACACACACTCCATCTCGTCGTGAATATCATATGCATGTTTCTCGTAACACTTCTCTTCTCTCCTACGCTGCAAAACAAACGCCGTCTCTATTTCGTCTTCGCTGTCATTAAATGAACCCCCCTAGTAAAGCCTGCAAAGATAATACCCTCGAGTGCTTTTGTTGATATAGCGCTGAAATGTGGTGACCTCGGAGTGAGATGGTGATACAAGGTGCACGCAACAGTAGATGAGCTTGTCGCTCAGCTAAATAGCAAGATGAGGAAATAAATGAAGGCTCAGGGTTGGTGGGGGAGATATTCTCTCAAAGCTTCATGAGCTGAGTATAGAAACGAGTTGACCACACCCTGCGTAGAGATGGCCATTGCTAGCACCATGTAACCAGCACAATCCGTAGAAATTTTCTGATCAGATTAAAAACTTCTCATTCATCATCCGAAGCATCTTCATCCATAGGGCTCCCTTGCGGCTCCTCTCCAGATTTCTTCTCTTTAGGCTTGGCTGTCTTAGTCGTCGTGGACATTGCAGGTTTCGAGTCCCTCCTTCCAAGCCCCCCCTCAAGCAAGTTCGCCAACGTCGGCGTATTCGCCTGGCTCCCACCACGCTGGCCATGATAATGGACCACCTGCGGCGGAGCCATACCCGCTTGTGTGGTCCCAAGGAGGTGCTGGGGGTATGGATGGAGATCCTTCGACGACGTGCTGAACGTCGAGACGATTGGTTGCTGGTAGCCATTCCCGGCACTGCCGTTTCCATTGGTAGCCGTAGGCGTCTGGCTGAAGCCCTGCCCATGCTCTGCTTGGGTGGGAGTGTCGCTATCTGGTCCGCTAGGGCTGAACATTCCATCAACCTGCCCTGTGAGGCTGCTTAGTCCACCTTGAATATCGCGGAGCAGGCGGACGTATTCCTCAGGAACGAGGCCGCTTTCACGAGTCTTTGGGTCTTCAGCCACCAGCCACCCCTGCCCGTGTCTGTAGGAAACCCAGATGATTTGACCTTCAACAAGAGGAAGCTCGTTCTCATTCTCACGCTCAAAGTCAAACAATGCAACTGCCTTGCCATGCATCTCCTCATCCGGCGACGCAATCGTAAATTGATAATCTCTGGAGTAGCGGGATTCATCTCGCGCCCTGCTCGGAGAAGAAGATCTGCTCGACACGTCGGAGTCAGACTGGTAGGTCGGGTTCTGCTCGCCCTCGTTATTATCCGCATAAGTGCGGCTAGGCAGAAGGCTTCCAGCAAAGTGAGAGTCCCTCCTACTTCCAGTGTTTTCAGTTGCCGCAAGAGAGCCTGGCCACGTTTGACCAGCAGGAACCGTTACAATTTCACCAGGGCCGTTGGCCTCGGAGCCATTGCTCACGTAATATCTCTCGCTCCCGTCGCCATTGCTTCCTGCGTAGAAGCTCCGATCCTGGCCGCAATTACCTGGGCTTAGAAGGTTGGGATTGCGCTCCTCGTCTTCTTCCCGGCTCCCTCCTCGCCCGCGACCGCTTCCATGCGAGTGGTTGGATGTCTTGTGTTTCTTATGGCGAGAGCTGATGACTATCGGGCTCTGGAGATCTTCGTCTTCGCTCCATGGAGGACCATCTCCGAAGTGTATAGGTGGCAGCTCTCCGCCTTTGGTTAGTTCAGTGCCAACATGGGGTCCTATCTCCCAGCTTCCTCGACTATCCCAAGAGGTAGGCGGATCCGAGAAGCGCTTTGACTCGCTGGCGGGAGTAGAGGTTCCAGAGGGCGGGTTCGAGGGTTCGGGCAGCGGTCCGTAATGTAGCGGGTGATGTATTCCATAAGCGAAGTCGCGCACTGTCGTATATGGCAGGCTTGAATGGAAGGCTGGGAATATGTGAGATGGAGGCCGTGACCTTGATGGCCGATCCGAGGTTATGGAGTATAGTGAGAGCCTATTCTTCGACGCATGGGAAAGCGGTCGTTGTAGGTTGGAACGCCGTGCCGGAGGCGACGTGATTAACGGCGGTAGTGGTGGATGGTTTGGATTTGGCGACAATGATGCTGGCGCTGGAAAAGTCGACGGCAGCGAGGTCGTCGACATGACTTTACCGCCAGCAGCAGCGAGTTGCTCCTCACGGCTGAGATCAGGGCCTCAGAGTGTCTGGTTCAGGCCAATCCACACCCGGCAGCAAGCCACTCGGTATCCTAAACTTCGCGTGCGCAGTCTTATGCTGGTGTCGGAGAGAGGATGCGAATGTCGCGGCGACGACGCAAGGGAAAGGATCGAGGGTCTATGGCAACTTTAATAGTCGCGCCTGAACGGGGCGGTAACAAGTAGTCCTTGGGCCAAGCGCCGAAAGATTGATATGCGACCTCTTCAACGCGCCCTCTTGAGGGGGAGAAGGCCAGCGAAAAGTAAAAGTTTGAAGGTACTGTAGGATGGCGCTGTATGGCACTGTATGGCACTGTACTTCCTTCGAGTACCCCTCACTAAGACAGGCTGTGAGAGGGCCTTATTTTCGCTATCGCTCGTGTTTGGAGAGGCGATCTTGATCGTAAGTAGAGTCTCACCACAGGTTAATCACCAAGCCATGGATCGCGATTAACCACGTGACTATATATGGGGGATGTTTCTTGTTTTGAAGACAGGAAAATGAAGATTCCTGGCCTATATTTTGGGGGGTGGACGGGCGTTTATTTTGTCGTATTTTTGCGGTTGGGTGCGGGTTTTGGAATGAGATTTGAACTTTCGAGACTCGGACAGAACATGGGCGCACGAGGCTATTTTTAGACGTTTCATGTTTTTGGGTGGTGACTACGGACGGAAGAGGATTAGCGTCTGATTGGGAAATGCTGTGTTCTTCTGTTCTTCCTGCTTAACCCTTCCCCATGGAAAAACCCAACAATCAAATCACCAAAACATCAAAATACCAATAATACCAACAAAACACTGACATTCACCGCCTCAGTCTTGCACGCATATCTTGGGACTGTTGGACACTCTGGTAAGCCTTAGTCTTGCACGCATATCTTGGGACGTTGGACACTCTGGTAAGCCTCAGTTTCTGTCTCTGCTGCTACGCATCACTACAATCTCTCCTCCCCCTCTGCTTCCTGATGATCACTTATTGGAGCTGTCTTATCTTCATGATGACACAACTTTTTAAATTAATATACAACTTTTGACTGAAAGCCCTTCACAAGAACCATTCACTGCTATCACAACCTCTTCACAGGGCTGCAGCTAACGTTGGTGACCTTCAGATACCGGATGTGACTGTTCTGCGGTGGACAGTAGACCATGCTGTCTAGCCGAAACTTTTACCCTCCAGGCCCACAGCTGTCCCATCCCATACGACAACTGCAAGCTCATACTACCTGACAATTCACAATGCCACGGCCAGTAGCAGCTGCTGCGGCTCCTGCCAGCGACGTAACTGTTGCCAACGGGGGTCAACCAGACGCTGGTGGATTCAAACTGAAGTTCTGCACTGTTTGTGCCAGTAACAACAACAGGTATGTAGCCGCATTAGTACTTCCCATCTCCAATCGCTAAAGGTAGGCAACACAGATCGATGGAAGCACACCTGCGACTCGCGGCAGCCAACTTCCCTGTCATCTCATTTGGCACGGGTTCCCTGGTGCGTCTGCCGGGAGCTTCAATGAACACCCCCAACGTATACCACTTCAACAAGACCTCGTACGATAGCATGTACAAGGAGCTTGATGCGAAGGATCCGCGCTTGTACCGGGCAAATGGGATATTGAACATGCTTGACCGGAATCGCAACGTGAAATGGGGCCCAGAGCGATGGCAGGACTGGCAGGTTGGGATGCCTAGACTAGATCATGCGAAGGAGAGAGGGTTTGAGGGGACGGAGGGGGGAGTTGCTGATATCGTGATCACTTGTGAAGAGAGATGCTGGGACGCCGTAGTTGACGATCTCCTCAGCCGGGGCTCGCCCTTGAACCGCCCCGTCCACGTCATCAACGTGGATATCAAGGATAACCATGAAGAGGCCTTGGTGGGTGGACGCGGCATCTTGGATCTCGCCGAGTCGCTGAACAAGGCAGCTGCAGAGGAGCGTGATATCCGCGGAGCCTCGTCATTTGACCGAGGCAGTACTGCGGGTAGGTCGGGCTTCGACGAGAGGGTCCCGGACATTATCGGTGAATGGCAGGAGCGATGGCCAAACCTACCTGCGACATGGACACTGGCCTGGTTTTAAGATGGGGTGGCCTATGCTTTTATGCTGTCGGTGTGTGCGCGAGGATATACCAAGTCGGCTTGGACGAAATGAAGAAGAAATGAAGTGCATTGTATAATTTGATGAGTCTCGCAACACAAGTGGAACCGTCCATCCATCTGTCATCCATCTGTCATCCATCTGTCATCCATCTGTCTCCATCCGTCTCCATCCGTCATCCATCCATCATCCATCCATCATCCATCCATCATCCATCGATCCCGTGCGTGTCGTTGCACCGGAACGTCCGAAACAGAGCAAAACATGATGAATGAATCCGCAGTGAAACACGGTGGGCTTCGTTGCAGAATCTTCTGGCCATCAATCATCGAAATTGGAACTGTGCATACTTGGGTTGTTGGATTGTCTCACTCCAAGACTCGTCCTGTGTACGTACAGTACTCTCCGTCGTTGGTCCCGCCCGGCGCAGTCCCGGGCGGGACCAGCTAAGATGTTTAGATGGTGCGTTATGCGCTTTACAAGGGATCCTGTGCTGTTCCTGACTAGAGGAGACCCAATGGGGGAATGTGATTGGATAAGTCGACGATCTGGGGATAACTCTCCAGCCTCTCCGGACTCTGCAGACTCTTCAGCTTCCTCCCCAATTTGACCGCCGTGTGCCATACTAGACAATATCACAGATCACTTCTCTTTTTTGAATTCTCACATTGCGATTTATGACCGAGGTACTGTACATGCATCAATAGCCCTCGTCTCCCAGTACATTCTACATTGCATCTCATTTTAAAAAGAAGCTTCTGTAATTCCCAACCCCCTGTTGATTGATATACCGTCCCACTCCGCCGCCGTGGGAAGGAAAGGAGTCCACATTTTAAATTACTTCTACGATCGTCTCTGCTGGCTGTAGTAGCACTGATTGACTCCCCTACTCTGTACCCCATACTCTGTACCCCGTACTCTGTACTCCCTATACACGCCTGGCTGTCGCACTGGCTGTCGCACTGGCTGTCGCACTGGCTGTCGCACTGGCTGTCGCACTGGCTGTCGCACTGGCTGTCGCATGTCTTCTGCCCCGGAATAGGGAATAGCGAAATGTGAAAAATCCCCATCCTGTCTTTCTGTGGTCCTAGGGACATAAAGTCACTTAAAGTCTATCTGGATACCAACAGCCACTTTTAGCGCTATCCGACCGACCACACGCCCCTCAACTCACCCACCACCACATCCACCACATCCACCACATCCCTCCTCCCTCTCCCCCTTCCACTTTTCTCCCCCTTACACCCCCTTTCATACTTTCAGGGCCTCCAATCCTCCAACCTTGCCCACTCGTCTTCCTCTTCTCGACAAAAGGGTATTGCTGTTGCTCTACTTTATCTAGCTTCACCCAAGGGCTCTTGATATTCGAGCCGTCGGCGAGTTCTGAGCTGGTACCTCACCGAAGACTACGTGCGGTTCTCCCTCCCCTGACCACCACCAACTTTCTTTCAACTCCCGCCAACCACGTCCACCTTGCGCCGTCCTTGCCAACGCTACGAGCAGAGCTACGAATAGCGAATTCAATACGGTTGAACGGCGGCGCTCTGAATAGTTCACGAGATTCATGTCTGACGCCAATTACACGTTAATGTACACTTGAGAATAATCGCCGACGTCCTGCGTTTCAAGATCCGACTCTTCGAGCCACGAATCCGCGGACATACCTGAACATATATTATAGAAGCCGAGGAGGATATATATTTTGTGCCGAGCCTGGATTACCTACTGTCGCTTTGTCGCAACCAGTCTGTGGACCTACAATAAAGCGACTAACCATACAATGAATCGAAGCCCTGGACCTTTGTCCCCAGTCTCAATAGGAGGCGGAAGCGAGTGGTCGGGCATCTCCAAATACCAGGGACTTGAGGAGAACCCTCCATACTCCCCGATCAATCGCGGAAACCTAATAACACCACGGGTCTCGAGCGGCTCCAACGGGATGATGAACGGAGGAGGATTTCCTCCCAGGGGGCCTGAGAGCCAGAACGGAAATGTACCCTCACCGCCAGCATCGATAGCGCGCTCCAGCATCCCGACAAGTCTGTACAATGGTTCCATGAACGGAGGGCCTGCCGGTGGGCGAGACCGCAGGGATGAACAGTTTGAAGGCATACTGAGCGAGCACTACGTCTCTCTCAAGAGGTTTCTGGCTGCGTCTCTGCGCGATGAGAAGGGCAACCCAAGGCCGAACAAGGCGCGAGACAAGCTGCTGCGACTGTCACCTGTGCAATTCCAGGAACTGAGCATGGATGTGTTCGACGAGTTATTGCGGAGGCATGCTGCGGGCCGCAAGCAATCTGTCGCCGGGCTGAACGAACAAAACTCTCCACCGCAATTTCTGCTCCCCAAAGATACCTTCCACCCAAAGCGCAACCAGGCGCGACAAAAACTGTCCACGCTACCGCCACCGCGGTTTAGGGATCTGGCAACCGACGTATTCTACGAGCTGGAGCGGAGGTTTCCAAGGTTTGCTGGAGGGGATATCAGCCGGAGCGGGAATGGAACCCCGGTCGACCCGAGAATGCGGATGCGGAGGCCGTCGGAGGCCAGCTCAGTGGGATACGCGAGGAGCGAGTCTCGAGGTGGAACTCGCGGTGTGGGAGGTGGGCAGCCTGGATCCCCTGGCATGTTACCGAACGACTATGGCCGGCCATTGCCCAAGACGTACCAGAGCAACACGCTGGTGCCTAATAAGAGTACAATGGTGGAGGATGATGACGATCAGGATAATGACTCGGATGCATTTGGATTAGAGAGCGCAGTAATAGCGGGCGTTGGCGCAAAGGCAGAGGTATGTGATAGTGAGAGTTGTGCAAATATCACTACTAACTAATATATAGGAGGATAAAAAGCAATTAAAAGAATACGAGGAGCAAGTGGTCGCACTACGAGAAAAGGTCGGCGGGCTGGAAGAGAAGTTACGGCAGAAGGACGAGGAGCTTAATGATGTTTTGGACGGCGAACGTAGCAGGTCGACAGCTGCGAATGCAGAGAAGCAAGAGTTTTCGGAGCTGCGGCTGAAGCTGGAAGAAAAGCTGGCAGACGCCGAGAACCTGTACGTGTCGCTGCAGTCGGAGCTTGACAGGCTACGCGCCGAGCACTCGGAGACGGAGAGGGACCTGAGCGATCATTTAGAACAGCTGCGCGTCTCAGGAGGTGGAGGTGGGAATGAGGCACTGGAGCGCGAGAACGAGGAGTTGAGGGCCGAGTTGGAAGAGCAGCAACAGACGACGGATGATGTTCGGCGAGAGGCTGGGAATTTCTTGAGGGAGATGAAGTTGCTCACCGAGCGCAACGGGACGTCTTGGGAGAAGGAGGAGCAGCTTGTGGTCCAAGTCAACAGGCTGGAAGCCGAGGTCGAGGATTGGAGGAACCGATACGCAAGGACGAAGACTCAATTAAGAAACGCCCGGGCTTCGTCGATTGGCCTCACTATCCAACCTAAGCAGACTACGAGCAGCCATAACTCCCCCGATGGACTGGTCAAGGATGTCCACGTCACAAAGTTCCAGATCTCCATCGATGAGCTGCTACGAACCGCTCGCTCCGAGACCCCCGAGAACGTTGTTGAGTACATGAAGAACGTGGTTATCTGTGTTCGCAACATTACGCAAGACATCGACAACTCCACAAACAACCCCGAGCTTGCCCAAGGCCAAGCGAAGCTCAAGGCCCGCGTCTCCGCAACTGCCAACAACCTGATCACCGCCTCCAAGAACTTCACAGCCGCCAAGGGACTCTCGCCCGTCTCCCTCCTCGACGCAGCAGCATCCCACCTCACCACCTCCGTAGTCGAGCTCATCAGCACCGTCAAGATCCGGCCCACTCCCGCCAGTGAACTCGAAGACGACGACAACGAGACCCTCCAGCCAATCGAGACCCCAAGCTACTACCCCACCAACGGCGAGCGCAAGGACAACAACATCTCCGCCCCCTTCATGGGCATGCGCCAGAGCAACGTCTCCTCGATGTACAGCCCCGTCAACTCGCCTCGCAACTCTAGAGTTCCCCGCTCCCGCAGCGGCTCCAAGGCCGAGCCATGGCGCCGCTCGCTCTCGCGAAGTGGCCAGAATGGCGTGAATGGGAAGCTGCCACCCGCGCCGCTGGGGTCAATGGGTGCCTTTGGGATCCGTGGGCAGGAGCAAAATAACGAGATTGAGGATCTGAAGGTAAGCCCTACAATAGCCTGCCTGGCAAGCCCGACAATAGTTTATTGTGATATACTAACACAACCCAGATCTTCCTCGAAGACCAAACCGCCTTCCTCGTCCAAATGATCCAATCCCTCGTCTCGAGCATCCGCTCCGACAACGGCGTCGGCGCTATAATCGCCGAGCTCGCCTCCATCGCCGCCGTCGTCGAGAAAGTCATGTCCGCCACCGAAACCAGCATGGACGACCGCTCCGACGCCGCCGCCCAGCTCCGCCACGAAGCAGAGAGCATAGTGCGCAAGCTCGAAGTATGCCGCGAGCGCGTCCTCGATGCGGGGGAGCGCGGTGCGGAGCTGGCGACGGATGCGGAGCGGAAGGTCTGGACGCAGGGATTGCCACCGGTGGCGTTTGAGATTGCGAGGGAGACGAAGGAGTTGGTTAGGGTGGTGGATGGGTTAGATGAGGAGGAGAATTTTGCGTAGTTTGTTCTTGAATGCAGAATGTAGAGTCCGTCCCGGACCGACTGTAGTAGTGTCCTTGGGGCAGCTCTGAAAGTCCATAAACGCCCAACGAGCCTCTATCCCCATACTCGCCACATGCTATGAGGGTGTTTCCTGGAGTTGGTTTTATTGAGCGCACCTCGGCCACAGGCAGCTGGGTCTTTTGAAAATGAGTAAGGAATATACGTCAAGGAAGAAAGCCTCGGCCCTGAGTGTATGACGGTCCGAGGTCTAGAAAGAAACCTTCTACATAAATCGACAATGCCACCGGCTTCGCGACTGGTCGTCGAATACTGTAATCTCCTTGTAACTTGGGCGCTCGACGAAATGCTGGAGCTTCATGTTGGCCCTCAAGCCGCTCTAGCTCGGAATTCCCGGGAGGGCCTGTTTTGTGGATGCGAGGATCGTACAATTAACAATTAACATCCCAGAGGCAAACACTCCAGAGGCAAACACTGCCGTCTTGTAGCGTGGCAACGGTCATTCCCACATCTTCACTGCCAGGAAGATAATACGCCCCATACCGCGGACCTCCAATGGCGATTCTGTCCCACCGCCCTGTTTCAAAGGTTTTTGGAACCACCTGGTGCAGATCGGTGCCGTCCGGTGGATGAACTCTGTACACCAGTCTACCTTCTCTGCTTGGTACGACGGGTCCCAGTTAGCCATCACGCGTATTCTCTCGGTTGCCCTCTGATTGCTGTTCTGCTGGTCATGGCGAGCCACTGATATCACAGAGCGTTGCCCAAGTTAGTCTTCCGCTGCAGCTCCGGGCACATCTCCAGAACGAGGGCTCGCCGGCGGAAACGGTTGGTATCGGCTTTGCTCGTTTTCTTCAAATTTCGAGGCACTCGTCGCGCCATAAATTGTGATCACGCCCGATTCTAAGGAAGCGGCGACACACAAGCTGGGTTGTGGTGATCTCTGGTGGTGTGAGGACTATGTGGCCTTGTTAGTTGCGAAACACACAAGGCAAGCTGGCTTCACTTACAGGAAAACAGGTAAACAATAATCTCATCTGGCAGGGCGTCCATTTTGCTTGCGAACAGAGAGGGGTGTCTTCGGTCGGATGGTCCAGCACCAGGTGACAAGATCGCAGCCTTATTTTGGTCAGTAGATTGCTACTCGGTCACGGTCGGAGTAAGAAAGGAGCAACGGAACGCCTCTACTCTATTCTACTGAACTGACACCCACTTTCCAATTTTCTTTCCTCTAATAGCTAAAACCAACTTAGTTACCTCTGCTGCTCGATGAGATGCTGTCTATCTTGCATTTCCTTTTGTTGAGATTGGACGGACATTGATTGTAGTTGCTGTAAATGAGACTCATGTCATGGTCGTAGATTCTTGGCAGAGAAACGTGAGAACATTGCTAAATGGTGAATTACACCAAATTCTGAAGACTCTTATTATTCTGCAGCCTCCGTTCCAGATGACGATTAATATCTATCAAAGACCCAATCCCCAAGCGCGTTATCCAACTCCAACCATGCCATCAATAAAATCCATTCGCTCCTTAGCCACCAGGCACATAAACCCCATCCTTGCATAGTATCACAACATTCTTGAAGAGCCTTCTCCACTCCAGCGGATCACCCTTGATCTTCACAAACCTCACCTCTAACAGTTGCCCAACCTCTGATCCACCGTCATATCTTTCCACCAGAATGTCTCCGTTCAGACTACAGCCTCTTCCATCTGTTGTCTTCACTTTTATCCATGATACTGTCTCTTGATTCTCACAAACAGGTGGTGGTGGAGTCGGGATATTAAGTGTGTGAAGCGCCGACCCAAGAAGGCCAGCCAGCAAAGCGGGGGGAACGTGAGAGAAGAACCGCGTGAGCGAGTATGCGGGAACAATATCCTGGAAACGACGCGCATGCTGTGTTAATGACAGCGATACCGTTGGCACAGAAGTAAATTGGGACATCGAAGGCTCATCTGCGAGCGAGGAGTTTGGCGGCAAGTAATGTCCTGGGACAGTATTGTTGGACACTGGCTGGCTAGCGGCGACCGCAGAAACACGAACAGGGCGCTCCAGCTCGAAGAAGGGGTCGCTTATCGGTGTATTTGGTTGCGAGGATGGTACCTTGCGTACTTCCTCTGAAGAGTCGACATCCATTTTGTCGTGGTTATACTGGGACTGCCTTTGGGAGGCTGCCGGCTGCTGGCTGAAGTCAATATGGAGGTTCTCCAACATCTTAGCTGCCATGCCAAGGGGATCAGCCATCCGGCCTTCAGGAGTGAGCAATGGATTCTTCCGCGTATACCAAGGATGCCTCCGAATCATTTCGAGAGAGAAGCGCTTGGTGGTGTCGATGCTCATCATGCCGCGTAGAAGGGACAGGGTGGACGAAGGGAGCCTCTCCCAAAGACTGTCGGCGCTTGCAGTACTATTTGCGGCGTACTCGTTGAATTCCCAAGATGAAGAAGTTGGTTCGTCCCAGGGTGTGTTGCCCACGAGAAGAACGAAAAGCACAACACCGCAAGACCAGAGATCCACCAAATCCGCCGCATAGCCGCTGCCCTTGGTGGCGCGGGTCCTCGGGTCTGTAGTTCTCGCACAACTTATGACTTCTGGGGCAATATATGGGGGGCTTCCACACATTGTCGTGGCTAGCTTCGTCTTCCCCTGGTACTCGAAAAGGGTTGCGAGGCCAAAATCCGCTATCTTCAAGTCTCCATTCTCGGAGAGGAGGATGTTCTCTGGTTTGATATCGCGGTGGCTGACGCCCTTTGAGTGCATGTAGCCCATTCCACTTATAAGCTGGAGAAAATAAAAGTGCGCAATATCTTCGCTGACTCCAACGTCTGCCTCAATCTTGTCGAATAAGTCGCCTCCAGAGGCATATTCCATTGCGATCCACCTCCATATCGAATCTTCGCCGGTTGCAAACCACTCTATGATATTGGGGTGTTGTCCAACATGCGAGTGGAGGGATACCTCCATCGCAATCTGCTTTGCTGATATCTGGCCATGTTTGACGGCGTACGTCTTGTGAATGAACTTGACGGCGAAGACTGGGTTGGTGGTTGTTGGCGGGATGGCTTTTTTTATCCTGTCTCTCTTGTTAGACATGTCTTGCAAAACAAAGGCTGCATTTGTTCAGAACATACGAAGCATATGCCCCTCGTCCGATCGTCTTTGATACAATGCGAAATGGCAAATCGGCTGGCAGCGGATCGAGTTGAGACTGGAAGGGGATATTGTTATCAGCCATCGTCCTTGAACATCATCATGTTGTCCATAGAAAGAAATATATACGGTGTGCAGCTTACCATACTGATGGCGCCTGTATGAGGAATCCGAAGATTGTATCCAAAGATTGCATCCAACTCGGGATTGATAACCTTACCAAAACGCCTCACGCCCAATAATCTTTGTTATTGTCGCCTGTACGTTTCATGTGGGACGAAGATCGCGTCAACGGTTCGCGAAAGCAGGTGATGGAGCCTTATTACGTGCATTGGGCCCAGTAAACTCACGCGCTAGCGCGGGTCAGACCCGTTGCTGGAGGGCAACGGCCTCCAGTGTAAACATACGGAGTATGGAGGCGAAGTGTAAAAACGCACGATTCCTAACGATATATTACTCCCTCTTGCTCTCCATAATCGCCTTTCCTTTTTGACAATTGCACTTTTGGTTGCTTGGGGCTGTCTCGGGCAGTTCTAATTTCATAACCGACGTTCTTTGTTCATTGTACCGACGCCATTTAAGCTTTGACGCTGCCTTCCTTGATTCCTTTCTATACCATGGATTTCGAGATGGATTCCCAAAACACAGCACCAGGCTCAGTGCCGAGTGGAAAGCCGGGAGCGGCAAGGCGTGGACCAGACGCCGTAAGCACGACTAAGAGGTTTTTTTGCTCCATTCCAGAGACCGAGTTGCCCTGCTAACAAAGCTTAGACTTCAAACAGAGCTCATGCAGCTCATGACATCCTCCGCCCCGGGGATCTCAGCATTCCCCTCTGCTGATGGAGACCTGCTCTCCTGGACTGCGACGATCGAGGGCCCAGATGACACTCCATACGCCAACCTGAGCCTCAAACTGTCGTTTGCCTTCCCATCCAACTACCCATACGCCCCTCCCACTGTTCTCTTCAAGACGCCCATCTACCACCCAAACGTGGACTTCTCAGGCAGGATCTGTCTCGATATCCTCAAGGATAAGTGGACGGCGGCGTACAACATCCAGACTGTCCTCCTGAGTCTCCAGAGTTTGCTTGGAGAGCCGAACAAGTATGTCTTTCACCGTGCTCATTAGTCAAAGGATACTAATTCAGTCTAGTGCGTCGCCATTGAACGGTGAAGCTGCCGAGCTATGGGACAAAGACCCGGCAGAGTTCCAGAAGAAGGTCACTGCCCGTCATGTAGATATAGATGACGAGTAGATGAGGGGCTGGAGGACATGGCTTTTTATAAAGGGGATTGTATAATTTTTGCGCTCCGGGCACCAGCATTGGCAGCTGGTGAGAGTTAGATGCATTATCACTGATTGGCCACCGCTTGGGCCATAATACCCCTCTCATAGCGACGCATTTTGAAACGCAGGGAGTGTGGAGTACTGGGTTGGGCTTGGGGCATAGATATGCGGATGGTGGGCTAGGGATAATGCAACGATGATTCCCAGGAGAGATTTTTAAGATTACTGGAGCATATTGAGAAATCCCTTTGTCGTAGGCGTAGATGTGAAATTCGTGAGCAATGAAACTATGATTCCCGGGGGAGATTTTAAGTTTACTGGAGCATATTGAGAAATCTCCCAGTCGTAGACGTAGACGTATAAGGCAGTGAAGTTCGTGTACAACACCTGTAATATGCATAGTCTCCGGCTTTGGTAGGTAGTTCGTGCACAGGACATGCAATATGCATAGCCTCCCGATTTGGCAGAGTCGACGACAGACAATGTTTCTCACGCAACTCGACTCGATGGTGGAGGACATAATCGGTGATATAAATCATCAGTGGAGCATCACAATGCAAGTAAAATTGAGGGAAAAGAAGCACATGTCATTTGCTGCCGTAGCATAATGCTAACTCCAGGTCCCGCGCCCCCCCACGAACATACATCTAAGCATCCTCGACGAGAGCCGTCTGAAGGCCCTTCGCGCTCTTGACGTTAACAGCCTGGACGTAGCTATACAAGCGTTGAGTTGCGCCTTCCTCGTCGTTACGCTGAAATGGGTTAGTCACGGAAAGATGGCAGTGATTAGGTGTGAAAACTAACCTTGCGCGAGATGCGGACGCGGAGTCTGTATGGGCATCCCTTGATACCAGCCTCCCAGACCTTCTTGTTTAATTGCGGGTCAAGACGGACATCGGTGGTGCCCTATATGCGTAAAACTTGTCAGTAACCCATCCCCTGATCCCAGGTCTCTGCCCGTTGATGTGTGTGGGGATATCGTACCATGGACTTGGTTGCGAAAGCCTTGATCTCCTTGATGGCCTTTGGTGCACGCTTCTTGAACGAGACACCATGGAGCTGTGAAAAGAATAATTAGCATTTCTGCTCTATTCCATCACCCTTCCCATCAGATCGGTGTGTTATAGATCGAACATACTCTCTTGTGAAGGTGGATGGTGTACTCGCGCGCGACAACGTCGGCGATGGCGGAGCGCTGGGTCTTGCCCGTCTTCTTGGTGGTCGTCGACATGGCTGTAAAGTATCAGTATTGATAGATCAAAATGCGCTTGATGCGCACGATTCTCTGGGACGGAAAGCCTTACTGAAGGTGGTCGCGAGTTGTCGATTGAGGAGTCGTGATACTGGCACGAGCGGTTGAAAGTTTGGAAAGTTGTGAATGTGCGTGCCAAGACTTTTAGCGAGTTTTTATGGTCTGGCGCCGTTTTTGTGGGTGCGGCTTTGGGACTTTGTGTCGTCAGGGTCTTGATGCCTCAGGCGGTCGTAATTTAAGGTCCCTGATCCAGCCCCCTTAGTGCAAGTTTCATGAAATTGACCGTGACAACCTAGCAACGCGCTCGTTCTGCATTTCTTCCTTCACAATTCAAGACTCCTCACCCCGACATGCTGCGATATATCCGATAGATCATCCAGCTGTGTCACTCGTTATTTACTGGGTCGGTCTTGCGCTCTATACCTTCGATCTCCGCATTGCGACCGCTTTCTGTACCAGCATCGTGGGACAACGCACCCCTCGTATACGACACACCTTACTGAGGATATCCAACACTACATCAACCTCAACCTACAAGCCAACACCATGGGTGACAATATATTGGGGAGCCCAGTCCCAGCTGGAGGGGGTGTCGGCGTCAATACCACTCCCTCACCGGAGCCGGACATGAACCGGAACCGTCTTCCTACTCTGTTTGAGGTTCTTAGCCGGAGGACTCTACCACCTGTGGATCTGTTTTCATTCTACATATACATGCGAGATCAACAAAGATCTGTTGACTATCTGGATTTCTGGTATGTTCTATAGCCCAATGCCCAGTCCCTTCTGTTCAAAGTTGTCTGACTCTGTTCAGGCTCGATGTAGCACAGCACATGTCGCTATGCCGCCACTATGTCCGGAAGTTACGTCGCTCGATTCTGGTCGGGACCCCGGAACTTGAGCAGGGAGGTTCCAAGCGCTCCTCGGCAATCCTGGAAGGCCTTGGAGACATGAATCACCCCGTGGCTGGACCCTCATATTTCTCAACCGAAAAGGAAAAGGACCAGGATGCTCAGATGTCGGCATTTCTCCGTGAAGAGGCCGCCCAAGGACGCAACGGCCACTCCCCAACGGGTAGCTTGACATCAGCTGTCTCGGCCAGTGCAGGCCGCAACACAACGTCCAACGAGCGCCCCCGTCCAAGCTTCATGGGCAGCCCCAACGACCCAAACTCCGACTCCAACTCCCCTGCACACGCAGTCGCCCGCTCAGACATTCGCCAATCGGCCGAGAAGATCCTCTACACCTACCTCCTCCCCAGCGCCGAGCGCGAGATTATCCTCCCTCACAGCATCACAAACGACATCACCGTCTCGATCGAGGAGCTCAGCCGCGACGACCCCGAAGTCTTCGACTCCGCCAAGGACTACGTCTTCCAAGCCATGGAGCGTGACGCCTTCCCCGGCTTCCTGCGCATGAAGGCCCTGGGCAACCTCGTCCCAACCTCCACCATGACCCGTCTCATCATCGGTCTCCTCGCCCTCTTCGGTGGCTTCTGGGCTGCCTTCATTCTCATCTTGCTCGACAAGTCGCGCCTCACGCGCTGCTGGCTGGTCCTCCCATTCACGATCGGTGTGTACGCCCTCGCATCGCACCAGTACTCGCTGGACCCGATCATGGGTCTCGCTGGCTTCAGCGAGTACGCGTGGATGAGCTACTCGAAGATCCGGGAGCCGTTCATTCGCAAGCTCATTAATAAGCGATCTATCATGGTCTTGGGCGTCACACTCCTTATCGACGTTGCACTCTGCGTGCTTTTCATTTTTGTACCTGGCAAGCGCCTCTGAGCGTCACATTTTTACTTGTCAACAACAAAATCAGAAGATGGGCGACCATGGGGAGGCCAAGGGTGGTGGCGGGAAGTAGAGGAAGGGGCTTGTGTTTTTATTCTGATGATTTACGAGGGAGTTTAGCGAAGCGACGGCGTATGGGATTGCTCTTTCGAAACTGGTGCCTTGTTGGGCCAGAACTATATGGGCTATGTGCCTCGGGGGAGTTTCATGGGGGTAGTGTGGCATCGGCTACTTGCTCGTGGTCAGGGGATCTGTTGTCTAGTGTGGCTAATGTAGGCCTTGTGGGGGTGGACTTGCTTGTTTTTGCTTGTCGTGTAATATGAGCAGTATACCTCAATGGAGTTTCTCGTGCTATGCCCTGCATCAAAGCGATGGGTGGCTTTTGGATTATGCTTTCCAGTGACATTTGTACGAGTGAAATTATATGTTACATTAAACAGAAGAGCTCACTGGCAGCTGGGGAGCTGGGTCTTCCATTAGACCACCCTACCTGTAGAGCGTTAGGGGTTAGATATCACTGTTCGTTCGATCACTGGTAGCAATCAGGAATGCATCACAGGCAAGGATCTCGCAGCAAAAAAGTGTCCAAATGAGTGTTGTATTCTGTCTAGACATTATGGATATAATAGTTATATATCGTTAATATAGATGATTCTTTCTCACTGGATCGTCAGCTTTCCTCCTTCCCTGCGTGTCCGCAATCAATGGCGTGACTTGGCTTCCTCCTAGAATGTCCGTTTCTGATTTTAGGTTCTTTCTTCGAGCTGCTGCATTCTTACGCCGGTTGGCAGCGCCTGAAGAAGTCCTTTTATTTTCCGAGTTGTCGAGGTGGCCAGCTTCAAATCTAGCAATTTGGGCATCGTTAGATAGCTTTGGGGATTGACGTTAGCTGTATTCCATGGGTTACCATTATATTCAATAATGAATGAGTATGACCGATTCAGGTCCTCAATTGAGATTGTTAACTTTTGCCAGGCCATACCGTGCTCTACACCCAACTTCCCAACTTCACTTCTGTACTCGGAAATACATGAGGGGCAACTATAACAGCAGTACAGCATGAATATTGCATGAGCCATTTCGTGGGTCAACGTCCCGAGGTACTTTTCCATGTGATTGTTGATCCAGTGACTGAAACGATTTGTCGCCTCCTCTACTGAAAATGCAAATATCAAATTTCAAACCCGTACTCATATGAGCTGTGCTCAGGGAAGTGGTGCCGGTGCCCACTGCAGTATCATCCCCTTGCATGTGATGAAATTGTAGGCTCTATTTCAGGCTCTGCAAATCTGATTTTGTAGAAGGTCATCAAGGCTTTCGGAATAGACGTGGGGGAGCTCTTCCAGACCCAAGCTTGTACTCTCCAGACGCCAAGTTCTCCCATTGCCCGTAATCCCCAGATCTGCCTCTGTGTCCCCTTTGCTTTTGGATCAAGGTTGTACAGTTGCTTGATGTAGCTTATTAAGGAGGAAGAGGGCAGTGAAGAGATGGGATCTGTTTGCAAAGCGACCAGCGCAAGAAGGAAAGACTGATGAGTCGAATATATCTGAAATGCGACCAGCGCTGGCATCGATATTGATGGAGCTGAAGGCTTCTGCATAACTTATAGGAAACAGAGGCTCAGTACGCCCCATCAGGCATTGCCAAAGCCCCCAAGCAATAGTTACGAAATACCGAAAGCTGAAACCCCAGCTGAAAAATCGCAGAAGCACGCCCTCACCAATCACAGGCCATACAAAGCCACATCCCTAAGCGTCGCGCCCTGCCCGATCCGATCTGATCTGGACCCTATCCCAGCGCACCGCACCGCCGCACCGCACCGCGCCGCTGTCCATCAGCTCGCCCTTCTGCAGTCAGCAAGGATAAACAATAAGTAAGCCCAAGTCAGCACTCATGGTTCAAGTCAGCACTCATGGTTCAAGTCAGCACTCATGGTTCAAGACAGCACTCATGGTTCAAGTCAGCACTCATGGTCCAAGTCAGCACCCTTTCTCACGCCGAGGGATTCCGGCAGTTGAACAACAACGGCGATGACGACGGGCACGTCGCCAGTCAAGTCACTTAATATACTCTACTCCATCTCCCCCGCGCCAGCACCCAACCCCAGACACCCGCCCAATTACCCAAACAACCCTCCCCCCCCATCGCAAGACTTCCCCAGTGATCGCCTCCCACACGCCTTGGATTCGGACCGACGGTGGGTGCGGCTTCCGGGCTGGCGATCGAGTGGGGAAGTTGGGGGGGGGGGGGGGGGGCGTGGTCGTTTGGCTGGGCTGCGCAACTGTGTGTGCGAGATGGGATGTCTCTTGCGGTCCAGATGTGGTGAAGTGATGCGATGCGATGCGTGGGGACTGGTCATCGTGCATTTTCAGGGACGTAGTGGTGTATGACAGGATGGATTTGGGGGGGGGGGGGATACGACGTGGGATGTGGGAGTGGACATCTCTACGCTGTGGAACGCCCACGCTCATCTCGGACGAACAACTGAGATATAAAGCAGAAAAGAACCGAAAGTCCCCCCCTTTCGGTCCCCGCTCGATTTCCCGCGTCGACCCATGCGATGCGGTTCAGCTTCCCGCTCGTCGTGTGCGCGCCCGCCAGCACTTAGATTATCCGTTGTGATAGATTAGCTCGCATGGGCGTACCTTGTTTCGGGAAACTTGGGCGTGCGAGCCGCGGCGGGGGGTCTCTCGTGGCGTGGCGGTGGGTTTGGGTGGGCGCAGGGATGGACGGGGGAGTGGTTTGCGCTTGAGGCGGGATGGGAGGGGTTGCTGGTGATGGATGGGTGGTGATGATGTATATATATATTTGCCTCTGTGGGATTACATCCTTTACGACGGCCTCTCAACAAAGGGGATGCCGTGTATGATGTATATGTATATGTGTATGTATGTCTCAGGTAAGTCGGCCTTTCGACTTCGACTTCCTTTCGAAGCCCTGCAGCCTGCAGCGTCAGGCGGAGAAGCCGCCGCAGCCGAGGTGTGAGTGGATTCCCGCCTGTATTACCGCCTTACCATAAGTTACAGAGGCAGGAGTTAGTGACACGGGCTATCGAACGACCATTGCCGGCTCGATGTGTATGTACTACAAATAGAATGCGGTCTGTACAAGGCCTGGTGCCACAAGCCTCAAAACCTCGGGATTGCCTCGGGGAGATTCTCAGGATTTCACTCAGGATTCCACTCAGGATTTCACTATCCTCCCGCCGTACTGTACGGGGCGGTGCCGCCGCCGTCACGTCGGTGAGCGAGCAAGGTGCCACCTGTGACGACTCGTCGGTGGTCGGTGGAGATGGAGATGGCGGCACTACCAGCCCGTGCCCGCGCTGGGTTTCAAGACACACCCGCACGGACGTATGGCCGTACTGTATGGCCGTACTGTATAATACCACCCGTGGTGTCTCGCCTTCTGTTCCAATGGCTCAACCAGCGCCGCTACTATTGGCTGACACCTGACACTAGCACTTCTAGCACTTCTAGCACTTCTAGCACTTCTAGCACTTCTAGCACTACTAGCACTTCTAGCACTACTAGCACTTCTAGCACTACTTCTAGCACTTCTAGCACTTCTAGCACTTCTAGCACTTCTAGCACTACTAGCACTTCTAGCACTACTTCTAGCACTTCTAGCACTTCTACACTTCTACACTTCTAGCACTTCTACACTTCTACACTTCTACACTTCTACACTTCTACACTTCTACACTTCTAGCACTTCTACACTTCTACACTTCTAGCACTTCTAGCACTTCTAGCACTTCTACTTCTAGCACTTCTACACTTCCCAGCACTTCCCAGCACTGGCACTACTACTCTAGAGCATCTCCATGTTCGTATATGTACTGTGTAGTACTATCGGCTATTGGTATGTACATACTTCCCTTCCCGCTCCATCTGATGCCCATGTCTCCCACCTCAACTTACCCTACTACACCTACCCGGACAACCCGGCACAGCCCACCAGCGTACCTTTCTCCCACCAGCGTACCTTTCTCCCACCAGCGTACCTTTCTCCCAGCGTACCTTTCTCCCACCAGCGTACCTTTTCCTTTCTCCCACCAGCGTACCTTTCCTTACTACTACCACTACCCTACCACTACCCTACCACTACCCTACCACTACCCTACCACCACCTAACACTACCCTACCACCACCTAACACTACCCTACCACCACCTAACACTACCCTACCACCACCTACCACTAACCACCACTACCCTACCACTAACCATCACTACCACTCCACTAACCATCACTACCACTCCACTACCACTCACTCTCCTCCCTTCCCTAACTTCTACCAAGTATCTCTACTTCTAACCCTGCTCATTCCCTCCCCATTTCGCCCCATTCTGCCCCATTCTGCCTCATTCTTCCCCATTCCTCATGTACCACCTACAATATCTACATGTACCTTGTCCGGTCTACCGAACTAAGGAAAGTACGAAACTCTCTTGCCCACCTCACCTTTATTACTTTATTACCCAACTAAATCGTCGACTCCACCTCCACCTCCACCTCCGCTCCTCCGCTTCTTTCACTGCGGAACCTCCCTCGCTGACTGAAGTCAAACTTACCTGCTTGCTCTTCAGTCTTCGTTGTCGTCATAGTTAGTCTCTGTGCTGTTCTGCCTTGACTCCTACTCGGCTTCCCTCTCTTCAACCTCTTCTCTCAACTCTCCAAATCCCTCCCTCGTCCCGCCTGCCAAAAATCCCTCCGAGACCTCTCCGACGATATCGGCCTCTTTCCCTTCATCCAGCCAGCAGCCCGCCAGCAGCCCGCTCGTCCCGCTGTTGTTGTTATTGTCGTGGACCAGCAGACCTCCGCAAACCCATTCACAATCTCTCTCGTGCAGTCGACCTGCCTCTGAATTGGCAAACCCATATATACCCATTCACAACCTCTTTGTGAGGCACAATCCTCCGCCGACTGCATTCGCAAACTTGTGTCCACTCACCGTGCCCATTATTCAGCGGCCGTCGACTTCCGCATACATTGTGACATGGATTTGCCCATAATTCCTTGACAAGCTACAAATTATGGTCACTGAGCATAGTTTCCTTACCATCAGACAGCTTGGGAGTGAGGACCACTGCCCGGTGCGAGAATGCAGGACGCTACGACGGCTCGGAAACCGATCCCGAAATCATCGGCACCCTCGTACAAAATGCCACCCAAAATGCCTTCGCTCGTGGTGCCCCGGTCGGGGCTGCCGCTCGAGGTTGGTGCACCATCGGGCGCCGCCTCGAATGGTCTCATCGGCCTCACCTTGACCGATACTTTGATTGAGGAGATGATAAATTGCGTGCAGAGTGGAGAGGCTATACGATTTTCCCTGGGACCCGATTCTGTAAGTCAGCCTTGCTATTGAGGATTTTTAGCGGCAAGGACAATGGGGTTGCCCCCCATTGTCAACTTGACTTTGAAGTGGGGTCAATGTGAACTTGCAGCTATTGTTCTCAACTGCCACACCCAATTAGGAATTAAGCTGACTTTATAACCTCCAGTCGATTTCATATGGTTCCAAAACTCACCAACTCACTTCCACCGAAGATCCCTTCTCATACGACATTTTCCAAAATCATAAAGCATCTACAGGTTCACCGACGAATATCGATTCAGCAATGGCGAACCCAGCACCCCGCGGCCCGGGCAAATCTGCCTCTCGCGGCTTATGGAACCTGGGGTCACTGACCAAGAATTATACCAATATCAGGACTGAGATGGTTGATGCGCGAGGAAGAACAGTGAAGCAGATGGCCAACGACAAGGTTTCCAAAACCAGCCCAAAATTAAAGGAACCTACCCAAGGTTCTGACGACGCACTCGAAACTCTGAGAAATACCATGGCCATGGAGAATGCAAAGAAATCGGCCAGCACGTGAGTTTTATAAACTATTTTCTATTCTGCAATGGAATTATTAACATTTCTCCAGGACTCAACTTGTCAAGGACAGCTCTGCCCTACCACCCCCAGTCCAAAAGCGTGGTTCAGCCGCTCCACTGAAGACCGGAAGCTCAAATAGCTTCGCATCCAAGAGAGCGCTTGGAAAATCCAATATGAGGTCCTCCTTACCTACAAGTCCAGCTTTGAACGCCATCTCGTCGCCTTCACTGGGCCCTACATCAGTTCCTGCGTCGCAACAGCAAGCCGAGAAGACCAAAGCAATTAGGGGCCCAATCATCCACAGGCTGGCTCTGGGACCTGCAACGATGGGCGAACTGGAGAAGCTGAGAACGTCTGCTGCCACACCAATTGAATACAAGCATGCAATCGAGAAGGTGGCCGATGAGGAAGATGGGAAGTGGAAGTTGACTCGGAAATTCTTCAGGGAGTTGGATGTTTGGAAGCATGACTATGAATCGGATGCGCAACGTCAAACCGCAATTGAAAACGCCATTCATGTCTACGACAGGTTGCGGCTGAACCCATCGGAACCTGAATGGCAGATGCTACTGCCTGTGGCGGAGCGCGGAACGGGAAAGTGCCTGAGCAGGATCCAGGCAAAGATTGCTGTTGGTGGAAACTTCGCTGCCAAATCCAAGCCCAAGACCTCAGAGGACTCTAGTCGCGAGAGCGCTGGCGAGGACGGTGATAAGGCTTCCAAGCCTGCAAAGAGCGCGGGTATGGCTCGCACAACATCACAGAACTCTGCCACGAAGAGCAAGGCTGCAAAAGATCGGGAGGCCCAGGATAAGCGCCTCTCTGGCAAATCGTCCGCGGCAAAGCCAGCCCCTAAGAAGGTAGCCCCCCCCAAGAAACAGGCCAAGACTACGTTCAAGTCTGCCCAGTTTGTCAGCGATTCAGAAGAAGAAGAAGGCGATTACATGAACAACGCAAGTTCAACATCGAACAAAGGTTCGCCCACCAAGAAGACTCCTCTGGACAAACCAAGTGACGTTAAGTCAAACAAGCGAAAGAGTGACGCTATGGATACTATTGAGGCTACCAATGGCACAGCCAAGAAGGCAAAGAAAGCACCGTCCACATCATCTTCGGGTCTCTCATCAGTCTCATCCTCGAAGCATCACGTGTCTGATTCTGGCCAATCTACCCACGATGTGAAGACACTCCAGCACTCGATCAACAACAGCCGTGCTAAAATGAACACATCGCCCAAAAAGTCATCACCACTGGCTTCATCCCCACCCACCAACGCCTCTGACATGGAAGATCTCCACCAGTCCACCTCTATTTCACCTTCGAGCAGCTCTACAGACAGCATCAAGCGCCGCGCAGTCGACTCCGAATTCGACGAACCCCCCAAGAAAAAGCGCCCCTCTGGCAGCAACGGAGCCACCGACGCCGAGATGAAGAGCATCTACAACAGGAACCAGTTCCGACACGTCCCGACCCACTGCATCGACGCTAGCGCCAGGTTCCAGACCGTGTACGATCGCTATCTCAAACTGTACCAGGAGCTGCAGGCTGATCCTAGCCGGTTGCTCAATGAGCATCGGAAGTTGATGGATTTGCATGATCGCGTGGCGCAGATGAAGAGGGAGATCATTGAATCTGCGAGGGATAAATCGGAGGATCGCTGAGGGGGTGGGTTGTCACGGGGTGGCTTCTGATGGATGGATGGGGTATTCACATGAATTGATGAGGAAGATGGAGAAGAGTTGCATGGCATTGATGCGTTTAAGACGCTCGGAGCGAGTTATTGAAAGCGAAGGGGGGGAATAGATTATACCATGGGGATTTTTCGCAAGCATAGCTCCGGTTCTAGCTACAAACTGTATGAAAAGAATTATATTGAAGTATGCATTATCTCTCTCGTGTGGTGAATTATGTTAAACTATTCTTATATAACGTATTCCACAAGTGAGTCGGTAATACAAGTCAGCCGGGGTAATCCTAACGTTACCCTACACCAAACGCATATACCTACATTCCAACCTAAATGCCTCCACGCCAGAGCTCTCAATTAACTCAGAACGAAGGTCGAATTGCTCTAGCTATTCAAGGTTACCAAAAAGGGCAGTTTCGAAGCCTCAAAGCTGCTACGGATATGTACGATGTGCCTTATTCGACTGCGTATGCTCGTATGCTTGGTCGCGTCTAGCGACGCGACTTGCGGTCTGTAAAGCCTCAAACTGACGCAAAATGAAGAGTCGAGCCTTGAACAATGGATACTATCGATGGATCAACACGGTCTATCACCCCGACTTGATACTGTACGTCAAATGGCCAATCTACTCCTTCAGAAACGCGCTGGTGGAGAGCAAGAGCGAGCCCTCGAGGTTGCGGACCTTACAGTTCGCAAGAACTGGGTCCGTAACTACGTACAACGCCACGACGTCGTACACAGAGCCCACCTAGCCCTACAGACCTCGCACTTAATCAACTAGTTAAGGGTTGCCAGCTAGCGATGCATATGCTGTTCTTCTTACAGAGGAGAATAGGCAGTTACGGGCTGAGAATGAGAGGCAGAAGAAGAAGAGAGCAAAGCGGAGGTCGTATATAGCTACAGGAGGAGTTCTTACAGTTCAGGAGGGCCTGAATCAATCTCAAATTGTCGATACAGACAGAGCTTGTAGAGGAGCTTGCGGATCGCCCGCAAGCTCTACGAATACGTGCGCCACGAACGTGTAGTAACTTATGTGTAAATCACTTGTGGAATACGTTAATGTTCTTGTGCTGTTGGTTACTGTGTTAGCATCAGCCCCCTTGAGAGCCTCAGCCACAATGAGGGGAAAGGGGTTAACTAGAATAGTAGGTAAAGATGATGGCTGAGATGTTCTCTTGGTCTGCGGGCTCTCGTAATATAGTAGTCGGCGAACCCAGTCAGCCGTGTTATCGCGCGAGAGAGAATAACAATCGTGGATTCTGGATCTTGCGCCACTGACCCCCATTAGACATAACGTATGCACCAAGAGTCTCTTCCCGGTCCAAAGGAATGGGCTGAGAGGGTTATCATTAAGGATAAGATCATAGTTTCAAGTTTGCGATGCATTTTGGTCTTCGGGATCATATGGTGTCACACAGTCCGTAGAGGAATTATAAAAGAGCCATCATAAACAGCCGTCGTATGCCCCACTTTTCCCCTCAAAACTCATAACCCCCTCAATCATCTGCAATTGTGCCCATGCGTAAAAGAAAAACGGCTACGACTCCCAATACCCAATCTCGCCAGGCGAAATGGCAAAATGTATCCGCCCCGCGCTGGTTCCCCGTTCTCCTAAACACTAATAGCGGTCGTTTTCGACATCCACCGAGGCTTATCCCACCGGGTATGGGAATCGAACCTGTAGCATGGCAGAGGCTTCTATTGGGTCTTGAAGAGGAGGATGGCGCAGTGGCCGAGGTAGAAGTAGATGAAGTGCTTTGTCTCTGCGCGTTGCCCGTCATATTAGCATTTGTCCTTCCCCACGTGAAATTCCCCGGCAGGGCAGAGGGAAAGGGACACTACGAACCGTGGGTGACGAAGCTGCCAAAGTTCCGGCCGACGATACAGTGCCACGTCGGGCCCTTGCGGTCGTCAAACGTCTTCTTGATGTGCTGCGCGATGTCCTTCTCGATGTTGAACTTGAGCATCGCCTCTTGTGCTGCGAGTGTGTCAGTGGGGGAGTTCAGCCGAGGCTGTGATGACGCCTAGGCTCTATCAGAGTGCCATCGCCGGGGGGGACGCACCGATCTCGATGGCTTCTTGCTGCATCTCGTCGCTCATGTCGGCGGACTTGACCTGGGCTACGAGGGGAGGTTAGTGCTTGCGCGTTCGCGTCTCAGGTACCCTTCTGCCATCGGGGCGACGCGCGCAGGCGATGAGAGGGCCGAGGCTGGGATGACGACGACGTACCATCGACCTGGTCCTTTGAGGGGACGGCCTCCTTCTCATTCTGGCCGGGCATCTTGGGCAATCCGTCGCGGGGAGACTCTGGGTTCTCGGCTCGTGGTGGTGCAGGTAGTGAGTGGTGCGTGGTCGCGAAGATGTGGGGGGGGGGGGATGGGGGACGAATGGATAGCTGTCGCGTTTTCGCGTCAGGGTCCAAAAGAGGGGGGTATAGAAAGGTATAGATATATAGATATACCTTGGGGTCGAGGAGTATATAACTGAAGCTTCGATGGCGGCGGGGGGGTAAGTTCGGAGTATGGAGAAAGCCAAGAAGAGACGATGGCGACGATGAGGAGCGATGAGCGATGACCAGATGTATTTTGATTGCGGGCAGCGCTCACAGGCAGGTATTATAAGTGGTAAAACAGATCCCAAGACTTCACCACCCACTTCCGTGACCGCAGAGCCAACGGAGGTGTTGCTCTGTCGCTTGGCTCGCGCCCACCGCCTCCCGATCCCGACTAGCGTTTCATGGCGTGGTGTGGGGCCTTGTGGTGGCATTTTCCGTTGGTGGGATTGGAAGATTTTAGGGAGATTCTCCTCCTCCTCTTCTTTTCTTCACTACGCAACCTTATCTCCCAGAATGTTTTTCTAAATACCATGGCTTTACGACGTTCTTCTTTTTCTTTATAATAATTAGGTGCTTGTTTTTACTGCAGAGATGGAGTCTTCGAGGATCTTCATCAAGGGTTTGCCGCCCACGATCTCGGAGGAGGAGTTCAGGGAGCACTTCTCCTCCAAGCAGCCGATCACAGACGCGAAGCTGATCCCACATCGGCGCATTGGATATGTCGGGTACAAGACGCCCGAGGATGCCCAGAAGGCCGTCAAGTACTTCAATAAGTCCTTCATTCGCATGTCCAAAATCGGTGTCGAGATGGCAAGAGCTGTACGTCGTCGCTCACTCAACTACTTCCCGCTTAAGAGAATTTTTTTACTGATCTTTCTTATAATAGATCTCTGACACAACTCTACCCCCGTCGAGGAAGGTACAGAGAGAGACGGAAAGGCAGGGCCAGCAAGAGCGACAGGAGCGAGCTGCTGCAAAAGCGGCTGCCATCGCCGACATCCCCTCCCTGAAACGGAAGCGGGCAGAAGCCGATGCTGCCGACCCGAAGCTTCAAGAGTTCCTCGAGGTCATGCAGCCGGGCTCGAAATCAAAGGCGTGGACTTCAAAGGATGGTATCGAGGAGCCGCCGACGAAGATGCAGGCCATCGAACTGCCTGAGGAGGAAAGCGATGAGGAGTACGAGATCGTCCCGAAGAAAGCCCGGAACGCATCACGCGAGCCGAGTCCTGCTAAAGTGGCTGTCCCACCTGCTGTCGCTCCCGTGGCAGAGGTGGTTGATGCCACCGAGTTGGCAGATGAGATACCGGTTATTGGCGCTGCTGAAACGCAGCCCAGTGCTGGACTCGATGCTACTGATGATGATTGGCTTCGGTCTCGGACGAGTCGGCTGTTGGACTTGGTCAAGCCTGAGGATATAGTAGTTGACGAAGGCGTCCCTACTGCTTCCAAAGCTGTTCAGGCCACAGAAACGACCGAAACTTCTGCATTCACTGAAGATGTTGCGATGGAAGACGTTGACAAGCTTATCAGCGACAGCATCGCTGTTGTGCCGGAAGTGGGAAGCTCAACCGATGCTACCATGGACGCAATTCGAGAAAGCGGCAGGTTGTTCGTGCGAAATCTTCCGTATACAGCCACTGAGGATGAACTCCGAGTTCATTTTGAGAAATATGGCGCTCTTGAAGAGGTATGCATCCCGACTTCTTCATTTTTATTTTATTTTACATTCTTTGCTTTCATGATGAATATCCAGATAGGGACAGCTTATGCTACACGCAAGTGATGTCAACTGGTCGGAAATTTTAGTAGATGCTCCGTGTTTTCTGAAAAGCCTTTATTCAAGACTTGTTTTATTTCAAATTATATCACGATGCAGTAGTTAACTCCAGCTACAGATTCATCTCCCATTGGACGCCTCTGGGACCAGTAAGGGCTTCGTTCTTGTGCAGTATGAAGATCATGCTGCAGCGGCTGAGGCGTTTCACAATGTTGACGGCGAACCGTTTCAAGGCCGCCTGCTGCATATTCTGCCTGCAGCAGCGAAAAGGGACAAGAAGCTTGATGAATTCGAGATCGCCAAACTTCCCCTCAAGAAACAAAGGTTAATCAAGAAGAAAGCCGAGGCTACCTCTAGCGCCTTCAACTGGAATTCTCTGTACATGAACCAGGATGCAGTCAACTCCTCCACCGCCGATCGTCTTGGTGTCTCAAAGTCAGAGCTTCTTGATCCTACCTCGGCAGATGCAGGTGTCAAGCAAGCTATTGCGGAGACGTCGGTTATTCAAGAAACGAAGGCTTATTTTGCCAATAATAACGTCGACTTGAACGCATTCAAGAAGCGCGAGAGAGGCGATACCACAATTCTGGTGAAAAATTTCACATACGGCACATCAATTGATGAAATACGGAAGATGTTCGAGGAGTTTGGTTCAGTAATCCGTGTACTGATGCCACCTTCGGGGACAATTGCCATTGTCGAATTTGCTCAGGCGCCTCAAGCCAGGGCGGCGTTTGCAAGTCTTGCGTACCGTCGTATGAAGGACTCGGTAATTTACCTGGAGAAGGCACCAAAAGACCTGTTCACTCAGCCTGCAAATGTTGAAATTAAGAATGTAACCAACGATGCCAAAAGCACATCGATCGATGCCAAGCTCTCGGTATCCGACTTGTTGGGACCCGAAAGTGCCCAAACTGGCGCGGACACCAGCACCCTCTTCGTTCGCAATCTTAGCTTCAACACCACTTCTGATCGCCTGACGGAGACATTTAAACCCCTAGATGGGTTTATGTCTGCACGGGTCAACACTAAGACGGATCCGAAAAAACCTGGTCAAGTGCTGAGCATGGGTTTCGGATTTTTAGAGTTCAGGAGTAAAGCACAGGCACAGGCCGCCCTCAAGGTTATGGATGGTCACAGCCTCGATGGTCACAATCTCACAATTAAGGCGTCCCACAGGGGCGTCGATGCTGCAGAGGAGCGAAGGAAGGAAGACCGTGCCAAGAAACTGGCGGGTAAGCGCACCAAGATCATTGTCAAGAACTTGCCGTTCGAGGCCAGCAAGAAGGACATCCGAACTCTTTTCGGAACCTATGGGCAACTACGATCCGTGCGGGTGCCTAAGAAGTTTGATAATACAGCTCGCGGCTTTGCTTTCGCGGAGTTTGTGACAGCTCGCGAAGCGGAGAATGCCATCGAGGCGTTGAAAGACACTCATTTACTGGGTAGACGGTTGGTTATTGAGTTTGCAGCTGAGGATGCCGTCGACGCGGAGGAAGAGATCGAGAAGATGCAGAAGAAGGTTGGAAAGCAGGTGAGCAAGGTAGCCCTCCAAAACCTAACGGGGGGCGGACGAAAAAGGTTCAATGTGGAAGATGGCGCTGGGGAGGAGTGAGCCCTGTGCTACAAATAAATCGAAATATTGAGCAATCGGATCCGGTTGCGGCCGCCGCACAAATAAAGTTGGTCTGTGATGTTCTTTATGGTGTTCGAAGGAACAAAGCGTTGTTATGTCGTACAGCTTACAGGTACAGCGGTTGAGTGATATGTGATGAACATACTCTATGCCTTCGGAGCGTTGCCCTGAACTGTCGAAGGCGTATGTGTTTCAGAGTATTATCCTAGCAGGAAATGCAATGATGGTGGGGTCACATGGAGGGCAATCATAAACGATGATGGCTGTACCTTGACTCGGAATGTCTACCATAGTAGTACAGTCCCATGATCGAAATTGTTGCCTATGCCAGCAGACGGAACATCCTGGATCCCTCCCGCATCGTCCATGTAAATATGACAAGTCTATTGTCCGGCCCTACCTAGCCCAACCTGCCTGATCAGGAGTATTTTTCGGGCACGTTTTGGTCTCACATCAGGATTGAGGCTCTGGCTTGTCCTGGCCAAAATAAAATTAGATATTGGGGAACCAATTCATAGAAGGCGTAGACGTGAACTGAAACGTTCCCCCTACCTCATGCACGGAGGACTGTTTTCAGTTGTAAAGGCCCATGCGTGTGTACCCTCTATTCTATTTGTACTCTATACATAGAACATAGAACATCCTTCATCCCTTGTTTGTTGCTCCTCAATTATAACATACCCCTTGACTCCCTGCCCTCCAACGAGACGCAGGGGAGGGAGCTGACTAATCAATACAACGACGACTAACATCATAGTCTTTGACCACGGTATATTTCTCATTTTGGCTTGAATGTGGAAGTATTTAGACGGGAGCGGGATGGGAATATGAGCATTTCCACGTCTTCATCATAGTGCTTGCTACGCATATGGCGTGCGATCAGTTTACCTTGACTCCTATATGAGTGTCAAACCCAAAGACAGTAAAGTCAATCCATTGTTTTCAAGATTCGTCGTCGTCTACCATTTAGATCGATCGGAGCATAGACTTCTCCTTGCTTCAACCCCCATTGACTGACCTGCATCTGCCCAATAGCCGCCTCGATGACCGACCGCCCTTATCCGCTCTAGGTACAGTGCACTGACTGTCCTTGTTGTCTGGTATGGGCAGTGCTCAACGGTTCGACGCCGAAAAGGGTCATTCGAAAGGGCACACAACCATATATGTTCTCCTTCTCAGCTGTCTCATGCTTCCGCATATTGCTATCTTCTACGGCCCTGTCCAAGTTGGTTTACTTCTCCTCCTTCCCTTCTCTGCTTCCCGAGAGACATGTTTCTCGGGATCACGGGGAGATCTATAGCGCAGCACCTACCGATCGATCTTACATTTTGGCACGGCCGTTTGTGCGGGCTTACTTTTCTTCTTATAAGCTCGACTGCCGGCTAGCTCGTCATTCTCAATTCCATGGCCAAATTCCCGCCCTTTTAATCTTTCTTACTGGCCCCAGTGTGTAGACAGCTTCCATTCTCTTTCCCTACTACAGTCGTTACTAGTTACAAGAACCAACCCCCCTCTCTGTCTGCACACGCAATAGAGGGGCGTTTCGTCTTATCGCTCCTTACTTGGCCGTTCTTTGGTTACGCTGTTGAAGGCACTTCATTCCCTGTTACTTTTGCCTCTCCCTCTGGTCAGAATCAGCTACTCCTGAAGAGTTTTTGACTGACCAGCACAACAAATTGCATTGATTTCATTCAATGGCACAAGGTTGGCATGCACCGGTACAGAACTACACGTCACAACAGATGCCACTACTGTCTCCAGTAGAGAATACGGGGCTTCTGTCGCCGTTCTCCATGACTTCCCAAGATACAAAGCATCCCAATACTGCACCATTCGACGTCTACGAAGCTGAAAGGATGATGCAGCCTAAACTTGAGGATAACTCGCCGAAGGCCATCTTACCATACCCCCCATCGCATTCTATCGCTCAACATTCGCGGATGGAGCAAGGCCCTTCTAATAGACGAACCAACTCGAGAATTCAACGAGCTAGGCGTCACCGCAGGATAATCACTCAGTCGTCGCAGTACAGGGCATACCGAACGAAGCAGGATCAGCAACAAGATGGTCAGAAATGGTCGGCGGACTTGGAAGAGGCGTTTCTCGATGGTATTTGGCCCGCCCCGATGATCAGCGGACGTCATGTTAACAATCACAGCTTTCCTTGACGTCCCAATGATGGGTAAACTGATGTTTCAAATCAACGGGAAACCCCACGGGCGCAACCAGTTGATAGCATTATACATGTGGATTGCGTATGAGAAATCGCTGCCGCCCAATGTCCGTCCCGATAAAACAAAGCGTCGTACCCAGAAGCAGGTCTCCAGTCACATCCAGGTCTTGAAAGGATACATACGAACCGATCCTGCGTGTAAGTGTTCATGATTCCTGGGGCCCTTTTCTCTGGCTAACTTGATCCAGTCCAGCATATATTTCGCTCGGCGAATGAGAAGCCAAAATGTAGCAACAGGGACATGCTGAACAATGATCCATGCCTCACAGCCCTTGCGAACAATTCATTGCCCCACTGGCGTTCAACACCCTCGCCCATTAGCATGGCATCAATACGGCCCTGTCTGTTTGATCTGTGTATGTCTATTCCGAAAGCCGGTGGCCATTACGAGCGCCTACACGAGTACTTGGATCCAGAGCCCCTCGTATTAAGTCCAACCGGCATTGGAGAATCGCTACCAAACTGGCGGCGACAATTTCCTCAGATCGTACATGGCTCGGCGGCAGTCCGCGGTTTGGGTTGCAGTCTCATCCACGTCGATGTTTCTTTGACTCTGGGATACGCTAGTGCTCCTGCGGAGGCTGAGCTCTTGGGTAACTTTGAAATAGCCGTTCCGTCGAATGAAAGCCATTTAAAGTGGCACAGCGTACAAACCGTACAAAGGCACAAAGACTTGTTCGGCGCTTCTGGGTCGGATCTAATTTCAACGAATAATTCTTCACTGCATGTAGACCGGTTCGAGGATGGCACTGGCGCAATAATGCGTTTAGCATTTCCTGCCCTTCCATGGGCACATGCTCTAGGAAAGATGGACGACTTTCAGGGGCAGTTTGAGGAAAGTCAACGAGGTGGACACTACCACCCAGTTCAGCTGGAAGCTCGCCAATACATCGACCAGATGACAATGTATCAAGAGGTCTTTTCATCGGCTGACTACGGCCGCTCTTGGACGAAGAAGGTTATATTGGTTTGGACATTCACCAAGGCCAACCAAGATGAGAGAGGGCTGATTACGTGGCGCCACATCCACACAGCTCCTCTGGGACAGTCATTGTTGTCTCCGCATCCAGACAATGGCCAGGACATGCAAGCTGCAATGGACAATAACTTCAATCCCACAGGTCGTGCACCATTACTTTCCATCCAGCCTATTTATTACGACTCCGTACCCAATGATCTTATAACACCATCCAACTCGTCGGCTCAGCCGTCGCCATTTTCTCAATACGGCAATCCAACACACGAGGATATAGTGCCCAAGAACATGACCTTTATGCCTCACAGCACTCAACAAAGTGATGGGGCCATTGCAGAGCAAGCTCCACATATGAACTATATGGTTGATAGCGATCCCTCCAACCTCTACGGCTTCGAGCATAACGCCAACTTGTGGCAACCTCATCCCAATCTACAACGTTTTGAAAATGATGGCTACCTATCCCCATACAGCACTCCCATGCCAACAGGTGGCGTCGCTCAAGATTTGAAAGGAAATTGGCAAGGACCTCAAGATTTGGATTGGTGGCATCGGTCATGCGAGCAGCCACGCCTTCAGAATTGACCATTATCACACGGCGCTCTTAATAAATGATGCGTCGGCGCCAGCGGCATCGGCGGTATCGCTGGGTCCTTGGTATTTCGCTCGCAAGACGCGCCGAATTATCGGCCGGGGATACACAGCTTTGACGCCGAACTGTGCCTTAAAATTCCCTTCGCACTTTGTGCTCCGGCGCCTAATTGAAGCGCACCTGGACTACCTTATCCCTTTCTTTCATACTTGATTCTGTTCTGAATTGCCAGCATGCTAGCACCGATACCCTTTTTAAGTCGAAAGATAATTTCTATTCTCTTCCTGGCCTTCCATAATATGTTTAATCTCTCACGGAGGCTGTGTCTTGGTTTAAGGGCCCTAATTCCTGTTACTTTCTCGGGGTGCCTTGGGGTGTAAGGCGGTTGGATAATGGGCCGGGGATTATTATGGCGTTGGCATATGCGTGGTTGCTCTGTTATGATCGAGATGTTGCTAATCACCCTATTTAGATAGAAGGTGAATTAGCACATGTATCAAGCATAGATCCAGCGCATTCTGTTCCATATGGTTCGCTCTGGTAGCAGAAAATGCTTTATTATATTCACCCACAGCCCTGTCATATGCATCGTAGCTTTCAAACCAATGGACTGGTAACTCAGGGGGAACTCCCACCGTGTATTGAACCCTGTTTCGCGCTGGATCTGGTCAGAGTGGGTGCACGGATGGGGACTTGATAGGTATTCGTTGGCAGCAGTGAATGCCTTGGAGTTGCCAGCCTGGCACAGCGAACTTCAGTACTCCAGGTGGTATCATCAGACTACAGTGCTGGGAATTCATGTTATTCCTCAGCAGCATTGAGGGAGGCAAGTAATGGACAAGTACAATTGCATCTAATCGCGGTGGGTCTAGTAAACGTACATACTATCTATCATTCCATGCAGCGCATATGCGTGCCCCAGTCTAGCCTGCTTTATTCTAGATTTAGAACTTGTAAACCTGGTCCTTGCTGTACCCCAATTCGCTCAGAATACCAGTCAGCTCTCCCTGGTCCTTCGGGCTCTTCTTGTCACCCGAAATAGCCTTGTACATGCCCGGTGGTCCACAGACAAAGACCTTGATGTTCTCGGACTTTGGCTCCGGCAGCACGGTCTGGAGGAGCTCCTTGGTGATGAATCCCTTCTGGAAGTTGGGTGCGTCCTTGGGCGGGTTGTCGAGGGTGTAGAAGACGCGTAGACGTTGGGGATAGGTGTTCTCGAGATCCTCGAGCTCGCGCTTGAGCAGGATGTCCTCCTCGGTCACGTTGCCGTAGACGAGGGTCACCTTGGTCTTGTCCTCGGGGTTGTTGAAGATGGCGCGGGTAAGCTGGTACATGGGGGTGATACCAGTTCCTCCGGCTACAAGCGCGATGTGGTCATGCTTGTTGGCGGTCCAGGGGTACTTTGGGATGGGGCCCTTAACGTCAAGACGTTGGTCGGGCTTCATGTCGTGCAGGTGGGTGGACATTGGCCCATTGGCGTATTTCTTAACCAGGAGAGTGAAGTGGCCCCTCTCATCTATCCCATTTGTTAGAATTGGTATCTAGTAGGGGTGCTATGCAAGCTTACCTTCGTCGCTAACTGGAGTGTATGGGCGGATGACCGGCTTCTCCATCTCTGGTCCCTTATACTTGGTCAAGATGGCAGATGCTACCTTTAAGCCGCTGACATCGTCCTCATCGGGCAGCTCGAAAAAGAACTTCTTCGTGTTGTGGTTGACGTTCTCGACCTTTGCTAGCCTCAAGCTGACCCATCCTTGGTCACCACCAGTCAGGGCGTCCTTGGCTGGTCCTCTAACCTTCTCCTCGGCCTTCTGTAAGCCCTCCTTGATCTTGTCTGCGCTTCCCTTTTGGTTGAAGTAGAAGTAGCTTCCACCAGCAGCCGCGGCTGCGACGGCGGCATAGACCAGTGTGTTCGAGGAACCGCCTGGCACCGGCTCGGTGGCATAACGACGGTATTGCTAGAGCAGTTGTTAATGGCCGCTATCGGTCTCAAAAAATTGCGCAACTTACTGATTTTAGCGGCTGCTGAGCAGCCCTGAAGGCTTGGCGTGCAAACATCTTGATATAATAGGGTCAATTGAATGTTTGTGGTTGAATTGGCTTTATCAAGTTGAGTCGCAACAGAAAGTTCCTCTGGGAACTCCACCAGCTTGGCGACGCTCGGGCCCGGACAATTCAGGGCCGTAATTGCCAAGTATAAAAACATCGATGTAATCACGTGATAGCTCACCATTATCCTCAAAATCCAAGGCAATTGAGCTAGACAAGGGCTATAAGGTATAGATTTATACATATCACATGAGTATACATGTTATGCTTCTAGTAGTATTTTATTTAAATAACAGTATCTGCAAATGTCTTGCATTATGTGCGGATTTAGACAGCATGTTCCTATATCCTATACACTTGGTGCAAGTATGCATGCATGCGTCAGTTTTATTATTTACAACACTTTTGCTGGGATATGGCCCGTTTCCTGGCCAAATGCTCATCTAAGTGGCGCTGGTTATTGTTATGAAGCAACCCATTGTCAATACACAACAGTTTATGGGCATAGCATAGCATCTTGCCACCCCTGAGCTGGCACCTGTAGCTCATCCGCTTGCAACAGCAACATAGGTAAACTCTTGGGCCTCTAGTATCCGTAGATATGCCTGGGAGCACTTCCATTTTCCACTAAACCTCCCTAGGCTCTGTCGGATAGAGTCCAGGGACTCCTGGGAGCTTTTATTGCCGCTTTCTCTCACATCCCATGCAAAGTTGGCACCTGCGGTGTACAAGGTCTCCATGACAAAGGGGCTCACCCGTTCAATGTCGAGGTGATTTGTTGTTTGCGAAACCAGATGGTCTAAAAACTCCTTGATGCTGCTTGAAACCGTTTTCAGCCCATCGACTGCTTGAGTCTGCATTTTGCCTTCTTCTGGAGTGGTAGGTTTATCTCCTGAGACATGGCAGGCATATGGATCGCATAAGGCGCAAAGTGCACTGAAGCATACGGACATAGGCGTGGAAAAACCTAGGTATTCTTGTGACATGGCGGCTTGGTGGACCAATATGCGTGCAAGGTCAGATATCTCTAGGTAGAGATCTGAAGCCTGTTGGAAGCGCTCCGTCTCTTGCATATCCCGCTGGCTGTGATGGCGAAGTACCTTACCTAGTAGTCGGGATGCCTGGCAAAGGCGAGCAAATGGACAGAGTGGGTCGGACATAGGTGAAGATACGCTCGGCGGATTCTGAGATGCAATTTGCCCTTCATCCTGATAGAGGTCAGTACATTGGGCAGAAACTTATCACCTGAAAGTAATACCCAAGCCGAGGTTGTCGCCGGTAATGCTGCTATATCGCGAGGATCTTCGCAAGCCAAAACCCGCCCTTTGCTTCCAATGGAAATCACCCTAGCGAGAGTCATTGGAAATAGTCTAACATACGGTGTGACTAATTTTATACCTGTCGAGAATAATGACACCCCACCAAGAGCGCCTCCTCTCTTCCAGCTCTGTCCACGAGGACTGCATTATGTTAGATAGGCATCGAAACCATCGTTGGGAGCTACTTACCACGAGAGATAGAAGTTGGGGAGCTCGCTCAGAGTCGTGGACGCCAAGAACCTGGCCATATCTAGCACAGGAACCGACGGTCATCCACGCAGCTGGGTATATAGAGTGTCCCAACTCATATAGTGCCACAAGAATATATGCTTGGAGCACCACGAGTGATACTATCCCACTGGCCTCCAAGGAAGATATGAACCGTTTGGCGGCGGCATATATAGGGTTATATATATTTTCCGGGTCATCCTGGGGACGTGGAGCTATCAATTTCATACAAAGGAAAAGAAGGGCTAAATCTGGTCCAGCTTCCCACATAGGGTTGAGCATATTTCTTGCGAAGCGCTTTTTGGATATAATTGGCATCCAAGTATGCACTGTATCAAAGTAGTCCCTGATAACAGTCTGGACAGCGGAACCATCGCCAAGGAGTTCTAGGACTTCCTATAGAGCAGTCAGACAGCTAAAGCAACATTGAAACAGTGTTCTTTCATATTTCTAGATCTGTCCGTCTAGTAAAACAGGTAGATGGTTACTCACTAATGGTATTTGGGCACTGGGAGCTTCTATGCGCCCACGGGTGAAACTCTCCGCCTCCAAGAAAGCAATAGCGGGGAACCTATTGTGCACCTGCTGATATGACGGGCTAGGGGTATAAGCGGGCGTGGGTGGCTGTTGGACACCTGCGCTCAACGTCGATATGGTACTGGCAGGTGTGTGCAGGTAGCTTTGTCCATGACCCGAACCATTCCCAGCAGCAGCACCTAGTAGCCGCCCTTCCAGTTCAAGCACCCGCTGCTGTAGGATATTAAAATCGTCAGACGTCGGTGCTGGTGATGCATCAGAATAGTCGCATGCCCTATTCATGCGTTCGCACAGGGAGCAAGCTGGCATCTTTTTATCACATCGACGCTTCTGCCTCCTGCAAGAGAGGCATGCCTGTGATGCTTTTGGGGCAGACAATGTATCGCCATTGCTGCTATTGACATCATGCGTGGCATATGCCATGTTTGAGGGCATCCTATCCGTCTATCTAGACCATGCGGCCGCACCCACCGTGCTTCAAATATAATGGGATGGCAAGGTCGGATAGGATTCACAGAGGCGCTTTTTGCCCTGGACAATAAGCTACACAGGTTCTTGAGAAAGATACGAGGTTGTAGAGACTCTTTTAGCGGCCCGAATGTCTTCATGTCATTCTTGCTGTGATCGTATCTTATCCCAGTGGTAGGGACATGCTTTCACAACTGTCGTGTCATGGCGGGTATGGCGGGCGCTAGCGCCACACTGTGCATACCATCTGTAGCATCCCTGTAAATTAATTTGCGCTTGGACTGGTCGTCGCACCAAGCTGCATATAGAAAAGGTACGATATAGACACGCGCATCGCATCTCTGGATTTATTTGCAAAACTCAACTTGCAGCCGTCGATGGGCGCAAACGGTATCCCGCCATGGCAGACCGTCCACGCAGGGACCGAGGGGATAGAGATAGGGTCGGACCTACAGCTCAGCCGCAATCCGCGGTTCCCCGCGAGAGACGACGACGGCGCCCCGCTGATTCGAATCCAAGCAGAGCATATGATGGAGCGCAGATCCCGGTTGATTTGCGCTCGATGAACTCAATGAACTCAAGATACAGCCTCAATGAGCAATTCGCCTCGTCAAGGCAGGAGTTTGAGTTCGGTGATGACGACGAGGATGAATCCGATTCTACAGAACCTACACCGAACATCCCACCTGCCCCTACCGCTGCCGCCACGCCAGAAGATGACGAGGGTGAATCTGATTCTGAGGAACCTACGCCAGACACCCCGCCTATCCCTACTGCTGCTACCGCCGGCCCAGAAGAGGACTCTTTCGAGGACATTTCAGACGCTGAAATACGCCAGCTTCTGCAAGCTAATAAGGACGAGTTCGTGGATCACTATACTCTCCTGGGGCTTTCAAGGGACCCGCCTCCCACGGCCACGCAAGTAAAGGCTGCATATCACAGACTGTCCCTTGCATTCCACCCCGACAAACAACCACACCATCTCAAGGGTTCCGCTGAAAGACACTTTGCGCGTCTAAGGCTCGCATATGAGACATTATCGGAGCCAAGGAAGAGAGTGATTTATGACATTGAAGGAGAAGAGGGGGTTCGAAATGAGTATGGAGAAGGCGGGGCAATGGGGCGTGGTGGCGAGTCAAAGAAGCAGCTTTCATCCGTTAAGGCCATGAGTGCGGAAGAATTCAAAGCATGGTTCCTTGGGGTTTTGCACCGGAGAGAGCGACGCGCGATTGAGGCTCTTATTGATCACCACTCGAATTTCAAGATCGGTCTCAATGCGTCCGACAATTTCGTGAAGCAGACCAGGGTCGTTCTCAGTGGTAACGTGGAGATTCCACTGCCTAACCAACTTCTCCGAGTCGATGAGATTGGTTTCGAGTCCTCATTTACACTTCCACTGCCAAAACTCGGTCGGCTCTTTGAGATACCAGTACGGCAGTTATTCCAAGACCGATTAGTGCCTCTAAATGAAGACGATGATGAAACAGAGCCTAATGACTGGGCCGATACGTTGAGCCCTTCTGTTCCAAAGTTGACCATTACAGGTGGTGTCTCCGGAGAAGTTCAAGATATTGTCGCTGTATTGCCTCGGGGCGATACTTCGCTCCCACCATACTTTAATCGTCACTACGCTATAGTTTCTCAACAGATCGGGTTTGGCATCGCCTTGCATCATGCTTTCCCAGAGCTTCTAGGCAGTGGTAACAGCAACTCCATCGCGTCCCTGCTTCAAGGGACGGGCTTTCGTCTGGAAACTAGCATGCTTCCTCACCCAGCTTCGACAACACTTATCTTAGAAAGGCCGGTGTGTATCATACCAGATACGACCCCTTTCAATGTCTCCATCACCACCACAGTAAAAGATTCTCTTATTCTTAGGCCACCGGAGATATTCGTCATCATACAGCGGGCTCTAGGACTACGGGGAAACCCTCGGGGTTATTTTGTTTGGGCATCAGGCGAGAAAGAGTGGCCCTCATCAATTTCCCAATCACTTGCAGGTGCTCCACCTTTAAACTTGCCGTATGCTGTTCGCTGGGTCACTCAAGGCCGTGGCTCTCCTTTGATGAAGCTCGGTGCCGATTGGAATTTCGACGGAGAAGCTGCAGGTGATAATGACAAGCCTGGAACAGCCCCGTTCGGCACTAGTGTCTATGTCCTAGCTCACACCGAAAGCGCCTATCTCAGTGTGTCTTACTTTTGTAACGTCTTCTCACGATACGATGAACCGCCCGTGCGCTCTCGTATAAGTAACAGCGGTGAGGTCATACCTCATACCGCGGGGCTTCATGTTCGCAAATCGCGCGGTATTCTCCTCGAAGTTGAGGCCAAGGTTGGATTGCCAGCAATCCTCTCTGCGTCAATAAGTGGCAAGAGGCGCATCGGAACATTCACCTGTGTTGGCTTAAGTGTCGGCGTGGCTCAAAACTTAGGGCTCTATTGCAGTTTCTCATGGAGTCGCTTAAAGCAAAACATCAGCTTTCCGGTGGCTCTGATTCCCCTCGAAGATGTTACCACAAGTGCCATTCTTCTTGCGGTCGGCATACCCTGGGCGCTCTACACAACTCTGGAATTTGCGGTCATTCGCCCTCGCATACGACGCAAGCGCCGGCGGCTTTTGAAATCACAGCGCGCAAAGTTGAAGCTGAACATTGCCAAAAAACGCGAGCAGGCAGAACAGGTTATGTCGCTCATGGTACCTTCCGTCGAGCATCGTCAGGCACAGGCACGGCGCTCCGGCGGGTTGGTAATATTAAGTGCATCGTATGGCACTAAGGGCAAAGATGGCGTCCTGGTGGATGTAACAACCGCCCTCGCATCGCTCGTGGATGCTGATCAGCTCAACATCCCTCGGAGCGTAGACAGGAATAAACTCACGGGGTTTTGGGACCCTGCACCACTGTCGAGTAAGGTGCTAGTGGTGAAATACTTATTTGGCGGAAAGGAGCACTTTGTGGAAGTGGGGAGTGACCAGTCCCTGATCATCCCTAGTCGGGCTCATGTCAGTACTGTACCATTGCGGCGGACTCTGTGAGGCGTGGGTTCGAGTGGCTTGTAGTTGATTAGATATGAAGTGCATGGCAGCGTTAGTAGTCGAGGTGATATTTACTACATATTGCAGTGCAGATTTCATGCTATATACCTTTATATACTGTAGATAACCTGTACATAAGGAAATTCCTCTTCAAAAACTTTTCACTAGGCGCCCCTTTTAGGCTTATTGCCACATTAATCTTCCATATATCAGACAGGTACGAGTGCAACTGTCCACTCCATTGGAATCTATAGCCTCCTGGCTTGTTGTATCTACTCAATCTATAAATATTTCGTATTATGACCATTAAAAGGTCGACACCTGTGTAGGTATCTTACCATCCAGGAAATCCATGCAGAAGGATCACTCTGCAATACTTTCCAGCCGCTTCCCCGTGAAACTTTTCGCAGGGTCAGTATATCATCTTGTAATAAACAAGCTTGTACTAATTTTGCAGACACCTTTAAAGCTTGGCCAATGGCAAATTCTGTACCGATGCAGGCTTTATCGGGTACTCAGCTGTACTTATCATGCTTGCTTTTCACCTTCACATCGAGCAACGCCTCATGGTAATTGCCTTCTCTCCTCGCCCTCTTGAGCTTTCGAACCTCATCATCCTCAAGCTTCCTCCCCACGGCCTCTTCCAGTTCCTTTCGGCTGATCTTCTCCCTGGCCTTGTCTTCCTTGCCCCTCTTTAACTTTGGCTTGAAACGAGCCTGCATGCGTATCCTCAGGGTGGTGTTGAAGCTCACATCGGCCGCGTCGCCGCGCAGCTGGGGAACTGCTGAGTTCTTGGCTGGAGCAGCTATGGTGATATATTGGTCACGTAGGTTCTGGATTTGGAATGTCTCGGGTGTTGAAGAGGTAGGAAATGTGAGGAAGGATTCAAGGGGCGAGACAGCTTCGGTTTGAGCGGTGAGTATGCCAAGTTTGTCGCAGCTGAGGTATCTATGTTTATAGCAGTCAGTAACATGAGTCTAGTTACTAGTATTAATAGGCAAGACGTACCTCCCATGATGCCCCTTGAAGCTGAAGTTCTCTGTGCCAGCGACGCGACTGGCAACCCATACTTGCCTCACGTCATGCGGTTCGGCGGTGCTTGGGTCACCATCTATAATATTCTCCAACGGACTGGCAAACACCTGGCCATTGGTATCGCATGCTATGCATGTAGGAGGTTCTGAGGGCAAGACGAAGACAATCGGCCCTTCAATGTCTGTGATAGCTTCGGCGCTAACCCAGCTATCATCTGATGCCTGGTCCTCGACAGGACCCGCCGCATCGGTTGTGAGCTCCGTAGATGGCTCGCCGAATTTGGCGGCTGTATCGACGCGTTTTCGCTTCTTGGTCTTTGGATCACCCTTGAATGATAAGGCCTTGACCATATTGATGCTGTTCCTGGGGTTGGGTTGGTCACTCAGTGACCGCAGTCTACAACAGCTTTATTTGTAGTGTAGTATGAAGAACAAATGCGGGGTCGAAACTAGCGTTGCTAACCCTCCTCCAACAGCTACCTGCCCCTCCTCTTGGACTGTAATGCGGTGGATTCCGCGATTTGAGAGAAGACCAGAAAGGTTGGCTAATATATTGCACTTTAATGCGTTATAATATTTGAATTAAGGGCTATATTATTTCTATTTTCAAGCAATGGCGCATGCTGCGGTGACTGTTAGCCTCGAGGCCCTCAAAAATGGTATGGCCATGTGGTCATGGGAAACGCTTCCACTTGTAGATAAAGGGATGAAGGCTGACACGTTGTTGGGATTTAGGAACTGTGCCTTTCTCTACATTAGAGGCTGCCTTTGGTCCAGAGTCACTCGGAATCATTCTGGTCAAAGATGTAGACCCTGCTTTTGTTGAACTACGTCGACGACTACTATCCTATTCGACTTATCTGGGCAACCTCCCTCCCCAAATTCTAGGTAGAGTGCAAGTTTCATATTGTTGCCTACAGAAGAACTAACTCGTGCACAGAGCAGCTAGAAGATGCAACTGCCAAGTACCTAACCGGGTGGTCTTTGGGAAAGGAGACGTTAAAAAACGGCCAGGTCGACACGTTGAAGGGGTCATATTATGCCAACTGCGCTTTTTATGTGAACCCAGAGCTGGAATGCGCTGAGAGCACTGCCGAATTCTCCTTGGAGAATTTCCCCGAATACTTGAGCCCCAATATCTGGCCGTCTGAGGGCCTTCTCCCTGCATTTCGCCCGACATTTGAAGAGCTTTGTCGACTGATAATCGATACCGCAGTTCTGGTCGCACGTGCATGTGACCAGTATGCCGAACAGAAAATAGACGGTTATACCAAGGGATACCTGGAGCACGTCGTTCGCACCTCAACTACGACGAAGGCCCGATTGTTGCACTATTACCCATCTCCTCCCGTCGCTTCTGACGGGGCCCAGAGTGCTGTTCCTGAAGATGGCTGGTGTGCTACACATGTTGACCATGGGTGTCTCACCGGCCTAACCAGCGCCATGTTCGTGGACGAAACCGCGACGAGGGCGTTGATTCAAGGTCATAACGCAACTGATACCCATCTCCCAGCACTGCCGGAGCTGCCAAGTTCACCAGATCCCCAAGCGGGACTATATATCCAGTCTCGAAACGGTGAGACAGTGCAGGTTAAGATCCCCCGGGATTGCATTGCTTTCCAGACCGGCGAGGCCTTGGAGAAGATTACCCAGGGGAAATTTAGAGCTGTGCCTCATTTTGTGAAGGTTGTTTCGCCCAAGGCAGGAGATGGTGACATAGCTCGGAATACACTTGCAGTCTTTACGCAGCCCAGCCTGGACGAGTTGGTGGACACCGAGAGTGGAATCAACTTTGGTGAGTTTGCAAGAGGGGTAGTGGAGAAGAATACTTCCAAGTAGTTGTAATCTTAATCCAACTCCCATACGACTCGGCATACGCTGGCTGTCTGGGCCATCACGGTGCTCTGGATTTCGATTATAGCAACGTAGCTTCGTTTCTCATTTCACACATGCTTTTCACACATGCTTCGTTCGACTCCCAGGCAGCTTCTCGATTGGGGAAAAATGTCGCCCGATGTGTACGGACCGGCCAATAACAACGGCGGGGATTTATGAATTTCGACTTTGTACGGACTAGAGTAGGTCACTCTTTGCCTAATACTCCACGGTCTCATGCAACTGTACGGAGTACATATACTACACCACTTATGTACAAGTACGCCGCTGTATAACCCGCCCTACCACAAGGTACTCCAATGTACTCGGCCAGTCCATCCTTTTACGTGGAGTGAACCGGTTCACTCACCGTCCTTTGATCTCACAGCCACAAAAACCCCGAAACGCCCCTCGACGTATTCCTCTTCCGCTGCAACCTCCCAGACCGATACACTCATTTCCAGTTTTGGACATTCGGAAACACACTCGGCCCCAAACAATCTCGGGTCTCAAGAGAGCACCTCATCCGGATCCGGTTTCTATCGTTGGTGGCATCTCCTGCACTTGGCGCTGAAAGGGCATTCCAACGGGATCCTGCAAAACTGTGTTCGCGAACTGGTCCATGCGGATCAAGTTACTTCCTGTGCTTCTTGCATGTAATAATCATCTAGCCGGTTGGGCTGCGATATTCCCCCAAGTTTGAGGACTGCGCTGGAAGGACTGCACCGGCCAAGGTGTCGAGCTGGAAGGACTGCACCGGCCAAGGTCGAGCCACAACCGACGACCCTTCACAAAGTGAACGCTCATCGACACCAAGCTACTGTTATCAGACAGGATTCACGGGTTGTTACAGCCTGTCAGTTACCATTCACCATCACTATCGATATCGCACGTACCAGGCAAGATGAAGCGACGAGCTATCGACGAACTCGTTTACGAGCACATGTTCCCTCGCCCAAAGCCGACAGATCCTCAGAATTGGGCCAAATTTCTGGAACGACACCTACTCACAGAGGTACGACAAGAAACGGCTTGCTTCTATGGCTCCCTAGATACCCGAGAGGCCCAGTATCCCGGCCTCGACTACTCATATCCACCCCATCGAATGCGCCTTTCCCGCTTCACATGGCACAGGCGGCTCTTCCGGGCTTTCGACACTCTCAAACTGACGGAGTCGGAGATTGCTGGGTTAACACACTGGGAAGGGACGAGATGGGCAAAGGAGCGGTTCGAGAAGGAGCAGAATATCAAGATTAGGGACACCACCGGTGATTGCATTCAAGATTGGGTTGACCCAACCGATACGCGCCCCGAGATGTCGTCACTGCCGGCGCGAGAAGCCGTATTCTACGAGTTTGATGAGGCTGAGGAGAATGAAGGCTCAGACGACCCCGACCAGATGGACGAGGATGGCGAGGAGAGCGATGTTGAGGTTGAAAGCGTAGGCGTGGAGCTGAATCGGCGTCTACGAGCAGGATTCAGCGACGAGGAATACGAGCAGTGGCTGAAGGAGGCAGCGGAAGCCGGGGGGGTGTCCGTATTGCCTGGCCAAAGCCTGCCCTTGAGCAACGCGGTACCCAGCCAGGCGTCGGTATATACAAGATTGCCCCCGAGCATCATCAATGCCATACTGCAAGGCAATGGACTTCGAAACGGCTCTGTATCTTCCACCCCTCGCCAAGGGGCCTCTACATCAACCTCCAGCACGGACAGAACCAGGGGCCCAAGTGCTACATCACCTGTTGAAAATGGGTCTGCGCAGGTCCTAAACTTGATGCGTTCTCTTCCACGTATGAGACTGATTGGTTCACGTCCCACACATTCCACGACAAACCGAGCTCCAGGTGATCGAGTCTTTGGCCAGGGTTCGTCGCGGCCACCAAATTCGTTTCAACGTTGACGTTGTCGGAGAGTTCAGTGATTGGCGCCATGTGGGTTTGGACCGGCGGTTTAAATATGGAGTTGGGCGTTGCTTTGATTGCATGGAAATGCTCAGAACTAGCGTTTTATGTGCACTTGCACTATGGCATTTCATTTTTTTCGTTGCAACAGTTTGCTAGTCAAGAATGTTGAGCAGCGCATTATATACATGGGTTATGGGTCAGGCGTCCGCGAGAATAGATGGTTATTGAGGGCTACAAAGTTTAGCTACAGCGCAATGATATTTAAATAATAGATTTTACCACTGACTTCTGGGTTTATACGTGAGGTTTTCACAGGAGAGTTACTTTTTACAACAAACGACCTATTCAGTAATTTGAAAGGAGGCAGCCACAAAATATGCCAACCATTTTGCCTATTGTATAGCACAACACTTGCGGCGATCAGCCTGCCTTGCCCTCCATGCCTCGACATCAGCTATAAATTTGTTGTGCTCAGTGCATTTCGCAACAGCAAGAGCGGGGGTTGGATCCGCGTCTCGATCCAGCAAGAACCAGGCCAGTTCGCGCGTATCTGTGTCCAATCCATAGGATTTAGGAATGTAACAGGTCTGTGTTCCCCAACGATCAGGCAGATTTCTTCCCGGTGGTTGGTCAGGAGCCTTCACGTCAATCCCGACCACCTCATATTTCCGTGCACTTTTGGGGGCTTTTTTATCTTCTTCTTCTCCGCGGCTGGCTTCTTCTCTAGGATCGGCCTGATAATGAGTAGTAGTTTCGATGGCGAAATGCAGCGGACGTCAACCCAGGGGAGCCCCTTTAGAGCTCAAACGTCGCTACATTGGATGAATATGCAGCCTTTTCGAGCACCTGTTGGCATTTGCGCTGGGACATAGTGATTATATCGTCCCGTAGTGGCTCCTGATCTCTTGGAAACACGCTCGCACCATGCTCTAGACACCAGGTAACCAGGTCGATATCCCCAAGAACACTCCACATAAAGGGTTCGCGAATCATCGCGCATTAATGTCCCAGCCGTGTGCGAACAGGATCTCGAGTATTGGTTTTGTCCTTGGGCTACGCCATGCGACTTCCCCTGGCCTCGAGCTCTTGACATTGTTTGATAAGGTGCATCAGGGCATTCGTCGCATTCTTTTCGACTGCGAGTGCGCAAAACTCATGGAGCAGCTCGAGTTCGCTGAGAGGCCTTCGAAAAGGCCTGGTCCACGAGCGTCGTATCTCCTTCTCACATGCTGTGGCGGCGAGCGTCCACGTCGGTCTATCGCGGGAGTATAATACCATTGCTATTAGTCGGGTGGTATATTATCGTAAATGGTTATCATTTCTGGGCTGGATCTTTAGGTGCTCGACATTTTACTCGATCCCCATCTCTATACCAGGGCATGTGTTGGTTGGGCTCCCATGTTTGAATATTTATACTTTAATATTTTATTTGTCGAGATAATAAAAACCACCCAAATAAACGCAAACACTTGGACTAGGAAAGGTTTTTTATATGACAAACGGCAGGTGCTAGAGAAACGCCGGATACATGCTGGTATAGTAATTCAGCATTATTGTTAAGTTAACTGGAGCTATATTGTTTTTCCTTTGACCAGCCTCATTCCGTTGCCCAAAAGGACTCGAGATATCGTATAACCGCAAAACCACGGGACGGCTACAACGCCCTATACTTCTTCCCCATTGTCGTCATAGTTATCATCCTCGCTTTCAGTATCATCTTCATCCCCACTGATAAAGGGTACAAATCTGAAATCAATAAAACTTATTCCGCCCCCTTCCACCTCAATCATAAATTGCAACGACAGGACTCCCTGGCTGTCGCCTCGGAAGCTGACCTTGCTCGCCAGCTTCATGGCCTCCACGGCTGCTTTGACCATCTCAAATTTATAATATTGCGTCCAATTCCGGCCGACCGAGAATGTCTCGAGCAAGTCCCTGCTCTTGCTGAACTCCACAGTCGTGCTGCCCAACGAGCCAGTGGCCGATAGTGAGAAGAACGGTGAATTTGGCGAAGCGACAACCTTTAGTCGGTTGGAGGAGGTTGCAGACGTAGCTGTCATTGAGGCAATCTCCAGAAACGCATCGTAGAGAAATTGAGCCTGCATAATAATCTTCACTTCCAACTCTTGCTTGTTAAATGGGATTTCATCGGCATTCTCCGGCTCGTAGGAGTTCAGATTGCACGTAGTAGTAACGCCAGATTCCTCAAGTATGATACGGAATGGTTCGCCAACGCCAACGTAAGAAAAGCGACAGACACCTGTCATGCCAAGAGTCTGGTTGCTGAAGGCAGTGATTCTGTGTGGGCGGATACTGGTGGCATACTTGTCAGACTCCGGTTTGGAGAAACGAGATGAAGCCTCGGAGGCACCGAAAATCTGAAGGGTCTCGAGCAGTGCCGTCAAAGATACTTGGAATGATGGGGGTTCGGCCGTATCGTTGCCGTCGGATGTGGGGGGGTTATATGTAAAGGATGTAAAGAGAGCTTTATCAAGAAATGCGGTTGCTGAAATTGTAAGTATAGGCCAACTGAGCATACTCCAGTGCTGTGCATACCTTGCATGACGCGGCCCTCCTCCACGGCAAATTGAATCCCTTCAGGGGAGATATGGATTTGAACCTTTGACGCAAAGCGAATACAGTTAAGAAGTTGGCAGAGTTGTCTAACAGATGTAGATACTGCGTTGAATATTGGGACAGGGTCCTCGGTCTCTATTATGGCCGACATGGTGAATTCTCATACCACGGAAAGCCGCGAAGGAGTCAAAAGAGGTATCTTGATTCGCTAATCATACACTGCCCATAGATCTTCTCTTCAAATGCCCTTAAGTCGTGGAGGGCATGCTATTATACATAGGCAAGGGATCGACGGGGGGGTATATTCGATGACTTTGTCTCTTGTGCTTTCACTTCGCAAGCCAATTGATAAATTCTTGAGCACGATGAGTCGCAGTCGGCTCTGGCCTTCCTTATTCACGCTCTTCCCACCCAATGGCAACACCGAGCGAATCTAAACGTAGACCCCAACTGCACAGATCATATACACTGCACCGAAGCCGATCGCGAGGGCAGCCGGGACGCCGACAAGTGGGAGGTTTGTGACTGAACGATCTAAGTATGGATAAGTAAATGACAGATATTTCTGGGTGTATTGGGGATCCCTACTCAAACCAAAATATCCGCTCAGTAATATGCCCAAAGCAAGCAACGAGAAACCGAGTGAGAACTGGCTGTCCTTGCTGATTGACGGGGCAAACTGATTGCCTACAGCACCTTCCCAGACTTCACGAAGCGATGATTGAGGCATATGAGGTTTGCCGATAAGGGATTGAAGCTTGTTGGGTTGAATTTAACGTTGGCCTTCGTAGGAGCAGGGCTGTGGAATTAAATCGACAGGTGCATTCGAAAGCCTGGCTGATGAAGGGTATGCGACGTTGATGTGAAGCTCCGAAGACACATGTACTACTTTACAGTGGGTATGGTACAATCATTATGTACCTATTGACGCTTATCTACTTTGGATTTAGCGGAAGAACCGCATCGGCCTCGCCACGACCAGGACTGATCGGCGATAACAGTCGCGACGACGGCAATATCAAAGACAACAAGTTACAAGTTCCTTTGTGGCATGAGTAGCAACATAGTCGCACTTTCACAATGGCGCCTATGAAGGATGACAGTCAGTATTTTCTCTAATCCTACCAAGCACCCACAAGTTAACGATGTGTACTTCAGATTCTAAGCGGAAAGCTGTTGACGACCCCACAACCCCGTCGGCGAACAAGAGAGTGAAGAGCTCGCACAGTGATTCTCCAGAGCCAAAGAAGATACCAGCACTGCCAGCGCATCCAGTGCCCTTCCCTGAGAAGGTGAGCCTTTCCTCCCCCCTCAGATCAATGGACGACTCGAATGGAACATACTTGCCACCATGTTGTATATGCGCTGGACCCCGAAGCTAACATCTCGAAGCCTGCAGTGATCGAAGAGCGAAATGGCGAAATTGAGTTCCGAGTGGTCAATAACGACAACCTCCGCGAAAGCCTGATAATACTCACTGGCCTAAAATGTATCTTCCAAAAGCAACTCCCCAAAATGCCAAAGGACTATATTGCACGGCTGGTGTACGATCGAACGCACTTGTCGATGGCGATAGTGAAGAAACCATTGGAAGTTGTTGGGGGGATCACATACCGGCCGTTCAAAGGCAGACAATTTGCCGAAATCGTATTCTGCGCGATTTCATCCGACCAGCAAGTTAAGGGCTACGGCGCGCATCTCATGTCACATCTAAAAGACTATGTCAAAGCTACCTCGGACGTTATGCATTTCCTGACATACGCCGACAACTACGCTATCGGCTACTTCAAAAAACAAGGTTTCACCAAGGAAATTACTCTCGAGAAGCCTCGGTGGATGGGATACATCAAAGATTACGAAGGAGGAACGATCATGCAGTGCACGATGCTACCCAAAATCCGATACTTGGAGATGGGTCGCATGCTCTTGAAGCAGAAGGAAGCAGTACACGCCAAGATCCGGGCATTCAGCAAATCACACAAGGTCCACTCGCCACCTAAGCAATGGAAGAATGGACCGTGTAAGATCGATCCAATGCAAATCGAAGCCATCCGGGCATCTGGCTGGTCAGCTGATATGGATGAACTTGCCCGGCAACCGCGCCACGGCCCCAATTATAGCCAATTACTGCATCTGCTTAACGACATGCAAAACCACGCATCTGCATGGCCATTCTTGCACCCGGTCAGCCGAGAGGATGTGGCGGACTACTACGAAGTCATCAAGGAGCCCATGGACCTTTCTACCATGGAAACGAAGTTGGAAGCAGATAACTATGCTACTCCGGAAGATTTCATCAAGGATGCGAAGTTGGTGTTTGATAACTGCCGGAAGTACAATAACGAGACGACGCCGTATGCGAAGTCGGCCAACAAATTGGAGAAGTTTATGTGGCAGCAGATCAAGGCGATACCGGAATGGTCTCATCTTGAACAGTAGACGATTTCTACTTTCTGATATGATACCCTTTACTGCACGTGGTGGTGTGGTAATATTACGAATTGGATGGCGTTTAGGGGGGACACGGACTGGTCGGTCGATATGGTTGGGTTTGCGACAAATGCATCGCAGGTTTTCAGGAATAGATATGCCTTTGCCTATCAAATACGTCTTATGTCAATACAGTGGTCTTCATGTGCTCTTCCACCTCTGCGGCCTCCAAGACATCTCCGCCGTCAACCCATACCTTTGCCAGCTCCTTCTCAATCTCTGCGTGCCTGTCCTTCCACTCTTGGACTTTGCCAATGTGCTCTCTGAGCTCTTGGAGCTCCCTCTCCACGTTCATCTTCTCCTTTTCTGTTCCGATACGCTCATATTCCCATTCATCCCCATTCTCTCCGAGGCCAAGGGTGAGGTTAAACGTGTGATATTTCTTCAGCGATGCTCTCGTCGAGATTGTAATTAAAGCTATACAAGTTAGTGAAATGAGGTTGGTAAATATGCGGTGAGACTCACTGATTCCCTTATCCTTGGCTGTCTCGTAGAGGATGCCTTCAACATCGTTCGAGACAGCGCTGGTGCCTTCGTCAATAAAGGCGTATCGGGGCTCGTGATACAGCAATCGTGCGATCGCCATCCGTTGCTTCTCTCCACCGCTAAGCACATCTTTCCACTCCTTGCGAGTATCCCAGCCACCCTCGCGCTCTGGGAGATATCCCAGATGTGCCTCTTCCAGAATACGCTGGAGCTCACTATCCCTGCGGCCACGGTCCCTCATTTCGAACTCCCCATCAGGGTATATCACTTGGTCCCTAAGAGTCCCAACGCTTAGATAAGGGCGCTGTGGTAAGAACATGATCCCATCAGTGCCAACACTGCGAGGCTTGCTCGCAAGGCCTCTGTATACAGGCCACAGCCCAGCTACGATCCTCGAGATGGCACTCTTTCCAACGCCATTTGCACCGGAGATCAGGAGATGCTCCCCAGAATGCACGATGATCGACAGAGAGTCGACCAGCTCATCGCCTCCATTGGGGAACAGCGACGGAGCTACTACCGGAACGTTTTCCAGTCGTACTCCATCATAGCCCTTCTGGGTAGTGCCTTGAACGTCTGAAACGGAGTATAACTCCGCGCTAGTCCCACGTTGTGGATAATATGCATTCGCCTCGACTCGGTGTAGCGTTGATATCAAGGTGTATACTCGAGAGGTATACCCTGCGAGTTCAGATAGATCCTTAATGGAATACATCATCCGTCCGCCCGCATCGGCAAGCGAGAGCATCAGGCGTTTGTTGGTGATAAAATCCTTCATTCGCCCTTGTTCTCTACCTCCCTTGACCGTAGATTCGATAAGCTCTGCAGCGCCTCCGATTCCGCCCCAGGTGGGTAGGAAGATGGGGAGGGCCGTGAGAAGATAGCCGTAAGCGCTCCAACTATATTTCAAGACAAAGTCTTCTAAAATGTTGTACCTGATCTTCAGGGTAAAAATGAGCTCCATCCACTTCTTCAGCGACACAAACTCCTTGTTTAAGAAGGCCTTCTCCATGTCCGCTCCTCCGTAAAAGGCAACTTCCTCGGCATTGGCAATAAGTCGGGCGTGAAGCCCTCTGAAGTCGCCCTCCTTGCGGCCTTCTATGGCCTTCAATTTTCCGAAATTCGGCGATAGCTTTCGTAGAATTGTGGCAGTCAATATGTAATTGCTGAGAAGGCCGCTCAAGGCTAGAGGCCCAAGTGAACAATACAGTTGGTAATTGAACACACATAGATCAACAAAAGGTTTCCCTAATGAGGAATATAGCTTGGCAGCAGACGTGCAGAATAGTGTCAGGTCTTGGGTAATGAATTGATCGGCGCTCTGGCCTACACCGCCGTCCAAGTTGGAGAGTTTATAATAGTTCAGGTTGTCGTTCAAATAAAGATCGTGTATGTATCTTGTAAGTCGTGTTCGGAAAGCTATGGAAACCTTGGATTGCATGAATTTAATCATGGCATTTGTGTAAGAGGCTACCGCTCCAATGCCACACCACTAAGATATGTCAGTTATTTTGCATGTCATTTGAAGGTACGCGCATGCGCGTCATACATACCTTGATAATGCCCAAGGCAAAAGACTTCCCGTGGCCTGCAACAAGATCTCGGACAATTTCTCCATCAAGTCTTGCGATTACCAAAGACAGGTACGTGCGAAGAAGTAGGAAAACGCCGTGGCTTAGCAAGAGGCCCGTCTCCTTACTACGCCACCTGGGTATCATAATGCTCAAAAGGCTCAGGAACTGGTGAAGAAATGCTAGGTTAAGACCGGGCTTTGCCTGAAGATGTGGCGTAGGCTGGCCATCTACCATTCCAGAGGCGCGCGGTGGATTAAGGAATAGCCGGCGATGAGCGTCGAAGGTCGTAGGCTTTGTCGGGTGAATTGTAACCTTTGATGTCGCGTCCCCATAGGGTACGACAAGTGTCCTTGACCCATCTTTGTTTTTGAGCCCGGAATTACTTCGTAGCAAGCGTCGGCCCTCCTCCTTCTCGGAGGCCTTCTTCTTCCACCATCGCCGTCCTCCGGCTCCACTGGCAATAATTGACAGGAGGAGCGCAAGTGTAGCCAGCAGGCGCGTAGATCGGGAAGTTGCCTTATATTTTCCGATGAACAGCTTCGTATAATAGGCGTGCAGGCGTTTGAGAGGCTCGACCCCCCTCAGTGTAGATTGTACAGCCATGTTTGCACTCAAAGGTGTTAAAACCAAGGCGGGTTGTTCTCAGCAATGCCCTTCAATTGGACCCATGATATTCTATCCGGGCCGTTTATGAATCACAGCAGATAGAAGCTTAACAACAAAGCCACCTCTCTCTTATTCACATTATCTTCCCGCTGGCTTCTGGCGACAGGCAGCTGTAGATGTGCGCGTAGATTGTTGATTGGGATTCGGAGACGTGTAGTTGAAGGCGTTGTAACCGGAGTTGGCGCTGTGCCCGGACGATCCATCATCGATCGACATGTGAAAGGTCGCTAAGGCTCCAAGGCTATGCGGTCATATTTCAGTTTCTAGTGCAGTAGCAAAAGGCCAAAAGGCCAAAAGGCCAAAAGGGGTAATTGTCTTTTCCCCCGTATGATTGTCCAACGCCCGGTTTGTCTTGGTCGCTGTCCTCCTCGATGGCTAAACCATACTACATAGTAGTATAGTCGTCGTCTCAGTATCAACACACAACGTCCCACTGTCCTGTGGAACAGACCCATGATGCCCATAATAGTCGTCGTCTCAGTATCAACACACAACGTCCCACTGTTCTGTGGAACGAGACCCATGATGCCCATAATTGAGGGCAAATAGCCGCCGGGTAAATAGGTCGTCGATGCTTAGACTCGTTGGGGCTCCAGTTGGCTCTTTGGCCTTGTTGACCCCCCCACCTATAGCATCCTCAAACCCTCCTTCCGTCACTTTGCCAGTGACTAAACCCAGCTGTACACTGGATGCTGCCTGTCCAAATCCTCGGATTTTCTTGCGCATGTGTGGTCTTGTCTTCGTAATTGATTGGGATATAAGCTTGGAGACATCGCCTGGTCCCCATTTTGCCCTTCCTGATAAAAACAGCCGTTGAAATAGCCGGCTTGCCCCATAGTGCTATGAGTATACCACTTATATATACCACCTGCGCCCCTCCCCTCCCACAGAACCGACATTCTGAGCGGCTTGATCCTGAGTAGAGCGCCTTTTGCTATTATTTTTATACCCTTCCAAACAATCTATAACTGAGTTTCGCAAAGATGCCTGTCCCAAACATCAAGCTCAACAATGGCTTTGAGATGCCACAAGTAGGCCTCGGCCTGTGGAAGGTTGGCAACGATACTTGCGCCGATACCGTCTACAACGCCATCAAGACTGGTTACCGTCTGTTCGATGGAGCTTGTGGTGTGGCCCCCCATTCCGCCATTTTGGTTTGCGACAAGACGTGCTAAGCCGCCTTATAGATTACGGAAATGAGGTTGAGGCTGGCCAGGGTGTTGCCCGTGCCATCAAGGAGGGTCTGGTGAAGCGCGAGGACCTCTTTATCGTCTCCAAGCTGTGGAACAGCTTCCACGACAAGGAGCAGGTCGAGCCAATTGCCCGCAAGCAGCTCGCTGACTGGGGTATTGAGTACTTCGATCTCTTCTACATCCACTTCCCAATCGCCCTCAAATACGTTGACCCCAAGGTCCGCTACCCCCCAGGATGGGCTTTCGACGGAAAAGAGGATTACCAACTCAGCAATGCGTCCATCCAAGAGACATGGACCGCGATGGAGTCGTTAGTTGATCAGAAGCTCGCAAAGAGCATCGGAATTTCCAACTTCCAGGGCGCTCTTATCCTCGACCTTCTCAGATACGCCAAGATCCGCCCGGCTGTCCTCCAGATCGAGCACCACCCATACCTTGTCCAGGAGACCCTCGTCAAGCTGGCTAAGGAGCAGGGCCTTGCCGTTACCGCCTACTCCACCTTTGGCCCATCTTCCTTCCTCGAGCTCGGCTGGCAAAAGACCGCCGATACCCCTCTTCTGTTCGAGCACCCTACCATCACCACCATTGCGAAGAAGCACGAGAAGACACCTGCCCAGATTATCCTGAGATGGGTCACACAGAGGGGATTGGCTGTTATCCCTAAGAGCAACACCCAGAGCAGACTGGAGCAAAACTTAAATGTTACCGACTTCAACCTCGAGCAGTCCGAGATTGATGAGATCTCTGGCTTAAACAAGAACCTCAGGTTTAACAACCCAAGTGATGTATGTGCATCTATTCACCCTACAAGTAAAGTAGCTGACACGGCAATTTTAGTACCTCGGCACTCTTCATATTTTCGCGTAGATGGGAATGTAGACAGGATTTATCAACAATACATATTATCAAATTTTATCTCTTTGGCAGCTATGGTCCTTCCTGATGCCCACAGTCTTCTGTTGGGCGCTCTGTGACTGTTGATACCCTCGCCTTGAATGTATCAGAACGCACCGTATGAAACGATCGCATTATCGTCATGAGGAGCTGACACTTCAGTGTTTGACTGAAGTCTCCTTTACCAATACATAGTGGCATGTTCTGGTCTTCAAATCATACACTTCTTGAAGTCCCATTCCCCGTAGTTCAGGCTCTGCTGCGGCTCAACCTGCAAAAGCCACAAATACGTCCTTCATCATCCTCAGCTTGGAACGAAGCCAAATGCAGCGTGTCTGTGCTTGATGTTGTGGTCCTAGCACATGATATGCAAGTCCCTATGTTACTCTCACAAATGCTACGCAAATGTTAGCCATGGTGCTGCCGTGCTGTGCTGTTTGGTCTTGGGATACTTACTAGCGTCAATCTGTTGTATCTGTGGTAAAGCCAGTCGAACTTTGTTCCTGTACAATGCTGGTTGCCTCAGCTGCACGGGGTTGCCCTCAAAATATACTGTGGTCAGCTGTTTCTTATCAGCTAGTTCCTTCTCCACGTCCACAAAGCTATCAATCTTATTGTAGCTTGCCCAGAGTTCCTCGAGCTGCTCCAAATGCCCCAGGCCAGCCAGGCTGGCAACAGTGTTGTTGCTGATGTCGAGCACTCTTAGTTTATGGTTTTTCTCCAGGCCGGTGAGGGAGCTCAGAGCATTGTTGGAAATGTATAGTTCTTCCAGGGTTTGTAGATCTTCGAGGCTAGATATCTCGCGGATTCTGTTTGACTGGATGCTGAGAATCTTCAACGAAGACAACGACGACAGGCCCTTGATCTCAGTGATCTTGTTCTTCCCAAGCCACAACTCCTCCAGGCCAGTGAGTGTATCGAGGTTCTGAATTCCTCGTATTCTGTTCGCAGCAAGCTCGAGATTTCGTAGCTGTGTCAGTCCATCGAGGCCCTCAATCGTACTGATCTTGTTCTGCACGAAGTATAAATCCGTTAATTTCGTCAAGTGGTTTACACGTTTGATATGCTTGATCTTGTTGAAGCTCAAGTCCAAGCTGGTGAGGTTGGTCAAGTCTTCCAGGCCCTTGATGTGTGATATTAAATTATCATAAAAGTCCAGGTCCCTCAGAGTTTCCGCAAGGCTTGAGAGCCCTTCGATTTCCGTGATAGCATTTTGTCGCAGGCAAAGGCGAACAAGCTTCGTGAATCTATCGAGGTTGAGAGAGGGGACCGAGGCGACTCGTGAATGTATGCAATCGATTTCCTCGACATCAGATGGCTCGTCTAGAAGGAGATCTGTAGATACCCGGTTAGTATGTTTGTCTGTGTGGGCGACCAGAGGGGAGTTTGTGGTCTCATCTCACATACCCTCATCAGGACCGATCTGCTCTCCCCGTAGGATGTTCTCTTCGTCAGAATACTCTGGGTCGGAAATAGCTTCTGGATTTGTCATAACCGGACGCCTTTCAACGCGTAGCTTCCCATCCCATCCTTTGCTGTCCCTCGGAGACTTGGGGTGTTGGTCGTCGCTCTGGGGAGCTTGAGGAGGGGTACCTCCCTCAGTTATTCCCACCATTATCGCGGATGGCGCGGGGATGATTGAAGCCAAGGATCGACGGGTCAGGTTAGGTGGCAGGAGTTTGCGACGATGCACACGTTAGATGTATGACGAGTCAGATTCTTGTCGTGATATGGTATGTAGCTCGGTGAATGAAAGAGCAATAGTGCCTTACTTTAAGGCTCTGGAGGTGGTTTTACTTTCGTTTGGCTGTGTACCGTACAATTAATTCCCTACAACGCCTTGTTACTCAGCTACACTTTGTGCTTCCTGTCTACTCTTTCCTTTTCCTTGCTCGACTCCATCTTTTATATTCTTACCATTTCCTTCAGGGCCTCATTTCTGGCGCAACGCCATTTATCTTACCTGCATACTGTACGGTGACTTTCTGTCGCACTGTCACATTCTCGGACCACACTGACCCTCCCATCCTTGTCAATTGCGAGATTCTGTTGACTCACGGGATCAGGCGTTTGGTTCGCGTAAAGTGGTTGCAGCCAATTCAGGCAAGACGCGTTATCCGGCTCCACGCCGCGTCTCCCCATTGTTTCCTATAGTAACCTTGGCTGTTTTCCCCTGAATGAGCATATATACTTGCTCTTCTCCCCCTTCTGTCTTCCATCTCCTGTACTATATTTCGACTTCGTCTATAGAATATTGGCAATATTGACCATATTCGCGTGTTCCATCAAAATTAAAACCACATCCACTCTCTGAAGGCGTTTGAATAACTGGATTCTTATCGACTGTGCTTCGACTCGGTCGCTAGGCTACCAACCCGACCGAGACAGCAGTCATAAACCAGAGCCATGTTCACTCGCCGACCGAGTCAGTCCAAGACAGAAAGCTTCTCAAAGAAAGCCGGTCGATCGAAGGGCTCGTTTCGAGAACACGCTGTTTCGAAGACTCGCCATGAAAAGTCGAGGAGGCCTGCTGCAGAAGAGAGAGAGAACCCACGCCTTTCAAGGTAAGCAGCATCCCATCAATTCCATCTCATTTCGTAGCTCATTCCATCAAAGCACAATAACCTCCCCGATAATCACGTTGATCGTGGGTCGAGAGCAACGGATTTTTGCCGCTCACGAAGATGTCTTGAGCCTGTCGCCATTCTTTCAACAAGCCTGCCGAGGCCAGTTCATGGAGGCTCAAAGCAAACGAATTACATTACCCGATGAAGAACCCGAGATTTTCTCGTCGGTTCTCGAATATCTATACAAAGGGGATTATTATCCCCGACTTGCGTTCAACAAACGCAAGAATACCTGGGAGCTCGAGCAAAGCCAGGAGGTTGGAGCCCCAGCGATGGAATCAACAGTGTACCACCATGGAATAGAAGGTGAGGTTTTAAAGGATACCGTTATATACTGCACGGCGGAGAAGTATGGACTTGAAGAGTTGAAGAAGGTGGCTCTGCGCAAGCAAGGCCTCCAGTCGGGTATTCAGTGCAGTACCATCCTCGCATCGGCACGTTATGCCTATGCCAACACTCCGGATACGGACTCAAAGCTACGAGCCCATTATCTGGCATTAATTATTAGAAGCCGTGGAACGTTCAAGCGAAGCGGAACGATGCAACTCGAGATGCATACGGGAGGTAGCCAGCTGTTCTTCGATCTCTTCGTTGCTCTTTGCAACCATGTCGACGACGTGGCTAGCGCTGCGTAAGTTTCTCTTGCCAAGTATGTCACTCACCCGCATATCTAACGTCAGTGTATAGGAACTCGCCACGCAGTGTTCGACGCATGTAGACAACATCTCTTGGGCGTTACGGATTTCAGATTTCTTCATTTCTCGACTTTCATTAACCGATTTTGTGGCAAAAAGCATGTCCTGATAGTTTTATGGGGCGTTTTGGGAAAGTGTACAAATTCTCTTCTTACTTGCTTGAGGCTTGGTGCCTCGCGATACCTTTGAGACGGGGATTGGAGTGGTGATGGTGTCACGTCATTGTTGACAGTGTTTGGGCATTGTTGTGCTGATGATAACTGTGCTTGTGAAAATGATAGTTGCAGCTGTGGAAGAGACATCTCCTGTTTTGAGTAAGAGACAATCCAAATTGAATGTATTATTATTTATGACTCAACGTTTGGAAGCGTTAAGAGTTGGCCATGAGGACTAAACCTTTGGCATAGATAGATACACAGTCGTTGTTTAGTGACAGTGCCTTTTCATACGTGCTGGGCTCGGTTGAAGGCAACATGTGATATTGAACTCTTCTCCACTATTCTCGTGTGCTTCTTTGAGTACCGCTACGGTAAAATATTTCCTGCTGCAAATGATGATTCCATTAGTATATTCCATGCAGTCTACGGCCTAAAATGTTTATGGGATGCATGTTTTAGCCATTAACACTCAACCCGGAGATACCAAGCGACACTATATGATACCTGCTTAATGCATTATTGACCATCATTATCTGCAACTGTGCCAGCATCCCAGTATACAAAGCAGCTAATCATCTTCCCGTGGCATTCGTCGGTAGCAAAGCCATTTATTGGCACATGTGCCAGCACACCCCGGGTTTATTTCAGGAGTCCATAAGTAGAACCAATCCAGTTCTATCCCGCGGACAACGTGTTGGCGCAGGACATCGCCCATTTCTCTATTCTGTCTCTTGGGACCAATTCTTTGTAACCACTTCATATGCCTGTTCCTGGAAACGCGCCGCCTTTGCTCAAAACGACGATTCCGCGCTCTCGGGCGATATATCCTTTCATGAGGTTCTATTGTAATAATGTTAGTAATTGCACTATTTGTGGAGTAGTGAAGGAAGACAAGTGATGGGCCTGGGTTGGAAAGTCTACAAGTAGATGTCCCAAAAGGCTCCGACGCCCGGCACATCATTCGGTTGAAACACTGACCTTGTATATAATATTTGCCAGTAAACATTCGACTTCATCGTCATCTAGCTTCTCCTTGTTTCCGATACTGATCGCTGCGCTGAATTCTGCGACAGTAACTCGAGTCCGCCTCACCGGCACAGAGCTTTCGTCGTTGGGTTCTTCAAACCCACCCGCTATGAATACATTCCGCAAGAGGTTTCGCAGTGCAATATCCCTACCTCGTTCTAGAGTTAGGTAAATACGACGCTTGACAAACTCGTCTTCCCCTGCTGCAAGCGCATTATCAAATCCGGTCAAGTCCCCACGCTTGATGCATCGAGAAAGCGGTAAAAATAGTTTTTGGAGCCGTGGGTAAGGGGCGAGCAGTGTTTCGGTCGGGAGAGTGTGCGTAGTAAGAAGGTGGCAAGGTATGAGATATGTCAAAATAAGTCTTGTGAAAAGTCAGTAATCATATCATAAGCAACTGGTGAATTTCTCACTCCTTGTTCCGGGTGGATTGCTTGTGACACAATTCCCACGCTTGTGTCAGAAAAGCTTCTGCCTAAGATACTCGTCAGATATGCCCAAACATATAAGGAATGGGATCAAGTACCTGTTTGTAGTCTTCTTCTAGAAACTGAATGACGCCCATGTAATACTTAAACGTTACTTGATGGGATTTCGGGAAAGACTCGACATCCGGTATATCACCTCGGGAAGCCTGAAGAGCCCTGATGATGTTCTTGGACAATGCCACGGAGTTAAGTTTGAAGTAGGTCTTAAACAGGAGGTTGACGATATTGTATATGCCCCATTTGCGTGAATCTTCGAGAGGGGCCCTAATAAAGATTAGAAACCACCGGTGATAAATTTGGAGATGCTGTACCTATCGCTAACGCACAACTGGAACATTCGATTCAAGACTCGGGCCGCATCCTCGAGTTTTTCGTTCTTTCCGGTATCTGGATTGAAGTCATCTTGGAAGTCTATGGCCTTGTCCGTGTTACCGCCTGCAGCATCGGCTTTTATGGCAAATATCCGCAAGTATTTTCCACTGATGTAGAGGCACGGAATGGTCCATGCTTCAAAACATCCAGTACTATATCCGCGAATGATCGCGTTCGTCATCTCCTTCCAAGTCTCATAGACAGCGACCCAGTTGACCTGTCAAAGGTCAGTTAATGAAACATATAGGCCGTGGTAGCTATGAATGCGGCCTTGCAGAATCAATTCCGCAGCGTGTATGGAGTATCGTGACGGACAACATAGGCACGCTTTGCCTGCTTTAAAAGGAAATTTGAGACCAGGAAATGCGGAAATATTTCTGACCGGTGAATTGGTTTTCTGGGCATCTTCGGCCTTTATGATCTCACCAACAGCTGTCCAATAAGCGGTATAGACATCGACCCATGCCTTTCCTTCCTCGGTGGAAAGTCTGAGAGTAGACTGTCTATCATACAACACATTGTATTGGATGTCACCTTTGACATTCGCGGCATTGGTGCTGTTGAAGAAACTACGCAAGCGCCCGGGTTCTTCAGAGGGTGAAATTGATAGGAGGGTATCAGACAGCTGGTATCCGTTACCAGCAATGTGGGCCTCTCGGAAGTTTTTGAAAATAGACTCCATTTCAATCGGTGTTTATTGTCATCTGGGTGTTTTGTCTGAACCACACTCAGATTTGCACGACAGGGACCAAAGCCCAGTATGTCTCCCAACTAGGGAAGTTGTGTCGATTGGTTGTGAAGATGCGACATAAACAATGGATTTCAAAACAGAAGTGTTCAGAAGTTGGCACCCAATCTATCTGGTTTCGTCTTTGGCTTCCCGAACAGCCACGAGAAATAGCAGGCGAAGGTGTAATGTAAGATGGTTCAGTCAACCCAGGAGGTCAATGTGAACAAAGTGGGATGCCGCTTCGAATGCAAACAGTCAGTCAATATCACGTGCCGTAAACCGTGCCAAGCCGTCGCCCCTCACAGCGTCAGTGGTCGGTCGTCAAAACGGTTAATCCTGACAAAACTAAAGCCTATATACTGTAAAGTAACCTCGTCGCAGTTATCTTTTCATCCCAGTGCTGGCGTCTGACAGCATCAAAAACAGGGACCACCTCCCGTTGAAGGCACTAATAAGGTTCACAATATTATTCGCTCAAGGGTCAAGGGCTACCACTTCTTGCGGCTAATTTCGCGCCTGTCGCTTGTAGCCTGTTTCGCTTGTGCTGTGCACATCACGTGGAGAATATTCGCTTAATCCTCCCACAAACCTTTTCGAGCATTTCCGAACAACCAACATAACGACAACAATCTCGGCCAGCACTTCAAGGTCAGTTTCCAGGCATATCCAGAGTCCATAATCAGAGAATTTTGCGCTGACAGACTTACAGATGGGTAAGCAACGATTTTCATTCCCCAATTCCACTACAAAGGACACCATCGGACAAACAACACTCGACGACAAATTCTTGACATGGCGCACAATTTGAGCAACAAGAGCGGGAATCAAGGCCAGGCATGAACGAGAGTTCTATGAAAAGATCCTAGGAATTGTTGGATGCCCACTGGATATTGTTGCGAAATTACTTGCGGATTGAAGCAGAATCTACAACGTCTGCTCATGGACGACCGTCGACATTCGCAGCGCCCAATACGTGAGTGTTCACGGGTTGGCCTGTGTTTTCCAGGAACAGCGCCAATCGCCATGTCAAGAATGGAGTTGTCGATGCCACCGAGTCGCCAAGAACGTTGCTCAGCAAAAGTACCAGGCTAACTAGATTTCAATACAGGTCGCCTCACAGAATACCAGGTCATCGGCCGCCATCTGCCCACCGAGGCAAACCCAGCGCCAAAGCTGTACCGCATGCGCATATTTGCGCCTAACACTGTGGTCGCCAAGTCCCGCTTCTGGTACTTCTTGATGAAGCTCCGCAAGGTCAAGAAGGCCAACGGTGAGATCGTCAGCTTGAACGTGGTATGTTCAACTCGTTTGCATGAGATATTCCATATAATTAACCCAAAATTGTAGATCCACGAGAAGCGCCCTCTCAAGGTCAAGAACTTCGGTATCTGGATCCGTTACGATTCTCGTTCCGGCACCCACAACATGTACAAGGAGTACCGTGAGATGTCGAGAACAGATGCTGTTGAGGCTCTCTACCAGGATATGGCTGCGAGGCACAGATCTCGTTTCCGCTCCATTCACGTAAGTCCCCGATGATACTAGATTTTGCCCAGTCATACTCACGGAATTTGTGTAGATTCTCAAGGTCATTGAGCTTGAGAAGACCGACGACGTCAAGCGCCCTTACATCAAGCAACTTCTCACCAAGGACCTCAAATTCCCTCTTCCTCACCGTGTTTCCAAGGCCGCTGGCACCAAGCTGTTCACCAGCAAGCGACCATCCACTTTCTACTAAAGGAGCAATACTGGAAGGAGGGCTGGATCGGGATAGATTGAGATGGTCTTTTAATGCAAACCAGTTGTCATTCTAGCTTTCGCGTTAAATACAGATCTCGAGGCTCGATCCACGATGGGACAATGAAACATTTGAAAGTAGTTCGGTCGTATATAATGATAGTGATGTCCAACCCATATGTGGTTATGAAAGTGATGTTCAACTCATATTTCGCTGTGTTAAAAGAGATGTCCTCGCGTTTCTACGTGCTTCACTTGAAACTATGAACAATATCTCTGGCAATAAATGCATTATACTGTAGCCCCTCTGTTTGTGCCAAGTAATGCAGTAGTATGTCAGAAGGTGAATTGGCACTGCAGCCAGCCATTGATGTCGATGGTGCACTTCAGTGTAAAACCTCGAACCCACGTGATTACGAAGATAGCAAACTGTGATTTCTGAGCGCGAACCAAACGGCCTATACTTATGCCGTGGTCCCGAAGCTATTCTACGTAGAAAACTACACTAATCCATTCCAGGTTTCAGGATGTCGTTGCCTGATTCTTGGGGCTAGAATCACAAAACAACCACTCAAGCTATCGTCCGAGAGATTGAATTGCAAAGTGATGAAATTGCTGCTCGCTATTTGACAACTAGCGTATTACCCATAGTCCCTTAATTGACCTGGCTTCTCAGCTACAATCCTTATCAACAGCCTCACTACGACGCCACCCGTGGATATCTAATCCAGACGACTTGTTGGTACATGTAGGAAACTGACCTGCCATCTGCTCATCCCGGCATCATGGGTGTCTTGGAGCTCCTAGAAAAGAATCGAACCGAGGCACGAGAGCGTCGTATGGCCCTCATTGCGGCTGAAGATGCAGCCGCCGCCGCCGTGAAGAAAGAGTATAGCCCAACCCAAGCTGTTGAACCAAAGCAGGACTCGTTGCGGCAGATAAAACCCACATACTCGGGTTTAAAGCCCGCGAAAAGGAGGAAAATCACTGGTAAATTAATACTGCCCAATGGCTGTCCAAGTATTCCAGGTTAACAATGCGACAGGTCCGTTGAACGACAAGGTTTCCGAGTCCCCAGCCAGTACGAGCGTACTAGGCAGACTCTCCGCCTCGCCTGGTTTAGAGGACGCTGTATTGAACGTTAAAATCCCCGAGTCTTCAGCTAGTCTGGACGTGCTGGGCACACTTTCCACCCCGCCTGATTCCAAGGATGCTGTAAGATATGGCCCCGGCCGAAAGGCTCCCAGGAAGAAAGCAATTGCTTCATACACAAACAAGCAGGCGGTCGACACACGGATCCGGTCTTCCGAGTGGTACGAAAAAATAAATATGAGGGAGAAATACTCTCGTGGAGACTTGCAATCAGTGGCATATCTTCGTACACTGTGCCACAACTATGTTTCTGCTAGTCACGGCAGTGAGCGCGAGAAGGCAGCTACAGAGATCCGTACGAAACTTCACGAAATGGAGTTTTTTCAATGCATTAGCGGCATAATAATCAAGAAGTCAAGGATCTTGGAGGATGACGGATTACCCCGAATATTTGATAACCAAGATGGCGTCGACTTTCCCTTTGATCTGCGTGCGGATGCAAAGGCATTATATCTCCGCTGGATTGTAGGAGATCTTGATTCTCATCTCCTACGGGGTATAACGACTGAAAAGGGTCGGCTGGAAAGCGGTATGAAGCGTACCTCACACAGGCTTGACAAGAAATATTCATTGAAAAGGTCAGCAAATGTGGTCGGCGATAACTGTCTTGTCAATGGCCAATGGTGGCCAAACCGAATTTGTGCTCTCAGGGATGGCGCGCATGGGGAGCAGGAAGCTGGAATCCATGGGCAGGTCGGAAAAGGAACCTACTCGGTGGTTGTGGCGCAGGGTGGTTATGCCGACGAAGACAAAGAAATGGTATGTTTCTCCGTCTACTAGTCCTTCAATTCCTATTTAAGTCATACCCATTTTCAATTCCTGTCTGAATTATACCCATCTTCATTTCCTATAGGAGCTATTCCTATCTTTCAGTTTCTTTACGAGTCATACCTACCTTCGATTCCCACAGGAGTCATACCTGATACTAAATACTAACATCCATACTCTAGGCTATTGAATACTGTGGCACACAAAGCGAAAATTCGATTCCAACGAAGAACACCAAGCTTCTGCTGGAATCCTACGAATCAGAACAGCCTCTTCGAGTCCTCCGAGCAGAAAATAAGAGCTCCAAATTTGCACCGAAGAAGGGGATACGATATGATGGACTCTACACTGTCGTGGAATATACCATTCTGGACGCGGGCACTGCTATGTATCGATTCTCCCTTCGTCGCTGCAAAGACCAAGATCCAATACGTTACAGAGGCCCAGAGGCCAGGCCAACAGACCAAGAACTCAAACAATATGCCCTCATTCGAGAAAGTCTGGGAATCGCGTAGGAATGTTTTCTGATGTTACAGTGCGATTGAGTCCTTTCAGAATATGCTATTACGGGCCGTACGTTATGGCTCGAGAGTGCCTAATACCGACGGGTTGTATTATTATATACTAATTTGCTCTGCTGCGTGGGTTTCTGCTGATGACGGAGTGTATGATACCAAGGGATTCTCTTTTATACCAACCAGCTATGCCGCATGGAATTCTCTTATTATTCATGGAATGCTTAAATAGACTATGCAATGAACGCGAGAGCTTTATTACTCCATATTTGTTGTCTTTGTGAGGCTGGAAAGTATGACGAGTATGTTGTTCTCTTGGTAATTATGCCAGAAGCTCATGGCTATTGAGAGCTGCCCACTCCCCTATTTGGCGTTGTTAATCTATCCACATTTGATGTTCCTTGCTGTAGCCGATCACCTCGGGCTCGACATTCAGCGACCTCAGCATCATTGACATCGTGAACTCCTAAAAGCGAATTGTTACTCATATCCACCACTATCACTGCCATTGAGACTTACATGGTCATTCAAATCCTCAGCATCATCACCCCCCCCACGTGCCTTCCTCTCATTCTGCGTCTCCAGCTCGATGTCGGCCCCTGCATCTGTATCACTCCTTCCATCGCAGTCATCCATTTCACCACGGGAGTCTTGCTCGAACCCGGCATTAAACTCGTTTTGAAACTCCTGCTGTTTTTCCTGCATCTCCTTCCACGCCTGTGGACCTCCCATCCTGTAACGAATCATTACCCACTTCATTCATAACTTGACTTGTGAGCTTGGGATTTAGATTCCATCACATACCTGTTTATCTTGTCCTTGGCACTGCCAAAAAGCTCCTCTGCTGCTTGACGGCTGGCTGATTTCCATCGTTCTGTCAAGCGTAGAAGCTCGCTATCCACTTCCCCGCCACTTGATCCAGCCTCTGATGGACCATGCTCGATTTTGTAAGCTTGCTCACATAGGTGTAGCTCTTCTGTCAAGACGTGAAGTTTGTTCTTTAGTTGGCGCTGGGCCTTCACAAGTGCCGCAATCTCCAATTGGGTGTCTGAAGTGTCTGGGGATCTTGATGAAAGGCCGACGCCTTGTTGCCGCTTGTATGGGAAAGATGAAGGACCCCGTGCCTTAGGGGAGGCCGTTTGGTCAAGTTGTGTTCTGCCAAGGTCACTGGGCTGGCCCTGAGAATCTCCACTTGGCTTTCCTGGTGTGGCGCGAAACGGAGATCGAAAGGGTCTTGATAACGCAGCTGCAGTGGAGTCTGCACGGCGTCGCTTTGCGTCTTGAGCAGACATGCCGATAAGTACTGGGAAGTGTCCATAGATTTACTTTGTGGTGGAACTTTTTTTTTTATAGAGGTATCGAACAAACACGGGGAGATGCGCGAGCGAACCCCCGCTATAAACCATTTGTCTCGCTTCACTTCACAGTCATCTTTTACCACATACATAACAGTAACTTCTTGATTTAATATAGAATACAGTAATTGTGAATCCATCGACCAACTACAGGATGCAGAATAGAGCTTCAATAATCAAACAGCTAGAGCTCTTCCTTCTCTACCATCCTTAGTGGCCTACTCCTCCTGCGGCCCACTGTGCAAATGCAGGATCGCCGTTTCTAGGGAACACGCCCCCATCTGGTTGTGCTTGTTGTCCGCCAACAGGTTGATTCCCTTGACCATTCTGCCTATGAGCCAGCTGTCGCTGTTGCCGATAGTATATAAGCCAGACAAGAGCACCTGCCAACGCGATTATAATGAAACTCTCGACTATACCATCGTCAATGACATCATCATACATCCCATCATCAGCTCCATGTGTTGGATCATTGCGATGAAGCAGATCGTCTTCTTCATAATCCATGTATTGGAGGCGGTCATCTTCCATGAAATTGTTAATCCATTCGGAAAGGGACCACTGTTTCGAGGGCGCTAATGCTTGTTAACAGCAAATCATCAACACGCTAAAAAAAGCATTGGAACTTACCAGGTTCATATCGGATCGAGTTGACCCTTCCGTGAGTCAAAGTATTCCATGCGCTTCTCAAGCGAAGCTTCAATAAGCTGAGCGTAACTGGGAAGTATGCTTCATCGTTTGTTTCCAGTGCTTCGTCGTAGAATCGTTTTGCGAGATGAAAGTCCTGTATTAACCCGATGCCATTTTCGTGCATCCAGCCCAGATTGTAGAGAGCCTGAGCACTTTGATGAAATTCGGAAGCCGCAGTGTAACATGCAGCGGCTTTCTCCACGTCAGGCTCGGAGCCAATGCCATTAAGGTAATAGTCGCCCATCTTGACCATGGAGTCAATGTTATTTTGCTTTGCAGACCGGGTCCAGTAGACCAAAGCCAGGCCTGGGTTTTCAAGCAGTGTTGATCTCGGCTTGGAAATTGGGGAGAGGGTTGACAGTTTCAGAATGGAATTTTCCTGGTCGAGGAGATATGCCACATTCGCCTGGCCTCTCTCATACCCTTGTTCTGCCGTCATCATATAGTCAAGAAGAGCCAATTCTGGGTCGCCATTTGCGTAAGCTTCGTTTGCTTCGGCAAATGAAGAGAGTAGCGGCTCCGCCTTTTCACAAACGGTCTTGTAGTAAGCAGCCGCGAGGCCGCAAGAACGATCCCGGCCTATGCCAAAGTTCGCAATTTCAGCGAGGTAGTAGTAAGCTTCAATATTACCATATCTCGCCGCTAGTTCAAAGTAGCTTCTGGCAATTTGAACGTCCTCAGTCCGTCCCTGGTCCAAGTGCAACTTGCCAAGGTTAACTTGAGCTGGGGCGTAATCCTGCTCAGCAGCCGCTCTGAATAAATCCGCGGCCTTGGGTGCATCCTTGGAAACCTTCAAGCCATGAAGATACATCAAGCCTAGACCGTTTGCTGACCCTGCGTCCCCTCCAGTGATTCCTCGCCGGAACCAGTGTAGTGCCTTATCATAGTTTATATCGACGCCCTCTCCCCTCATATACATCCGGCCGAGATAGCCAGCGGCGTTGCATGCAAACTTCTCGATATCGGGCTTATCCGTAGTTTCCACTTTAGTCCCGTCTCGTTTCCAATATTGTCCGACGACAGCCTGGAAATATTTTCGTGCCGCCTTCATGTCGCGATTGAGGCCCTTCTGACCATTATAGTGTATGCGACCCAAACTGAATGTAGCCTTGAAGTCGCCCTTTCCAGACATCAAATCGAGATACTCGAGAACATCGTCTAACGCTGCATGGGCATCCAGGCCTCCTTCCCCGCGCTGCGAGTTCATGCCTGCACTGGACGCGCTCGCACCTTCGCCATAGACTCCTCCATCATAATCTGCTAGGCTGTAGGAGTCTGGTACCCAGGCCTTCCCCCCTGGTTCATCGGATCGATACCATGCGATTGCCTTGTCAGCCACTTTCTTATAATAAGTAACTGCTTCATCACAATTACGCGAGGTTCCGATTCCATTTTGATAGCGAAATGCAACCGTCATTTCCGATTTGCTATGGCCAGCCTGAGCCGCAAATGTATGATGTAGTAAGGCTTTGGCTGGATCCCGTCGTACAACTCCACCAACACCTGTTGCGTACATAAACCCAATCATATGTTGGGCCGAGCTATTGCCGGAGAGAGTCGCAAGCTGCGAATACCTCTGCAATGACTCTGTGAGGTTCTTCGGATAAGAGAAATTGCCGTAGAAGCTCATCTGCGCCAGAAGATATATGGCATCAGAATTGTTGTACTTCGCGGACTCTCTGAGTAAAGCCACGCCATCTGACAGGGGACCAGTCAGGGTCTGCCCGCCATCCTTCCCGTTAGCCCCTTGATCGGATGTCCCCTGGTCGGTTGGAGGCGCGCCGACATATAGTTGTGATATTAATTCGCCAAGGTAGTAAAGAGCGGTAGTAGGAAATCGGGATGTCTTGAGAGAAGAATATCGGCTGTTCCCTGTCTCTAATGGCTCCAAGAAGGACAATGCTTCTCCGACGAGACCTAAGAAGACGGTGATCAATAAATATTATCAAAGTAATTGAAGAGCTCGCACCTTGATAGTACTCCGTGCCATGCTCGCCGTGTTCGTTTTGGGGGGCTGAAAGACCAGTTGGGGCCGAATCGCTGTTCGAACTCAGGTCGTTGGCTTCGGCATGGACGTTTGTCGGTTGAGTATGAGCTGTAACATATATTACCTGTAAAAGTACTATATCTTGTCAGTGGGTGGCAGATACGGCTGCTCAACAGTTCCGACGTACATATGATGAACGGCATACGCCGTTGGCAGTATCCCTTCATGTTGCAAGCTCCCTGATGTAGCTTCTAATCATTCACCAAGGAGGTCATCCCGCAGTGCTGAACGACTCAAAATGCATCACAGCATGTAGATTCAGTTGTGTCATGCCAACAACTTCTATATTCGTGGCAATAATGAAGCATTCTGCCGAACTGCACCAGCCCACGATCTGTTCCAAGTCCAAGCTGTCATCATCTATAAGCCGCAATTGGGTTAACATTTATCCGGTACGGATCAGCGTCACAACACAACTACAACCTTCACATCCAACCCACATAACTAAAGCCTGCTCGAAATATACACTTGATGAGGGATGTAATATTGTAATACAAGGCCCTTTTTATTGAGTTACAAACTATGAACAATTCTTAGTTAAACAATTCACTTTACATGGGAGAATTGAGAATGGAAAATTCGAGGTGATAATTTAGCTACCCGTCGAACTTCCATGCCTTTATCTGCCCGTCCTCGCCACCAGTTATGATCATGCGAAACTATGCACCGTTAATTAATGTATTAAGCAGCTGGAAAGTATGACAAACCTCGTCTAAGAAGCAGAATGAGCGTACGACCTCCCCACCATGGCCACCAGATAACGTAACAGGTGACTCGGTCGAGATTGCCCAAGGGGGACTATTTTTAAGCTGCACAAGGCTAAAATTTGACTGGCTATATTGACTGGTCAGCATCTGGAAAGTATACGCCGCATGTTCCAAGAACCGGCAAGTCAATCAGTGGAAACAATGCCCGCAGCCTATTGCTTACCTGTGACTCCCAATGCCAACAACACCTCCATTGGGTCTACCAAACACACTTGCCACATATTCACATCCAAGGCTTTCTCGTAAATCGCCAAACTGAGTTGATGGTGGCTCTTCAACGCTGGCTTCTGTGTTTGTTATCATTGGATATATGGCAAATTTCTCATCATGCGACAATGCGAATATGTCAAGGTTATTGAGAAATCCTGCCTTGTGGATGGACGAGCCATGATTTAGTGTTTGGTGAAGAGCATCTTCCTCCTCAAGTATCGTCGTGTTGTACAGGTTAACAAGCCCATCCGTTGACCCTGACAACAGCATAGACGTCTCGGTGGGATGGTATTGAAGCTGCCAGGTACCATAGTCAGTCATAAGTAAAGCCTGGGTGTTTGGGCACCACGCGGATCGAAGATTACCTCTGTAACATCATCGTTGTGGCTTTCTGTGTATTGAAGCCTTGGGGCATTGAGGCTTCGGGTGTCCCTTCGTCCAGTAAGTAAAAAGCCATGCAGATATCTATCACATGACATGTACATACCATATAATAACCTCTGCTTGGCCATTGGTAAGTTCCGTGCCCGCTGCAACTGCATATGCATCTTTGCATGTTGCGAGAGACAATATGGGGGCGTTGTGTCCTGGTGGTCTTGTCAGTCATAGTTATGCGGGGAGTGGGTTTTGCAGATGATCGGCGGTCTCCCATCTTCTGATGAACTAGGAGGGCGTATAATGCAGAAAATATGCTGGGTTCGGTATCTGGAAAGCAGGGTATGAAACGGGGTTCGCGGATCTCCTGTTCGAGGTTGCCAGGTGGAATTATCGAAAGAAAGCACACAAGTCTTACCAGTCCCTATTTGAGCTACTCGCGACTGCTGTCGCAAGTCCAGAATCGTTACCTTGCCGTCTCTCCCTGCAGTGCACACAATGGAGCCTTGGTGATCGAGAGCCTCGAGGCACGTGACCTCCGGATTAAGTGTCGGTACGCTGTACACTGGTCCTTGTTGAAGATTTGATGGATCGAAGAGGCGCACTGTGTCGTCAGAGGAGATGGAGACGATGCCACCAGCGACGGGCACTATGTCGTAGACATAGGTGCCAGATGGTTGCTCAATGGCAAAAGAATCAGTGGCATCCAAGGTATACATATTTTGGTTGACCTTGAACTGCAACTGGCAAGAATTGTTTGTATGTCCATACAAACAATTCTTGTCTCTGGCGGCGAGCTGTGGCCATAGCTGAGGAGAGAGCAGATGGAGATAACGTGGGGTGGGGGTGGGACCCGGGGGGGGTGTGGCCTGGGTGGCCTGGGGGTGGTGGCCTGGGTGTGTGTGGCCTGGGGGGTGGCCTGGGGGGTGGCCTGAGTGTGTGTGGCCTGGGGGGTGGCCTGGGTGTGTGTGGCCTGGGGGGGTGGCCTGAGTGATGTGTGTGCTTTGTTTTGCCGTCGCCTCTCTGGGAGCTGCTACCCGCCGTACCGCCCGTACCTGTCATGAGCTTATACCCCACTCAGTCTACCCTAACTCTGGTACTGGTTATGGACTGGCTATGCTGTGGTTATGGACTGGCTATGCTCTGGCTATACTGGTTATGGACTGGCTATGCTGGTTATGGACTGGCTATGCTGGTTATGGACTGGCTATGCTGGCTATGGACTGGCTATGGGAGTGGTTATGGACCGGCTATGCTGGCTATGGACTGGCTATGTGGTTATGGAGTGGTTATGGACCGGCTATGCTGGCTATGGACTGGCTATGGCAAACTCCTTACACCTCATGTATTACGTATAATGGTGCGGTGCTCCGTATATACGGTGCTATACTCCGTACTCGCCTCGCACAGCTACTGAGACAACGTAGCCCCCCGTAGCCCCCTAGCCCCCGTAGCCCTCGTAGCCCTCGTAGCCCCCGTAGCCCCCGTAGCCCCCCCCGTAGCCCCCGTTAGTGCCCCCGTCTCCTGTCTCTCTTTCTCAACGGATAGGGGTCTCTAATAGGTCCAACACGCCCAATACGTCCAACATAGCCTAACATGGCTTAACACGCTCTAATACATTTGTATTAGAGCGTTTGTATTAGAGCGTGTTAAGCCATGTTAGGCTAATAGGATGGCTTCAAGGCAGATTATGTGTGATGTGACTGCTGCACTGACCACTCATGTCACTAATCAAACCCCAACGTCGCCAACCTGCTTTGCCTTCCTTCCAACCACCACCACCACCACCGAAATCCTATCAAAACTCAACCCCAGTACCTCAACTGCGCGCAACTGGGAGTTGTTGAGGACAAATATCATCAGCTGCGTCGCTCATTTATCCACCGTCCCTTGTCTTCGCCAATTGTCGCGACTCAACCCAAACCCGCGAGCTAATCTGCCGAGATCTCCACCCTCTCCTTATTACGCGCCCAGCCACATCCCGCCTCGGGTCAACCGAGCGACGAGTGCGGTGGTGAGCCTGGATCAAGACGAGGCATCAACAGCAATCACGGCGCATCACGGTAGGTCTATCGAGGCCTCAAGTCGCCCTCGATGAGTAATGAGGTCGCTCAGCCGGTTGAGCATGAATCCGTTCGCTCATCTACAGTAGAGCAGAAGAACGGTTACACATCGAAAGCTTCCACCACACCGAACCATTGTAAGCATCGCACCTCTCCTCCCTGCTTACGAGCATAAATCCATGTTGGCATCCAATTTATTGGGATTCATCGATGGTTGATCAACTGTGTTCACCAGGCTAACATCATCTCCACTTCAGTCGCCGACAGCCAACGAGACCAGACTTCAAACGAGCCCGACCTGACCTCCGTTCCAGTTGGAGACGAATCATCAGTCACAACAAGCGACACACTAAAGAGGAATCATACCCTCCTGCATGTGCTCTCGCGATCATCGTCGCACAAGATACAGCCTTCGCCGACAGCGACAGCCCTCAGTGGAGCCACAGCCAGCGATCCAACTAGCAGCATAGGGGGAGGTTCACGGAAATCCAACTCCAGCATCATCGGCGAGAAGCGCAACGGCAGTTTATCGAGCAGTAAGAGATCGACACCTGCAGCTGCTGAAAGCACACCGGCGACAGTTAATGCTACATCTTCTCAATCAGCACAAATGCAAAAGCCAAAGAAGTCTCGAGGTTTCTTGTCTTTTCTGAACTGCTGCGGCGTTCCCGACAGTGCGAATGGGATCGACCCGGAAGAACCAGCTCTCCCTGTAAAGCCGACTACGTCAACCACTTCTCAAGCTAGGGTCACGACACCAAGCAAACCAGTGTCAAGCGTCCCCGACGTAACCACAAGCCATAAATCTGCGCAACAACCGGAAAAGGCGGCCATGGTCCCAAATACGACCCCTGGCGATGATCGGCCATCTGTTGAAGGAACTGGTGTCAAACAATCACAAACTGTCGCTGAGCAGCATGCCAACTCAAAGGATTCTCGTAACCAGCCGCTACCTGCTATACCACGAGATGCCGAGGAACCGGTCGCAGACACAAACGCTCTCGGTGCATCAAACCCTGTAGTATTTGTCCAGGCGCCAACTCCGATAATTCCCCAACAAGACCGCAGCATTCCCATCTTATCTCAGAATGCCACAAACAATGAGGTTGATACGAAAGTTCACATGGGCGACTCTGGAGAGGGTAACACCACCAAAGACGTAGAAGGAAATCAACAGACGAATACAGCGGATATAACGTTACCCCCACCTCCCGCGATAGCTGGAGCAGGCACCAACAGCGATGCACTAAGTCAGACCCAGGGACCGTCTGTTGTTGATACTGTTGAAGAAAAGCAGCAGTGGCTGCTACCTCCAATTGAACCAAGGTTTAACGGGAAAAAATGTTTGGTTCTTGATCTCGATGAAACGTTGGTGCACAGCAGCTTCAAGGTATTTGCGTCCATCACAAGGCTTCACCCATCATAATGCTGACAATATCCCAGATTTTGCACCAGGCAGATTTTACGATTCCGGTAGAAATTGAGGGACAGTATCACAATGTCTATGTCATTAAGCGCCCTGGAGTAGACCAGTTCATGAAGCGTGTCGGCGAGTTATATGAGGTAGTGGTGTTCACAGCATCCGTTTCCAAGGTTAGTAAATCTGCTTCTAGTTGTCCACAGATGAAATCTGACATCATATAGTATGGCGATCCCCTATTGGATCAACTCGACATACACAACGTTGTCCACCACCGCCTTTTTCGAGAGAGCTGTTACAACCATCAAGGCAACTACGTTAAAGACCTGTCCCAGGTTGGCCGCGATCTACGAGAGACTATTATCATCGACAATTCGCCAACGTCGTACATATTCCACCCTCAGCATGCTGTACCCATAAGCAGCTGGTTTTCGGACGCCCATGACAATGAGCTACTGGATTTGATACCTGTTCTCGAAGATCTTGCAGGGTCCCAAGTACGCGATGTCAGTCTGGTACTGGACGTTGCTCTTTAACTTTCTTAAAGTATGCATTCTTGCAACTTGGCCTCATAGCGGATGGAGTTCGGTTGACATCTTCAATTCTATTATAGGATGTACGTTTAATATTTATAATCAGCATGGGACACAACTCGCTGAGTAGGCGAACGTCAGGAAATTAAACGCATCAATTCCGAGGAGGAGCAGATGGGTCGTCTGTGGAGGGACGTCGGTTGACGGAGGAGAGGCCTATTTCACCAAGTTCCAAGCTGGCCAAATTCAGACTGGCTATGGAGAAGGATGAGGATTATATCTCCATCTAATAACCAGAGGCATTGAGAATCGTTTCTGTACTTTCATTTTTGCGACTCATCGAGCGATTTCCCCTTGTTATTTCACAGCTCTCTTTCGAAAACATAGGGACGCGTACACATTGATATACCCGTGTAAGACTACATTCACCTTTTAGTGAAATATAGTTATCCGTTTCAGCCAGCAGGTGGACTTACTTTCATTGCATAGACCGTCTCGTCGTGACTATAGTACCTGTAACCAGCCCAGCCTGTTTTATACTTGGCGGCCACCAGATCAGCCCCTTTCTCCATTTATTCCGATTAGATTAGATTGTCGGAAGCTACAGCAAAAGTGGACTTGGTCGGATAATCGAAGTGCCGCGCCGCACAGTAGTGCGTTTTAAGTGGGCACTATGTCCGTAATCGTGGCCTCAATTATAACGCAGCATCAATCCTATCAAACAGCCTTGAGATTCAAACTCAGAACGCCATACCCAAACCGTTTTCGTTCTCGAGTCATAGGTCGCTCCCATCTACACAAACCATCACCCCGAATAATGGTAAGCATAATTGGTTAACTTTCTTGGTTCATTCGGTTGCAATGCGCAATGCAGACACGCGCGCTCATTAACTTCCTTCTATTATGTTGCTTATTACTAACAATTCTATCATCACAGTCTTCTCCACGTGCATCCTCCCCCGTTTCCTCGGGCGTGCAGAACTCCGGACGGCCGTCATCCCCTACGCCACCGGGTGGTCCAAAGACTGCTATTCGCAGGAGAGCTGCTGCGGACCAGAAGGACAAGGTTGCGAATGTACGACCAAGCAGCACCAGAGCGGCTGGCGCCGGTGGAAGCAGCAGCACAATGCTGAGTAAGTTTTATTGCTTTGGTAGCACATGGATTCTTGCTGACAATCTGGGCAGAGCTGTACACCGATGAGTCTCCAGGACTCAAGGTCGACCCCGTCGTTGTTCTCGTTCTGGCTATTGTATTTATCTTCAGCGTTGTTGCTTTACACGGTATGATACATCTCCCAATGACACAAAAAGCTATCTGCTAACGGACCTGTAGTCATCGCTAAAATCACCCGCCGATTCTCCAGCTGATTCGACGCGCCCACTTTGGGGAGTTTCTACTGTTATTCGCTTTTGTACCCGGGGTTCTAAGACATGCGGCATTTTCGGCTTTGGCGGCGCGGACTGTACTGGATTTCTAGATATAATTGATACGGAAGTTCGAGAAAAGCTATTTTACAAGGGACGTTCTTGCAAGAGACATTGTAACTTGTGTCGCACACTAGCGACAGTGCAATCTGTAAAATAGAAGTTAATTGACTTGCTTCTTGTCAAGTATCATTAAAGGCAGTCTTGTTCATATCTGCATGGTTCATATCTGCATGGTACATATATAATGGCTTCAAAAAGCTTCGAGTCCTTGAATGGGGTGTAGTGTATGAGGCCGCCACATATTCGTGTGAGGCTATTCTAAGACATGAGCAAATTGCTACTTGTTATCAGGGTCCCTGAAAGCTATCACCCTAGGAGGCTCAAATGCTTGTTGATCGCCGTAACTGGCGGTAGCAGTCGTGGCGGCAATTAAGCGCATTGGCGAAGCGAGATAGTGGATATCGACAATGTTTACTGACCTTATAACCCTTACTTTGTAACACAAGTTCACAAGTTCACATGCTTACATCTCCACTGATCCTTGGTGATTGGATCTCAACACGGGAGCGTCTGTTGATGGGAAGTTTGGCCCCGACGTGATTCTCTCTTCAATTTTGCAAAACAAACTCCACAAGACTTTAGAAATGGCGCCTCAAGCGCCGCGCCGGACCTCTATCATCGATCTGGAGAGTGACTTTTCAGATGGTGGGAGTGAATACTGGCCCGAGGAATCAGGCTATGTTTTTAAACTGAATGATGATTACTATCATAGGTCGTTGGCGTCCCAGTGGATGGATAATATTGGGCAGTCTCGAAAAGGTACGTCTACAGTTTTGTATTCTTCAAGCACACTCTCATATCATATCACCATCAAAAGGTCCAGTAAGATATATTTCAACGAGTCTATTTTTTTCTCTCTTCTCAAAGAGTCCATCATGCGCGTTTTTTTTACCGTCCTATCCGTTGTTCAATCTCACTCAAACCCACTTCCACCTGGCGAACACAAACCTTGGGCAATCCCCTGCACACTTCTTCTTGCACCATATTCATTTATGTTCTATGTCTACTCCGCTATGCAGAGCGCCAATAACAATAACTCTTTATTTTGTCACATAAAATAACATGGATGACAGATACAACGTACATACTGTCGGCCTTGCCCAAGCACTATCGAATCTACACAAAGACGCGGAAAAACGGCACACATGTGAGTTAATGCATCGATTATCAAGTTCATAATGAGTCTAACGTACCTCCAGGTTGACAGGTATCTTTTTGGACACCCGAAGGGAAAATTTGACTCTCCAATTAAGTTCTTTGTCCACTTTAAGCACTTGATGAGTGGAGGGCAGACCGAATGTGAGTGTGTCAATTGCAAACCCAACAAGTCCTATCAGAAGCCAGGTGGGCAGAGGCTGTCCGGGCGCAAGCCCCAGGCGGTGCCAGCAGATGCCTTGGATATCAACCCTGCCCAAAAGTATATCGATCTCTTATATCGAAGCCATAATATGAAGGCCCGGAACTTGGCCTTGGCGTTGGATTTCAACTACAATGAACCAATGGGCTGGAGCTATCGCCTCTTCAACCCCCACGTGGAATACAATTCGATTCTCCACGAATGTCATTCCTTCCAGCCGAGAGAGAATGAAATTGTGCTTTTTTACAACGACGAGTCCGCAGTTCGTATGGATGAGAGCACGCAGTACCTGAAGCTCTTTGACGAAAAGACAGGGCAGTTTGGTGGATGGCCAAAATGGGAAGCAGGCCGGGTTATGTCCGCTCCAGAGCCAGGCGAAGCACGTGTTGAAGATCTCGCATTTTCAGCCTTGAAAGGAAAGAAAAGATCGGCCCCAACGATTTGCGTTGAGGTCCTTCCATCAGACTCGCTTTCCCAATCGACGCCAACAAAGTTAAATGTGAAACTCAGCCACATTAGACCATTCTCCATGTTACGAGAGTTGCAACACGGCCAGGATCAAACCCTGTGGGAAAGTAATATCATGCCAACCGCTCACATGATGTCCAAACTATTTCCATTCGATCCTTGCGCATTCACGAGGATATTTCCCGGTTCAAATTCTCCGGAGGCGGCGTCAGAATCCCTCCACGCTAAATTCAAGTGCCGAGGGATCTGGCTGGGTGCGGAAAAAATCATTGAAGGGGATGTCGTGCGTCTCATGCCCGTCGATGACCAGGGAGTCATTGATCACGTCCTGGTTGTCAAGGAAATATCTTACGTGTTAGAACACCTCGAGGCAGTATCGCCGACCGGAAACATCTTCATCGAGGGCAGGTGTCTCACATTGACTCAACCATCTCCGAAATCAAAGGCTGTGGTTCGCTCAAGTTCTACGTACGAAGACCTCATATCGCAAGGCCTCCCACCATGCATGCGGGGTTACACATGGTATGACAAAGAAAGCCCGGAAACGAATGCCATATTTCCCCCTGATAGCATTCTCGGCCGTTGCTATGAGCGAGAAGCCATGGAGCTAATGATTTACGCATCGGATCTCAACATTGGCCTACAAGGAGTTCGGGAGCTTCGGCGATGGGCAATGTCGAAGCAAAACAACGATGGTCTCGGCTGGGTATGGCCTGAAGATTACCCTGGGACGGAAAGTCATGTTAAGCTTAATGAACTGAGGGTAGGTAAACACCGAGCGGCTGAGAACAATGGTTCACTTGGTCCCAACCCTCTCGATAGTCTCGATCGTCCAGGTTTCAAGAACCCTCGTGGCTATGACAACTTTGGCAGTGAAGGCGGATCCGGGGCACTGGAGAAGATGTCAACTATTAGCGCCAGCGTAATAGTGGATGACAAGGAGGATGAAGCAGACGCGTTTATCCGTGAAGCTCTTGAGGGTTCATTTGCGGACGATGCTGAGATTAACCACATCGCTAAAAAGCTTCGTATTTGAAATCTTTCTATATGGGTTGCAGTACATGGACGGAGCTATATACACGCAGATATATGGAGATGGAGAGGTTGGCTTCGCTCGTTGAATACTTAATCTTCGTTCGGGAATACGCCTTCCTACTTCCTTCCTCCCCTACTTCGGGGCGTTGTGAATGATTTATATGCAGGTGTGTGGCAGAAAGTTATATAAAATGCCACCAGGATGGGGCCAATACGACCTGAATACCTTTCAAATCACAGTGGGGATTTTGGTTCATTTTCGGCAGTCTTAATTAAGCCTTGATACAAAGGCAGCCGAGAGATATCCAGCAGCTCTACCAGTTCCCACAAGACAGTGGATTTGACGAAATGAGGCATTAATTTCGGCGTTCTAGCTATTCTCATAGTCTACTCTTAATCAGAACTTACTATGGTCATTCTTTGTCTCCAGATGACGCGGATTTGTGCATTGCCTGCCTGTGCTCCTCCTCGGCGAGGCTCTGTTTCTTGATGTACTCCATAACAATATCTTCATCTGTCTTTGTTGCTGATACATCCCGATCGTGATAGCGCATGGACTCTTCGATAGCACGCTTGAGTTGTTCTTCTTCTTCTGTATCTTCATTTACGTGTGTAGCAGTCGAAGGTCCTCTGGAATCGGAGACACTTCTCTGGATAGCTGCTTCGAGAGCGGCCTTTTGATCAGCTTCGGAGATGTCATCTGTTTTGGGTCCGGCAGCATGTGCAATGCTTTCTTCGATAGCACGGCGCAAAGCTTCTTCATCCTCCAGGTTCGCACTATGAGCCTGCGACCCATCACCACTAGAGTGCACGTTTGGAACTTGTTTTCCTTTCCCACTATCATGACGCGATGATTCAGCAGGTTTGGATTTAAGCCCCTGCCAACGGCTTATAATATATTGCTGTTCATCTTTGGACGAGATTCTCCACTGCTCGTACCCTTGGGCAGTTCTGGCCGATATGATATAGGCCTGAACACTTGCTCCGAACATTTTCCGGACTTCCTTGTGCAATCCCATCATCGTGTAGCCAGGGAGTCCCCAAATCGCTGGTTAGGCCACTGTTAGCAGATATACCAGGGGATGTCGATGCAATCACTTACCAGCACCGGGCTTCAAAACGAGTCCACCAATACCTCTCCCTATACCTTTGATGAAGCCAGCTGCCCCTTCCTTTTCGGCCCCCTTCATGGGTTGGGTAACAAGCCCGGAGATACCGTCATAGAATCCATATCCAAAGCCCTGGGCACAGTCAGCTACCCTATCATTGAGACTGGCAAACACAATTGGACAGATATAACAGAGCCTATATCACCATTGGCGAATATGTTTCCTGGTACCCCCCACCCAGAACATAATAGTGGGCAGGGTGGGAATATAGATCTCGAGCACTTCAAATTGGAGCGGTGGGGTGCGATGCGTACGAATGGGAATATAATAGAAGTGAACATACCTTTCCTGCAGCTCTCAACCCGCTCTGAAAGCCAGTAACCCTTTCTTGGGGGCGCACGGTATCGTCGCCGTATAGTTTAGGAGCATTATGAAAACCGCGAGCCAAACCCAACGTGAAGTCCATCGGTGACTTCATGCCAGCACCAACTACCCGGGATATCCCCTTAGAAGCTCCAATGGCAGATTCCAAGGTGATAGCGGAGGGGTCGAATTGCTTCTTGGTTTCTTTTGTAGCCTGGGAAGAAGACCTTTGTTCCGACTTTTGATCTGTTGATGTTGAACGCTCTACTGGCCCGCTTTGGCTTCCTGATGACGAACTCAACTGCGATTGTGAGTTTGAGGCTAAATCCTTTGGCGGCGATGGACTCCCGCCTGCCGGGGAAGGTACATCATCCTCGTCGAGAGCTGCTGTTTTATCCGTGGCGGTTGAGGCCGGCTTGGGTTTTAAGGCCCCAATTAACTCAACTGGAAAATCAGCCACACCCATCGACAGACTTGCGATTGTGCCGAAAAGTGCGGAAGCACCACCGGAGATAGGATCCCAAGGTCCATTATCTGTGTCATATTCACGGTGTCGATATCTGTACAGTTAGCCAGGCACCATATTTGTTTAGAAGCACTTACAGTTTAAGATCCGAGAAATTCAAGAGGCCTTCATTGGCGAGGACTGTAGCCGCCAGTGCACTCAGGCGAACCTGTGTCTTCTTCACCTGCCACACAGCGACTCTATTCGGTGCAAGTGAGCAGCGAAGCGAATTCCAATCGAGGTGATCGTGAAAGCTTTTCCCACCGTCTTCTAATCCCTTTTCTTTGCTGATGCGGACCCCAAGTTCTTCTGCCTTCTCCAAAGTCGACGGTTTATGTGCCTCGGCAATGGCAGCAGCAAGCTTATCTGCAGTTAGATCCTTATACGGTATTGGCTCTGGCCCTGCTCCAGCTCGATGTATCATTGCTCCCCACCAAGGTTGGTCGCCAAAGAAGGGAACAACCACTGTAGGTTTTCCAAGAGCAATCCCAGCAGCTGAAGTTCCAGCACCACCGTGATGAACCACACATGACACGTGTTTAAACAGCCAGTCATGAGGAACGTTTCCAAGCATAAACACCCCTTCCGGCAGGTCAAGAGAATCGGCACCGAGACCTCCCCAGCCTTTAGATACTAGGGCACGGACTCTGGCTTTCTGTATGGCTTCAAATATCATAGATGTCATAGAGTTTGGGTCATCCACAACTATTGAGCCAAACCCAATATATACAGGTGGTGGCCCAGCAGCTAAGAATGCGGCGAGCTCGGGCTCGGGCTGATAACTGGAGGCAAGGCTCAGAAAGAAAAAGCCAGACACGGAGATATGTCGGCCCCAGTCCTTTGGCTTAGGAATCAGAGCTGGGGACCTGCAAGGAATATGAGCAAATGATAAAGATGACAGCTAAACGGGGTTCTCACCAGCAGTATGTGCAAGGTATCTTCAGTCGACTCAGCACTCCTGGGCCCCATATGACACTTATTGGTTCCAAGCCCAGAACGCGTTCGCGGAAACGATTTATAAGGTCCCCTAAACCTTGCCAAGTCATCATTTCTACTAAAGCATATGAGATGAAATTCGTCATGTTCACGTCGGCATTGGAAGACTGGATACTTGCAAGGGGGTGGGGAAAGGACTGAGTAGGCGACCATGGCATGCTATTGCTGTGTTAGCAACCTGCCGACTGGATTTGATAATTTGTACATACGTAAACATCATATGGAGGGGCACACCCAGCTTCTCCGCAACGTGGACATGTGCAAAGCTTGGAGGGTTGGCAATAATAGCATCCGCAATAAATGGCCTCTCAGTAGGGTTGGTGTCCATATTTATACCCCCCTCCAGTCGTGGTGCCGGTCCGAGGCCATCCCCTGCTTCGATACAGGCCCGCCAACAACCAAGAACTATCTCTTCCATTCCCTTGAGCCGCTTTCCTACATCACCGCTCTTGAGCGAATCGATCCCGGGCATTAACCCAGGATTTTTAACCATAAAGGCCATTAGCTCGGCCGGGTCACCACCTATACTGAAGAATTCTAGGCCATTTTCTTCCACGAACGGTTGAAAAACCGGGTGGGTTGCTAATCGTATACGATGCCCATAGGCAGATTTCAAGACCTTCCCTAACGCGACGAATGGTTGCACATCTCCGCGAGAACCAACAACAAGAATTACGACATTGAGGTTTGGCGGAGGAATCTGTCCTGGTTGCCCACCAAGGGGAGGTGGGATATACCCTGGGGGTAATGGTTGATCGTCCTCCTGTGCTACCAGGGATAGCTGGCCCCTCAGTGCAGGGTTAAGGAGCTCAGATAGTCTCCGGGTCTTCTGGTTTATGGTGATATTGACACGACCATCATCTGCGAATTGACATCTCAGTACATGTATCTGGCCAATCATCACTTCAGTGCCAGGATTGAGGGAGACTACCAGTGACTCTCGCCTTCGTATCAAGGCCATCTTGGCTGATCTCTAATTCGCTGTACTTTGGTGGAGCATCTTCTGTTCCTTCGACTCCCAATAAATCGGAATTCCCAGGATGTGAGGTTCTATCGGCCGAGCTAGAGACAATGGTCAGTGCTTGTGAGGTTTGATATGTATATCGGCGCCTACCTGGAAGCTTCGGGTGAACTATGAGCACCCCCCAACGTCGCCTGGTGAGGCTGAGATGCAATATACGACTCCCGCTGTTGTGTTGAACGAATTTCGTCTGCATTACCAACACATGCCGCTTCTGCTTGGGCAATGATTGCAGCTGGTAACGCGTCTTTCGAATCTTCCGTTCCTGGCTCCATGATCAGGAACACGGCACTACTTGTGGTTTGTGTACCTGCGCAAGCCGATATAGAGGGTCCTACTTAGCACTTGCGGAGGAAGATACCTGGCGAATTATATGGATGGAGGTAGTGGAAGGAAGGTGGAAACAAGGCAAGGCCACGGTGTATAGGTATAGATAACTTAGGTTAACAGTGATGGATAGCAGCGAAATGGATTGCGGTTGCTTGCGGGGCGTTGAGGGCCAGTAGCAAATATAACCTGTTTCGCAAGGCGTGGAGGACAATAGAGGGGTTGGAGAGCGCCTGGTGGGTATAATTGCATCTCACAAGTGAGTATACATCACTTCAGCGGCCAAGGTGTGTGTGTACGTCATGTTGAGGGGATTCTGGGGCCTCATAGCCCACCATTTTGCTCCCTGTCTATCATTATGTCCATCATTATATTATGTACTACCTTATGTGCAGTCTCCTCCTTCGGAGGTTTAGGGGTAGGGATAAGCAAGTACGAGTTTGTTTGCTCTTTACTCCTCACTCTTATTTAGCTGTCGTCTTCCCAGTCCCATGTCACTTTAGAGCTCCCGCTGTGCAGAATGGATTAGTAATCAGGAAGGAATAACCGAAATAGCTTTATTATGGCCAGGCTTCGGAGCAGTACAGTTCTCACGCGATAAGTCGATGATTAGGCGATATTCATGCCAACTCGATATTTTTTGTAGGATTCTTTATTTTCCCACCAAAACTACAATACACTCAATATCGAACTGATTTGACCAGATATCGTCTTATACCGACATTACATAGGCCAAGATGCCTTGAAATCAGCTGTTTACAATGACGATTGAGCAGCGTCGCGCACTCTGAAACTGGTATGCTCACCAGTCACCAAAGCCTTCGCAAACTGGTTCTTTAGAACCTTCGGCCATCGCATTCGACAGTCAACAGTCTCTGAATCTTTGAGCTTTCGATACGCCAACCTCAATGCAATACCTCTTAACACAATTCAGCAATCAACTCACTGTCGCAAAGCTGTTGCCTGGCCTGACCTTGAAGCAGTCCTCTTTGAATGGCGCAGCTTATTGAAAGCAAGGGAGGAGTTACAAGCACCGATATACTACAACTACGCGCTAAACCGATTTGGGAGCAACTTTCACAATACATACCACAACCAGCCTACGCCTCAATTCTCTCAAGGCTGGGTTTCGAATTTTAAAAGACGGCATAAGATTAAGTGTTATACTCAACACGGTGAAGCAAGCTCAGTTCCTACACAAGCAGAGGAAGAAATGAAGGGGATACAGACAATAGCAGGGGAATATCAAGATGAGGACATACAACATGGACGAAACTAGGCTCTTTTGGAAGCTGACTCCTTCGAAGGGTCTTTCAACAATATCACAGCCAGGATTTAAGAAGGACAAGGCGCGAATATCAGTTGTTTGTTGTACAAACTGTACAGGGAGCTGATCTCAAGCACTCTGGTATATTAATGTTGAAGCAATGGGAGGTTATTGGCGATGGAACAAGAGGGCTTGGATGAATCAGTTTATTATTGCAGAATGGCTAAGAACTTTCTATTTACATATAGGCTCTCATAGACAGATCCTGCTAACAATGGACAACTTTTCAGCACATATTGCTGCCGTTGAAACAACGCCTCCGCCCTCAAATATACAAATTATCTGGCTACCAGCAAATGCAACAAGTCGATTCCAGGCCCTTGATCAAGGCATTATTGCCTCCCTTAAAGCTCATTACCGTCGACAATGGCTTGCGTTCATGCTAAACACCTTCAACAACAATGAAGATCCTCTTAAAACTATTAACTTACACCTTGCCCTTCGCTGGATCATCCGATCGTGGTATCACGATGTCTCAAATACGACTATCTACAACTGCTTCCGCAAAAGCACAATCATCAAAAACCCGATCCAACTTACTCTTGAGCACATTCCGCCTCTTACTGACCTTTACAACCAAGTACAACAGCACAGCCGAATTCACGATGCGATGGACCTTTCAAACTTTCTAAACCCAGCGGAGGAGACAATACAAGAGGGTATACAAGATAGTGAGGGGGATATAGTACTACAAGAGGTCATTGAACAATATATCCAGCCTCCTAATGAAGGTCAAGATGATGACGATGGGGAGGAGCTCAGACTGCCGGTGGTTTATTCTACGCAGGCAGTTCTACAAGCCCTCCAAGTTCTGATTGACTTTACGGAAACTGGGAATAGTGGCATAAGGGTGTTACGATGGTCATAGATGTAATGGTTGGTGCACGAGATGTGAGAATCTAGCCACCCAAGGAAGGGATGATTTTACTAAGACAACACACTGTCTTAGGAAAAAGAGCCAAAGGGTCATAGCTTAGACTATTCCAAAACGCAGCAATCAGGTGTATGATTAGTGGTTTAGACAAGTTGTAACAAATGTTGAGTCTGAGAACTCAGGGATAAGTCAGAGGTTAGCACCTCAATGACTTTTCAGAAACAAGGAGTAACAAGATCAATGTTTGGAAGCTTGGAAAAGATGTGGAAGTATGTGATAGTCAATTTACTGTATTGTCTGCTTGCCCTTTCTTAAGGAAAGGGCAATCCTATTTATGCTAAAGGAGTGTAGTTCTCTCATTTTCCAAGACTTTCCATGACTAACCAGGCTTGGTAACTGTAATTGACATAAGAGAATCCCATAGAACCATCTCCTAGGTTCCTAGCCTATAGGAAGTGAAAGGAGGTCCAAGGTCAGAGTACCCCTATAGACAGATTATGTCATAACTTAACCAATCTTGTGGGTAACTAAGGAGCGATGACGTGTAATGAATCATAGAGGCTTGTAGAAGCTTTTGGAGCTATCGTTCATGTTCCTGGGCCTCTAGTTGATAGAGATATTTCATGTGTAGTATTAGCCCAGTAACTAAGGAGTGATGTCATGTAATGAATCATAGAGGTGTAACGCTGACTTCTAAATGATAGAAGACACAGAGGTTTCTTGCATAAGGTTGACTTGACAGAGGAGGCAGGGGATTAGACACAAAGGCTTTCCAAGTAACACGTTACAGTATTGTAAAGAATACTATATTGAGTTGAGCACGAAGCTCCTATCTAAGGAAATACTATCTACTTATATAGTGGCATCATGCCTCATGGGTAATCTGGATAGTTGGCGGATAGCTAGATATTCAGGATAGTTTATGGATAGCTCAAATATCCAATATCCACTAGTTTCTGCAACTATCCATTAGCCCCGTCACATGGCAGCCTACCCCGCTTGCCCCCTGTGACTCACATGTCACGTTACTAGGCCCTGGTCCTGTAACCATGACGTCACGTTACCGTAACACTAGGTCCTCCTCCAAAAGGCCTAGTCCCTTAGGTCTTGCTGATTAAGGAATCGCTTACTTAAGTAGGGTGATGCCCACTTAATTGTCGAGCAGGTTGCGCTGCTTACCATGTCTTCTAGTAGACACATAAAAATCAAAGAACGTCATCTTCTTGCAGACTGTATTGAAAAGAATGGCAACCTAATGTCGCCATGTTCCAGCTGTCTTCACAACAATCGATTCTGTATTGTTGTTGCTGGTAGTCATCGTTGTAGTGAATGTACTCGTCACAATTCCAAATGCAACGCTTGCGCTCCTTCTCCAACTGATTGGGAGAAGCTTCGAAAAGAAGAAGAGCATCTTGAGGTAGAAGAGGAAGCGGCGGCATCTCAGGAGTGAGAGGCTCACCTCTGCGCTCAAGAAGCATATGCCCGTCGCATGCGTCTTCGCAAACAGCAGAAGGCTCTCAAAACCCGTGGTGTTGAGATGCTGCGTCATGGTCTGAAATCTTTGGACGAATTGGATGAAGCAGAGGAGAAGGAGTGTAGGGAGGCAGAGGTCAAAGGGACTCTCTTGCACAGCCCTTCTACTGCCGTTTCCGAGGGTGCTGCCCCTGACCAGGACCTTTTCGTGGCCCTGTCTCCTGGCTTCTTTGATCGCTTGGGTGTCGACGGCGAAAAGCCTCCAGTAGCTCTGGACAGCTAAGGTTTCTGACCGTTTCCTATGAATTGTCCGTAGGTTCATAACCTTTCCATTTTATCAAAAACTCTTCTTTGCGTCCTACTAACCTTCTGTCTAGGATCGCTTCGACTTCGTATTCAACAATCTCATTCTCTGGTTGAAGTTCTGTATCTGTCGCAATTGGGGTATTTCCTCTTGCTGGTTCCAGTAGTGAGACATGAAATACTGGGTGTAGTCTAGACTTCTTGGGTAGCTGCAGTCTGTAATTAACTGAGCTGACTTTGTTCAATATTTTGAATGGTCCCAATTTCTTGAAGTCCAACTTTGTACTTGGTCGTTTCGTTTTGATGTGTTTCCGGAGTAGATATACTTTATCCCCCTCCTTGAAGGCAGGTTCCATACTGCGCTTCTTGTTTGCATATGCAGCAGATCGTTCATTTAAGAATTGGATGTCTGTCGCGAGTTGTTCATGGAACGATTTGAGTTGTTCCACGGCGATCATAGCTTGTTCTGCTCTTGATTCATCCGGTTGTGGTTGTCTATATGCCTCTGGCTGATAGCCATAATTGGCAAAGAACGGTGAGACTTTTGTTGCTTCGGTCATCACGCTGTTATATGTGAATTGTGCGATGGGTAATATCTGAACCCAATTGTCTTGTTGGTGGTTGACATAACTCCGTAGGTATTGTTCAAGGGTTTGATTCAGTCTTTCTGTTTGACCATCTGTTTGGGGATGGAAAGCTGTTGATAGCTTATGATTTGTTCCCAAAAGCGCCATTAAAGATTTCCAAAATTTTGAAGTAAAAAGCTTGTCTCTGTCTGAGATTATTTCTTCTGGTAATCTGTGATCGGCTAATATGACTTGAAGGAAGGTGTATGCGAGTGCTTCAGCATCGCTAGCTTCTAAATATGGCACAAATATTCCATATTTTGTGAGTCTTTCCGTAATAACCAGGATAGCGTCAAATACTACTCCTGTTAACGGGTCCTGAGAGGGTGGTAGCTTGACAATGAAGTCCAAAGCTATAGATTTCCACGCTCCTGTTGGTACTGGAGTCGATTTCAGCTGTCCATATGGCAAGTGCCTATTGGTTTTGGATTTGCTGCAAATGTCGCACTCTCTTACTACCGTTTCCACCTGCTTCCTCATACCTGGGAAGTAGTAGTGTCGGGTGATTCGTTTGAAGGTGCGTAATACTCCCTGATGGCCGTGTGCTGGTAGCGAGTGTTGTTCTTGCACTAGCGGGCGTCTCATTTTGTTTGGGACATACACTAATCCTTTGAATCGGATCAATCCTTGTTCATCGATGGCGAAGTCGCCTTCAGTTTTTATTAAGACTCGCTTTGCACATTCATCTGTTGCATAAGCTTTCTTGAGTCTTTCTTCCAACTCCGAGTTCTCCACAGTGGCAATTGTGGCTAGCAACTCGTTGTATTGCATTCCTGCATCTGTCTTCTTCAATATGGCTCTAGGTCTTTCCTCTTTAGGGCCAATGTAGTTGGTCCTTCTGCTAAGAGCATCGGCTCTTGCGTTCTCAGAGCCCTTGTGATATGTAATTGTGAAGTTGTAGGCTGCGAGTGTCTCTGCCTATCGGACTTGTCTGCGGTTTAAAACCTTGGTTGTGGTGAAGTATATGAGATTCTTATGATCCGTCCATACCTGTACTGGGTAGGTTGATCCTTCAAGATATACTCGCCATTGCTCAAAAGCAACGACAATAGCTATCAGCTCCTTATCGTGGATGTCGTAGTTGAGCTCCGCGGGTGACAGTTTTCTAGAGTAATATGCAACTGGCTTAAGCTTCTCATCCTTGTCTGGCTGACTTAGACAGGCTCCAATTGCGAAGTCAGAGGAGTCCGTTTCGAGGACAATCCTCTTTGCAGGGTCAAATGTGACTAGGATAGGTGCTTCTATGAACTTTGTCTTGAGTTCCTGAAAAGCAGCCTCTGCCTTGCTTGTCCATTCGAATGTAAGATCTTTCCTTGTAAGCTCTGTAAGTGGTTGAGCTACCTTGGAATATCCCATAATAAACCTCTGGTAGAAGTTGGCAAAGCCTAAGAAGGCTTGTACTTCTTTGACCGTGGTTGGTGTTGGCCATTCCAACACTGCTGTGACCTTTGCTTGGTCCATTTTGATGCCATGCGTTCCGACAATGTAGCCTAAGAATTCAACTTGATTCTTGTGGAATTCGCATTTTTCTGGCTTGAGGAGTAACCGATGCTCCTTTAACTTCTGTAATACCTTCCGAACATGACCAATGTGTTCCGTTGGGTCTCCTGAGTAGACTAAGATATCATCTAGGTAGACGATAACAAACACATCCAAGTATTCATGGAGAGCTGCATTCATGAGCCTCTGCATGGATGCTGGTGCGTTTGTTAGACCAAAGGGCATAACCAAGTATTCGAACAAGCCATAGCGGGTGCGGAATGCTGTTTTCCACTCATCTCCTTTCTTGATTCGAATCAGGTTATAGGCGCCTCTGAGGTCCAGCTTGGTAAATATCTTGGCTCCCTGGAACTGGTCGTGTAGTTCGCTTATCAAAGGTAAGGCATATCTATCTTTGATAGTGACATTATTCGTTCCTCAATAGTCCACGCAGAGTCTTAGCTTCTTGTCCTTCTTTGGCACAAATAGTATTGGACTTCCTGCTGGTGATGTTGATGGTCGAATGAACCGTTTCGCGAGTTTCTCATCAATGTATTCCTTCAGTATGTCCAGCTCTGCTGCTGACATCTGATATATTTGTAATGGTGGGTGCACCAGATGTGAGAATCTAGCCACCCAAGGAAGGGATGATTTTACTAAGACAACACACTGTCTTAGGAAACAGAGCCAAAGGGTCGTAGCTTAGACTATTCCACAACGCAGCAATCAGGTGTGTGATGTAGTGAAGTGGTTCAGACAAGTTGCAACAAATGTTGAGTCTGGGAACTCAGGGGTAAGTCAGAGGTTAACACCTCACTGACTTTTCAGAAACAAGGAGTAACAAGATGAATGCTTGGAAGCTTGTAAAAGACGTGGAAGTATGTGATAGTCGATTTACTGTATTGCCTGCTTGCCCTTTCTTAAGGAAAGGGCAATCCTATTTATGCCAAAGGAGTGTAGTTCTCTCATTTTCCATGACTTTCCATGACTAACCAGGCTTGGTAAATGTATTAGAAATCAAGTGCGACCCACAACTAGCTTGCTAATCATGTAGTGAACGTAAGAGAATCCCATAGAACCATCTCTTGGGTTCCTAGCCTATAGGAAGTGAAAAGGAGGTCCAAGGTCAGAGTACCTATAGATAAATTATGTCATAACTTAACCAATCTTGTGGGTAACTAAGGAGCGATGACGTGTAATGAATCATAGAGGGTTGTAGAAGCTTCTAGAGCTATCGTTCATGTTCCTAGGCCTCTAGTTGGTAGAGATATGCCATGTGGTAGTATTGGCCCACCCCCTTAAGGAGGAGATTTTCTTAATAACTTGTTCAATGAGTGTCCAAATGATATGCCGTGATGTATGTAGCATAAACAGATGTAGTAGAAGAG